CCTTTTTAGTCAGTTCATCTACAAACTTAGGTTTTCTCAGTTATCCTAAGTTTTTTTAGTTGTTTGTTTTTTTTGAGACAGATTCTTGCTCTGTTGCCCAGGTTGGAGTACAGTGGCATGATCTTGGTTCACTGTAACCTCTACCTTCCCGGTTCAAGCGATTCTTCTGCCTCACCCTCCCAGGTAGCTGGGACTACAGGTGCATGCCACCACTTCTGGCTAATTTTTTGTGTTTTTAGTAGAGACAGGGTTTCACCGTGTTAGCAAGGATGGTCTCAATTTCCTGATCTTGTGATCTGCCCACCTTGGCCTCCCAGAGTGCTGGGATTACAGGGGTGAGCCACTGCACCTGGCCAGAATATTTTTTTATAGCTTTTAAAACTCAAACCAGGATATACTTATTCTCTCTTGGATAGTTGGTAAATTACTGTTTATTTCTCAGGTGATTTTATCTTTATATAAAATTTTTGGCCAGGCACAGTGGCTCACAGCTGTAATCTCAGCACTTTGGGAGGCTGAGGCTGGTGGATCACTTGAAGTCAGGAGTTCAAGACCAGCCTGGCCAATATGGTGAAACCCTGTCTCTACTAAGAATACAAAAATTAGCCATTCTAGCTATTGGGAGTTCCAGCTATATGGGACGCTGAGTCAGGAGAATCACTTGAACCCAGGAAGCAGAGGTTGCAGTGAGCTGAGATTGCACCACTGCACTCCAGCCTAGGCAACAGAGCAAAACTCCATCTCAAAAAATAATATTAACAATTAATACATTTTTATTTATTTTGTTTATAGTCTTTATATATTTAGAATTTTTTATATTCTCATCTTTCTTTTATACCTATGATTGCTGTTTAGTTATATTGAATTTATGTTGGAGAATTGTGTTATAGTTTCCTTCTTGGTAGGTTGTTTTTTTTTTTTAATTTTAGAGGGAGTTACTTTTATCAGCAGAAAGTAGTTTTGTTCTTTTGTTGTCTTCTTGGAGCCCAGTATAGATGTTAGATTATTTATTTTGTTTATGGTAATGTATTGGATTTTCATAGACCTCAAATAACAAGTGGATTTGGTGGGGCCAGTAAAAAAAGGTTTGCTTCGTTTTTAAGTTGAAGAACGCCCTCTTTCTTTGATATAGTGAAATGCATCTTCTTTACTACATGATTTGTTAGGGGCTTTCTACTTCTGATTCTTTGATTACCATCTTATTTGAATAGAGCCCTTATCTTTTGTTTCTTCCTTTTCTTTATCCATCAAGATTCGAAAGGGTACCTTTCTTTTCTAATTGCTATTTACTTTTTGTCCTAGGGAGAACCTTAGTTGTCATCGACATTATACAACTACCAGGATTTTTCCCACACAGTTTCCTCTGGTTTTTATCATTAAGGGCTCTGTAGTTAGCATTGCTGGTCTTGGGTGTTTATATTTTTCTCATTTACTTGAAATTAACTTTGAAGTCTTATTTGTCTCTTACTTGTATTAAAAGCATGGGCAATAGGTAATTTTATTTGCTCTCTGTGGGTTTTGGAATATTTATTTGTATATTTGATTTGCATTTGGATGCCTACCATTTTCCCAGGGCTAGAATGTCTACTGTAAGTTTTAATACTGGATAAGGAAAAACTTAAAAAAAAAAACTGAATAATCCATTGGCTCTGCATATTGTTGAATTTTGGGACATTATTATTGAATAGTTTCTACCTTCCCCTTTGAATCGCTTCTTTTTCCTATATCAAAATTTAAAATTTCTTGCATTTGTGGGTCTGTTTTTCAACTTTCCATTTTATTTATTTGGTTAGTTGGTCTATTCCTGCACTAAAACCTAATTCTCTGAATAATTTCAGCTTTGTAAGTCTTGCTGTCTGGTAGCATGAGTAGCCTCTGTTTTCTTCTGCAGCATTGTTCAGCTCATTGCTCTTTCAAACGGATTTTAGAATCAGCTTGATGAGTTTCACAAGAAACCTTTTTGGAAGCTTATTATTGCAATACCTAGGGAAGACTGGACACTTGATGATACCATTCCTTCTTGTTCATGAGCATGAAATATCTCTCCATTTATTTCATTTGCAATTTTTTTTTTTTTTTTTTTTTTGAGACAGAGTCTCACTCTGTATCCAGGTTGGAGTGCAGTGGCGCCATCTCGGCTCACACTCATCGCAACCTCTGCCTCACAGGTTCAAGTGATTGTGGTACCTCAGCCTCCCAAGTAGCTGAGATTACAGGCACACATCACAGCTCCCAGCTTTTGTATTTTTAGTTGAGACAGAGTTTCTTCATATTGCCTAGGCTGGTGTCAAACTCCTGAGCTCAGGCAGTCCACCTGCCTTGGCCTCCCAAAGTGCTAGTATTACAGGTGTGAGTCACCATGCCCCCTTCTCCATTTATTTCAGTACTCTAATATTTCATTAAAGTTTATTTCCCCAGATTTTTTCACTCTTCAAGTTAAAATTTCTAACTGCGTTGCTAGTGGTTAGAAATGAAATTGATTTTTGTATGTTGATTTTATATCCAGCTACCTTAGAAAGTTAAATTTTGAATGATTTTACCGTGTGTGTGTGTGTGTGTGTGTGTGTGTGTGTGTGTATGTGTATACAACTAAAATTAGATATATTTATCGTGTACCACATATTTTGAAATATGTATCTATTTTAGAATGGCTAAATGGAACAATTAATATATACATTATCTCACTTCATTTTTTAATGGTGAGAATACTTAAAATCTCTCTCACCAATTTTCAAGAATACAATATATTGCTAATTGTAGTCATGCTATGCAATAGATCTCTTGGACATATTTCCTCTTACTGAAATTTTATATCCTTTGTTGGTCAGAGGATATTTTTTGGGTTTTCTGTCTATACCAGAGTGTGACAAACTGCACCTGGCATGCCAAATCTAGCTACTTAGCTGGTTTTGTAAATAAAGTTTTATTGAAACACAGACACACTCATTCATTTGCAGAGTTGAGTAATTGCAGCAGAGACCATGTAGCCCTTGAAGCCTAAAATATTACTATGTGACCCTTTATAGAAAAAGTTTGCCACTCCCTGATACCATCATAGCACTTTAGTAATGATGATTTTGTTATATTCATTATATGTGCATTTAATTTTTTCTACTTGTAGTCTTAAAAATTATGCTAGGTACTCAACTTAGGTAATATTTTGCCAATGTTTTCTTCTTTCAAAACTTGCTAGATAATTATTCATATATTTTCCCTGGCTTCCACTATTGCACTTGAGAAATTTGTTGTTCAGATTGCTGTTTCTTTCTGGGTGATCTCTTCTTTCTCTGATTACTGTCTCTTATCTTTGGAGTTGTGCAGTTACACTACCAAGTTCTAGGTTTGGATTTGTTTTTATTTATCCTGCTTGGGTTATGTTGCTTATCCTGAATTTACAAAGATTCTTGTTCCATTAATCTGGAAAGTTCACAGCTGTTACCTGTTGTTAAATATTACCTTTCTTCTGTTCTCTCCAGTGTATCTTTCAGGTACCCCAGTAGACATGTTAATTAGATATTCTTATAATGTTCTTTGTATCTCTTTATGTCTTTCCATATCCCTTTTTCTCTTTGCCACATTTTGGGGAATATAATGTATTCAGGTGTATCTTCCAGCTCCCTAATTTGTTTTTAAATATATTTTTAAAAAATTTCAGCCGTTGTATTATTCAGTTACTTATTCAGGTTGTTTCATCCCCCCACTCCCAAGTTCATCTCTTCATTCCTAATGGCCTCTTGTTGATTCGCCACTTTTGTGAGTCCATCCTTGATTTCTTTAAACATATATATTCACATCTGTTCTGTAATTGTGCTGGACAGTTCAAACATCAACAGTTCTCAAATCTGTTGTCTGCTCCCTGTGACTCTTGCCTTCTTGTATATTTGATCTTTTATTATTAACTCATTGCTTGAACTTAGTTGGTGGGAGTCCTTTGGGCTTACCAGAAACGTTCTCCAGAGAAGATTTATTCCTGCTTGACACTGGGGAATCATCAGTCAGAATTGCGTCAGCCTCTTTTGTCTCAGCTCAAGAATTCTAGGTTACTCTGCCCCATGTGTTGGTTGGGGGCTTCGTTTTTGGATAGGATGAGCCACAGAGTCACATTGTAGAAGGAGCTTATATTCAGGAATTAAAATCCAGAGGCTCTACAGATCTGGGACTCAGACCTCTAAGAAGAGAGTGGAGGCTGGTTGGTGCTGTGTGATGGCACAGTGAACCAATTGTTAGAAAAGCTGCAAACTGGAATCAGGTGCTTCTCCTAGAGTGAGTGGTCTACCAGAGTTGCTAGGATTCTACTGCAAAGAATGGAAAGCAGGAAAAAACCAGTCTTTTCCTTTAGCTTCCAGTCTTTCTCCAACACCCTGTATTGCCAGAGTATAAGAAGAAACGTTAAAATCAACAGAAAAAAAATGGTTTAATGAATACTAGGTTCAACATCTCAAAACGGAGTGTATATAGAAGAATAGATTTGGAGCTGCAAGACAATAGCTTAATTATTGGCTCTTAAATAACTACTACCTACAAAGTTTACTTTTTTATTGCCAATGTGCAATAAAGGAAGATTTGTTTGTGTAAATAAATTTAATTTCAAGACTAATTTCTTTCATGAATGCTTTCCTGACCAACTATACACAGATCCTTTGCATCACAGTTATTTATTGACAGTGTCATATTAAGTTGCTGTTTAACTTTTAGAATGTTTATTCTTACTTATGTTTATGTGTGTTTGCTAGTGCATTGAATGGGGAGGTGGGTTTCATGGCTGTGTTCTTACAGTTTGAATATTACAACCAGCCTAGTTTAGTACCTTATAGTTAATTGACTACTACAAAGTACCTTGACGTTTCTGAAAGTTGGAGATTTTTTTAATGCTTTTTTATAAAATGGAATATTCCTCAGAATTATACTTTATATTGTTATCAGAGTTTTATTTTTCATGTTGTCATTAATGTTAAGATGCTTAAAAATAAACCTTAGGAAATTAATTTTCTTTAAATTAGCAGGTGCTTCTAAGGAAGGAGGTGCTGGAGCAGTTGATGAAGATGATTTTATAAAAGCTTTTACAGATGTCCCTTCTATTCAGGTAAGGCTACCAGTGGCACTCCCCATGAATATTGCCTGTGTGCCTTTTCATATAATTAATTATTTGTTTCCATCACTTTTTAAAAATTCCTTTTTCCTTAAATAGCTTTATAAATGAAATATTGGACCTATTATTATCAAGCCATTATTTGTTGGTACAATTAGATTTTCAAGTGAATTTTCAGTGAGGCTGAAATAAAATTGAATCATGTTGTTGAATCACATTACATTGCAATGTTCAGATTCTTTAATTAATGTGTTTGGAGCTCAGAGAATATTAGATTAGTTGACGATAGAAATTTGGAAGTCATTCATATAGACATAATTGAAGTAGTCAGAGTTGACACATGCATAAATAAGAACATTATGTCCATGACTTAAAAATATACATAAATGTTATGTTGTACTTAATATTGTACAGTCTCTTTACTCAATGTTATTGTTTATATTTTTTCACAGTGTAAAATTGTGATTCTAGTTCATTCATTTGGCTTGATAGATGACATTCTAGTATATAAACAGACCACAATTCATTTATCTGCCTTATTGATGGACATTTAGGTTGTTTCTAATTTTTGGTTATTCCATATCATGCCACAGTGAATTTTTTTTCATTTTTCTTTTTTTTTTTTGAGATGGAGTCTTGCTCTGTTGCCCAGATTGGAGTGCAGTGGCACAATCTTGGCTCACTGAAACCTCTGCCTCCAGGGTTCAAGTGAGTCTCCTGCCTCATCCACCTGACTAGCTGAGATTATAGGCACCCCGCCACCACGCCTGGCTAATGTTTTAGTAGAGATGGGGTTTCACTATGTTAGTCAGGATGGTCTCAAGTGATCCACCCGCTTCAGCCTCCCAAAGTACTGGATTACGAGCGTGAGCCACCACGCCCAGCCTGCAATGAATATTTTTGTACATATGTTCTTGATTATTTGTAGGTAAGAGTTTCTTTAGGGCATAAATGTAGGAGTTGAACTGCATGGTTATAATAAAGTTTACTTAGATGTTACTCTGTTGGGTTGTAATTCCAGTGAGAAAGGTATGATAGTTCTAATTTCATCACATCCTTGCCAACACTTGATGATGTTACTGAAAATATTTTTACGAGTATGATGGTTGTGAGTGCTGAATATTATTTAGCATGTCTGTTTGAAAATATTCTCTCATTGCTTTACTTGCAAACTACCTTCCATTGCCTATATTACCTTTTTTTAGCTCTGAAAGGAAGAGTTGTCCTTAAGGTATTTAAGATCTTAAAAAGTTACAAGAAAGCTTTAAAAACTTATTCTGATTCGACTGTATTTTGTTCCTTTATTAGAGATACATGTTTTTTCTTCTTTTACGATACTTTTTAAATAATAGGAAAAACACATTTCTTCCTCCTTTTGTGTTTTACAGATTTTCATATAAGGGAAAGATTAGTGTTGTAGGAACAATCAGTAAAACTTAGTTGAACTTGAATATTTTTTTTGTTCGATATGTTCTTGTCAGACTGGTAACATCATGGTATGGGCAGCCAAGGGCTACTCAATTATATGGAGGGGAAAAAGCTATTTTACACTTACTCATTGGTTTCTTCCAGCTAACCCTCTCTGCTACCCTCACCACCCTATAAATGTTCCACACCTTTCATTGTTCCCTTAGAAACATCTTTTTCATAAACAGCAACTCCCCTAAGTATTTAACCCCATTTTTAAAGGATCCATTCAATGTCCTTGCCTTGATTAGAATCTGATTTTTTTTTTTTTTTGGAGACAGAGTCTTGATCTGTCAGCAGGCTGAAGTGCAGTGGCGCAATCTCAGCTCACTGCAATCTCCACCTCCCATGTTCAAGTGATTGGGATTACAGGCACACACCACCACACCCAGCTAATTTTTTGTATTTTTAGTAGAGACGGGGTTTCACCATGTTGACCAGGATGGTCTCGATCTCTTGACCTTGTGATCCACCCGCCTCGGCCTCCCAAAGTGCTGGGATTACAGGCTTGAGCCACCGCGCCCGGCCCTGATTTTTTTTTATTTTATTTATTTATTTATTTATATTTTTATTTATATTTTTTATTTTTTTTATTGATCTCCTGACCTCGTGATCTGTCCACCTCAGCCTCCCAAAGTGCTGGGGTTACAGGTGTGAGCCACCATGCCCAGCCTGTTTTTTTTTTTTAATACTCTTTAAAGATGAAGCTGTTTATTATTCTTGGCCCTCATACTCTTAGTAATTGATGATAAGTTTAAGTTTAAGTTTAAGTTTAAGATAAGTTTAAGTTTATTGTGCTTACACTACTTGTTATCATTTTGTGACCATTATTCTTATACCCATTTGTATGAGGTTCATGCTCTCTGGCCAGCCTCGTTATTATTGGCATGTACTGATCTGGACAACATTCCAGTGCTGCCTAGGTTTGAATTCCAGCTCTACCACATTAGCTGTGTAACCTTAGGTTCATTACTTAACCCTCTCTACTTCAGTTTTCTCATCTTAAAATAGGAATTATTAGTACATACACCAAAGGTTATTGTGAGGATAGCTATGATAGTACAGATAAAGTACAAAAAGTATATGTTAGCTGTTCTTTTCCTAAGTTTTCGCACATTGATGAATTCAGTTTTTAGACCTCCATTTTACTTTCACCTTAGCTACACAGTTCATAGTCACACATTGAATTTTGATGTCATCTGTGTGTTACCATTTGTTTCCAAAATCATTAATTGAAGTATCTCATTACTGCCCAGGATCTCCTTGCTTTTTTAAATACTCTAACAATTACTTCTCTACGACTTCAAGGATCTTCAGTACATTGTCTTTTCTACTCACTCTCAATTAATCATCTCTCACTTATACTTTCCTTCTCATCTACACTTTGATTTTCTTCTTATCTAACCTTTGATACCATGGTTTCTTGCAATAGGTCTGTACATAATATACTAAAACCCCTTTCATCTGTTTTTTTCTTCATAACAAAGTATTAAGCAATGATTTCTTTTAATACACATTTTACAAAACTAGAACTGTGGATGATTCCCAACTTTTTGTTTTCTCTATGTCTGTGCTGCTAGAGAAAATCAGGTTAGAGCACATGATTTTTAGTGGAATTCACATAAAATGAGTCCTCAACAATCTGATACCCTTAATATGTTTCTGTGATCAAGTTGTTTCTCTGCTTAATATAGCTATCAGACATGTTTCTTTCCTTTCTATCCATCAGCCTGTCTCTGTCCTCCTCTCTTCTCTCAGTATATGACCTACCGTACCCTTACTTTGGTAACTCTTAAGTAGTCACCATCAAATGGGAACATGATCTTTCTGTTACATTCTTTTCTGTTGTACATTCCTTCTGTCCTGTTGCTCCAGCAACATGGTTCTTCTTCTTCAAAGGTCAGCACCTCCACCAGTGCTCCAAAGCCTAGTATTTTCCGCTTCCTTAACACATTTACAAAATCAGTAATCTCATGTGGGTTCAAGCTCTTTCTGTTTATCTCTTAATATGGCTGGATTCGTCAATTAAAAAAACAAGTCTCAATTTAAAAAACTAGATACTATATCATCCAGATACTATTTTTTATTTTGGTCCTCACTGTCAGCTTTTCAAAGCGAGTTGTCTGAACTTGGTATTTCTCTAACTTTACTTGTTACTCACTACATCCCACTTCTTTCCAGCTTATTCTTACATTGAAACAGGTCTTGAGTAAATCACTGATCATCGTTGAGGCACCAAAATCAACTGATTTGAGATTTTTTAATTTGATTTTTCTTGAAGTTTTATCAGTATTTAGCACTGTTAATTATATCCACTGTTTTGTTGTTTCTTTTTAGGTGCTTTTGATATGATGTTCTTTCATTTTATTCTCCTTACATCTTTGTCCACTTCATCTCTGTCTTTTTTTTTTTTTTTTTTGAAACGGAGTCTCACTCTGTCACGAGGCTAGAGTGCAGTGGCATAATCTCGGCTTGCTGCAACCTCCGCCCCCCGGGTTCAAGCAATTCTCCTACCTCAGCCTCCCAAATAGTTGGGTATACAAGTGTGTGCCGCCATGCCTGGCTAATTTTTGTATTTTCATAGAGACAGAGTTTCACCATGTTAGCCAGGCTGGTCTTGATCTCTTGACCTCCTGATCTGCCCACCTTGGCCTCCCAAAGTGCTGGGATTACAGGCGTGAGCTACCGTGCCCAACTTTAATTGATTTTTAAAATCTCCCTGAGTAGATTGTAATCTCCATAAAGCAAAGACCATGTCTATTTTTGCTAACCATAGTCTCCCCATTGCCTAGCATAGTACCTCTGTGTTATGTGAATATTTGTTAAGTGAATGAAAGATTAATGGTATGTCGCAGTTTGACAAAGGATTGACTCCAGAGGAAACAAAACATGTAGCTATCTTGACTATAGTTTATCATGACAGAGGAGAAAAAATCAAAACTAACTTAAAATATTTCCTTTTGGTAATGTTGTGTAATATGTATATGAATGCAATAAGATAAATTATACACTTTAAGTCATTTTGAGAAATTAGACTTAATTTTATTAATTCTTAAATATGTCACATCTTGTTTTTAAAATTACAAAGCATTTTAAGAGTATATTTGAAATTATTCATGAGGGAAGAAACAGCAAAAAGGGTAACAAGGAAGAAAAATAAAGCATTTTTTGTTGTTGTCTATAATGTATTTCTAGTCTCCATTTAAAAATGGTGCTAGAATGGGAAATAAACTTATTAGTTGAAAGATTATTTTAAACATCAGAGCATAATTTTGATATTGTTCATGGCAAGAAACATTGTTATAATTACGAATTTTTTTTTTAAGATTTATTCTAGTCGAGAACTTGAAGAAACATTAAATAAAATCAGGGAAATTTTGTCAGATGACAAACATGACTGGGATCAGCGTGCCAATGCAGTAAGTTTTTTATCTTTGTCTTATCTTTCTTTTTCGATGTTCCTTTTTAAAAACATGGAAATTCAATTGTAGTACTATATAGTATTTACTTACAAAATAAGAGTGATAGGTAACATTTCTTTCTGGAGAATATATTGATATAATAGTCATTTTCTGATTTAGGATTTTTATTTTGGTTTGGCTAATCAGATGGTGCCTATCCTACACATTTGGTAACCTCACCACATGTAGCTATTTTTGACAGATCACCAAAGTGTGAGATTCAGAGGGCTTTGGACTTTCTGTGGACTTATATAGTTGCTTATTAGCACTGTCCTCAAGACACATAAGGCCTACCAGTAAAGCAGTTCACTTTACCTACCTGCATGCTCAGTATTTTCATAGCATCAACATAAATTCACAGCAGGATGTACATTTATCTGGCTTTTTTTCTTCTCATGTGAATGTGATGAATATTTCTTCTGTGATTTCATTTATAAAGGTCAGATATCCTTGAGTTAGGAATATTTTGAGCCTAAATTCCTTAAGGAAAATATTTGATAAAATTTAAAATAATATTAGCATTGACAGTAAGCAATATATTTTTAAAATTTGTGAACTTATTATTTATATAACCAAATTACATGTACCAAATGAGTACCTCAGAATTTTCAAGAAGCCAAAGAAAAGGGCTGTATTTGAAGACTGTTCTGCTCTGAAGGGTCCCAATCTGGCTGATCATGAAAATCTCCATTTTGATTAACTAAATCAAAGGCAGGGCCTTTTGACAAATAAGGCTTTAATGACCCTGTGAACAAAGGACCATGTTTTGTCTTTGTTAGGAAGTCTTCAGTTATTTGTGGTCAGTCATGGCCAGGAAATACGAAGATACCATAGCAGAGTTGTTTTTTTTACATTTACAACTTTTTGCATCTGATTTAACTTTAAAGATATATTTTAAAATTTGGAAAACCTCTGAGTTAAATGTGAAATTATACACAATAATGGTAGGATAAGTAGACTTTTGGCTTCTGGGCGTGTATGAGCACAGATGTGCAAGTGTGTATATTTCTTTTGATCCATGTAATTTTATTATGTATGTCTGGTTTTTATGTGGATAACAGTTGGCAATCAAATACTGAAAAAGTAATGCCTTTTCTTATCTAGTTGCTCTGGCTAGGCCTTCTAGTACTCTGCTGAATAAAAGTGTTGAAAGTGGACATTCTTGTCTTATTCTAGACCTTGAAGGAAAGGCTTTTTGTTTTTCCCTAATCAGTATGATATGGGCTGTGTGTTTGTTTAATATAACTTTCATCATGTTAAGAAGCATGTACCGGCCGGGCGCGGTGGCTCAAGCCTGTAATCCCAGCACTTTGGGAGGCCGAGGCGGGTGGATCACGAGGTCAAGAGATCGAGACCATCCTGGTCAACATGGTGAAACCCCGTCTCTACTAAAATACAAAAAATTAGCTGGGCATGGTGGTGTGTGCCTGTAATCCCAGCTACTCAGGAGGCTGAGGCAGGAGAATTGCTTGAACCCAGAAGGCGGAGGTTGTGGTGAGCCAAGATCGTGCCATTGCACTCCAGCCTGGGTAACAAGAGTGAAACTCCGTCTCAAAAAAAAAAAAAAAAAAAAGAAGCATGTACTTTCTATACCCAGCTTTTTTGAGAGTTTTTATCTTGATGCAATGTTGAATTTTATTGAATACTTTTTTGGCATATATAAAAAAGATTGTGTGGTTTTTGTCCTTCGTTCTGTTGATTCGATGTGTCACATTTATTAATTTGTGTATATTAAACCATCTTTGTGTCCTGGGATTTATCCCACTTGATCATGATGAATGATCTTTTAAATGTGTTGTTGAATTTGGTTTAATAATATTTTGTCTAGGATTTTTGCATCTGTTTTCATCAGAAATACTGGCCTGTAGTTTTCTTTTCTTTTTTTTTTTTTTTTTTGAGATGGAGTCTCGCTCTGTTGCCCAGGCTAGAGTGCAGTGGCGCAATCTCAGCTCACTGCAACCTCTGCCTGCCGGATTCAAGCAATTCTTGGCCTCAGCCTCCTTAGTAGCTGGGATTACAGGCATGTGGCCTGTACTTTTCTTTGTTTGTTATGTCTTTGCTTTTAGGGTGATACTAGCCTCATAGAATGAGTTTGGAAGTATTCCCTCCTCCTTGATGTTTTTGAATAGTTTGAGTACAATTGGCATTAGTTCTACTATAAATGTTTGGTAGAATTCAGCAGTGAAATAGGTCTTGGGCTTTTCTTTATTGAGAGACTTTTAATTGCTTCTTCTGACTTGTTATTGGTCTGTTCAGGTTTTGGATTTCTTCATGGTTCAATCATGGTAGGTTGTTTGTGTCTAGAAATGTATCCATTTCTTCTAAAGAAATACAGAACATCCAAATTGGAAAGAAAGAGGTCAAATATCTATAAATAAACTTAACCAAAGAAGTAAAAGATCTCTACAATGAAAACTATAAAAGTATTGATGAAAGAAATTAAAGAGGACACAAAAAACAAAAGATACGTTCCATGTTCATACTGATTAGAAGAATCAATATTGTTAAAAAGTTCATAATACCCAAAGCAATCTACAGATGCAATGCAATCCCTGTGAAAATGCCTATGACATTCTTCATAAAAATAGAGAAAACAATCCTAACATTCCTGTGGAACTACAAAAGACAAACAATAACGAGTGAAGGCAATCCTGAGCAAAAGGAACAAAGCTGGAGGCATCCCTCCTGACTTTAAATAATATTACAAAGCTATAGTAACCCAAACAGCATAGTACTGGTATAAAAACAGATAAATAGACCAGTGGAACAGAATAAAGAACCCAGAAATAAACCCACACATTTATAGTCAACTCCTTTCAGCAAAGATGCCAAGAACATATAATAGAGGACAGTTCATTAAATGGTACTGGGAAAACTAGATACCTACATTGCAGAAGAATGAAACTAGACCCCTGTCTCTCACCATATACATACATCAAAATTGACTAAAGATTTAAATTTAAGACATCAAACTACTACAAGAAAACGTTGGAGAAACACTCCCTAGGATGTTGGTCTGGGCAAAGATTTATTAAGACCTCAAAGTATAGGCAACCAAAGCAAAAATGGACAAATGAGATCACATTAAGCAAAAAGTTTCTTTAGAATGGAAACAGTCAATAAAATGAAGAACCCAAAGAATAGGACAAGGTATTTGCAAACTACCCATCTGATAAAGGAGTAATAACCAGATTATAAGTCAGTCAAACAACTCTATAGGAAAAAAGTAAGTAATCTGATTTAAAAGTGGGCAAAAGATCTAAATATACATTACACAAAAGAAGACATAAAAATGGCCAACAAGTATGTGGAAAAATGCTCAACATGACTAGGAATCAGACAAATAAAAATTAAAACCTCGAAGAGAAATTATCTCACCCCCATTAAAATGAGTTTCATTTAAAAGACAGACAATAACAGGCAAAAAACAAGAATGCTCACAAGGATGTAGAGAAAGAGGAACACTTGTACATTGTTGATAGAAATTTAAATGTTATTTTAATTTAGTTTAATTAGTTTAGTTTTGTTCTTTATTTTAGCTTAGTTTATTTAATTTAGTTGTTGTATTTTGAGACTGGGTTTCACTCTCTTTCCCAAGCTGGAGTACAGTGGTGCAGTCATGGCTTACTACAGCCTTGACCTCCTAGGCTCAAGCAGTCCTCCCACCTCAGCCTCCCAAGTAGCTGGGACTATAGGTACATGCCACCATGCCCAGCTAACTTTTTACCTTTATCTTTTTAAAATTTTTTGTGGAGACGGGGTCTCCCTATGTTGCTCACACAGGTCTCAGACTCCTGGGCTCAAGTGACCCACCTGCCTTGGCTTCCCAAAGTGCTAAGATTACAGGCCTGAGCCACCACATGCAGGGAGAACAGTATGGACATTTCTTTAAAAAAACAAACAAACAAAAAAACACCTAAAAAACCACCATATGATCCAGTAATCCCACTGGGTATATATCAAAAGGAAGATAAATCAATATATCAAAAAGATATCTGCATTTTCATGTTTATTGCAACACTATTCACAAAAAGCCAGGAGATGGAATATACCTAACTGTCCATCACAGTGAATGAATGGATAAGGAAAATGTGGTACATATACACATTGGAATATTATTCCATCATAAAAAGGATGAGATCCTGTCGTTCGCAACAACGTTGATGAAACTGGAGGATGTTATGTTTGGTGAAATAAGCCAGTCACAGAAAGAAAAAGATTGCATGTTCTCACTAATATGTGGAAGCTAAAAAAAAAAAAAATGGAACTTGAGATAGAGAGTAGAATAATGGTTCTCATGGACTGAGAAAGGTAGATGGGGGTTGCAAGGGGATAATAAAGAAGAGATAGTTAAAGGGTACAAAAATACAGTTAAACAAGAATAAGATCTAGTGTTAGGCAGCACAATCGGGTGACTGTAATTAACAATAATTTATTGTATATTTCAAAATAACTAAAAGAGTGGGATTGGAATGTTCCTAACAGAAGGAAATGATTGATATTTGAGGTGATAGATACCCCAGTTACCCTGATTTGATACACATTGTGTGCTTTTATAAAAAAATCACGTGTACTTCATAAAAATGTACAACTATTATGTATCCATAATTTAAAATTTTAAAAATTAAAAATTCAACAGCAAGCCAGATGTGGTGGCTCACTCCTGCTGGGAGGCTGAGGCGGGTGGGTCGGTTGAGGTCAAGAGTTTGAGACCAGCCTGACCAACAAAGCGAAATCCCATCTCTACTAAAAATACAAAAATTATCCAGCATGGTGATATGTACCTGTAATCCCAGCTACTGGGGAGGCTGAGGCATGAGAACCACTTGAACCCGGGAGGTACAGTTTGCATTGTGCTGCAGTAGCACCACTGTACTCCAGCCTGGGCAACAGAGCAAGACTGTCTCAAAAAATATAGTAATGCTAAAGTTTTCCAAATTTGACACTTTAAAAAATAGGCTCCCTTAGTAGATAGACAGTAGTGGTCACACAACATTGTGAATGCACTTAATGCCACTGAATTGCATACTTTAAAATGGTTAAAATAGTAAATTTTGTTAATGTGTATTTTACCACAATTAAAAGAATCCCTATTATCACACTGGAGATTAAGCTAAAAGACAAATGAATAAGTAAATAAAATAGAAAGATTCCCTTAAAACTTTAGAATTGATGTAGTTATAGATTATGTTTCTCCATTGTCCTTATAACAATCTATAATGTTATTTTTCAGATGGTTTTTTGTTGGCATATTTATATACAAGATACGTTTAATGCTACTAAAATGTCAGAATATAATACTATAATGAAACATTACATATGTTTTATTTTTCAGAAAGGTTTTGTTTGAATAATGTAGTTTAGGTAGCCTTTTTTTTTTTTTACACTTTCACCTTTTTTGTCAATAATGAAAATTCATTTTATTTCAGCTGAAGAAAATCCGATCATTGCTTGTTGCTGGAGCTGCACAGTATGATTGCTTTTTTCAACATTTACGCTTGTTGGATGGAGCACTTAAACTTTCAGCTAAGGATCTTAGATCCCAGGTGGTTAGAGAAGCTTGCATTACTGTAGCGTAAGTATCATAAAAGGCTAAGTGTTTTTTATGAATGAATTCAATACTCACTGATTCAACGCTCATTAAGTCAAGTAGTAGCAAGGTAGCCAAAAAAGTATATGATCCCCAAATCATTTTTGTTATATGTAAGGATTCATTTGGCATGATTTTTAAAAATTCCTTAACAGCTCTTTATATCAACAATTTAAGGTTGATATAAAGATATTTAAAGTATCTAAAAACTACTGGTAGATTTTTTTTTTTTTTTTTTTTTTTTTTTTTTTGAGACGGAGTTTCACTCTTGTTACCCAGGCTGGAGTGCAATGGCGCGATCTCGGCTCACCGCAACCTCCGCCTCCTGGGCTCAGGCAATTCTCCTGCCTCAGCCTCCTGAGTAGCTGGGATTACAGGCACGCGCCACCACGCCCAGCTAATTTTTTGTATTTTTAGTAGAGAAGGGGTTTCACTATGTTGACCAGGATGGTCTCGATCTCTCGACCACTTGTGATCCACCCGCCTCGGCCTCCCAAAGTGCTGGGATTACAGGCTTGAGCCACCGTGCCCGGCACTGGTAGATTTTTGATCATTAACTCTACAAGTGTAAGATGAAAATGAATGGGTCTGGAAACTGGCTATATTCACTTTTCTCACTACTAGTTTGGATATTAAACACTTAATTTCTGGTATTTTAGCAATTATCATGGCATTACAACATGCATCATTAACTTAGCAAAATCTAAACTTTAAGTTTGTAGTCTTCTACAATACAAAGATGGTAGAACTTAAATTCTATTTATTACTATTTCTGATCTAAGCATTGTTGTTGCATATGCATTCCTTTGAAGACAGGGAACACAACAGTGCCTACTACCAATATTTCTAATCAGGATTGTATTAGATATTCTAGACAGAAATGAAAAAAAGACAATATAAGGATTGCAAGAAAAAGAACAGAACTGCCGTTATTCGCAGGCAATATAACTATCTGCAGAAAACTGCAAGAGAATCTACAGATTAATTATTGTAATAAAGGAACTTTGGCACAGTTGCAAGATACAAGTCTTGGTATTTTAAAATGATCCAGTATCTCTAACTAACCAAGAAAACCCATTATCCATACAAAAATCCATAAAACGTAACCATGAAAAATACACTTCCAGTATGACTAGCTCTCTTGCAGAAGACTGGACAATATATGTAAAACATCTGTTTCCAGATACTAGACAGCAGACAGGGCAGGAATGGAATTCTTAAAAGATACAAATAATGTTGAACAGTGTAAGTTTTGATCTGGAGGCACTATGGGGAAGGGAGGGGGAACCTAAGTAAAGCAAGGCAATTTCACTGAGGTGAGGAAACAAATATTACAGTTTCAGAGGCTGACGTGGTCAAAATTGTCAGTGCAGAATACTGGAGAGAAGAGGGGAGATTGACACAAACACAAAGAGCTACAGAGATCTGTATATGGGAACCCATGAGTCTAGATTGCACACTAACCTGTCCATGTGAAATGTACAACTCCCTGAGGAAGGAAAGGAACTGATACTTGGGAGCTATAAGATAAACAGTTCCTGGAGCTCATAGGAGAGGTTTAAGATCTGACCAACCAGAATGGAAAAACCTTGGTGATCACCCAAGGCAGTCAGTAGAAACCCCAGAAAGGCCATTGCATAGGTATAGTACTAAACCAGCTCTAAAGTAAGGCAACTCTAGACTCTGCCTCTCCCAACAAGCTTGTAAACATCAAGCTGATTCCCAAGTACATTACCTGCCTAGCGGAGTAGAACTCATGCCCTTTAAAGGAAGACAACGTCCAAACATATCCACACCTCCTTGCTTTTCATTTGAGGTTCCTTTTTGCCTTTGAGTTAAGACATTGGAAAACTAACATAATAGCACTAGGAAATAGGTCTGAATCTGACCTCTTTGAATCAAGAGCCTGAATTATTGGAGCTAAGTCTATCCCAGCCGTATATTTTTAATAACTTATAAACATATAGAAATTAACCAGTATTGCAAGCATTATCAGCACTTTGAGTGATTACAATATCCTTCCAAAGTGTTTTAACTAAAATCAAACAATTAAAGGCTAATTTAGTTGTTTAACTACACAATTGGAAAGAGAAGTCAGATGTCCTAAAGATTATCCAGCTAAAATATGGTAGAGTTGTATTTTTGACTGCGGATTTGGAAATCCTACTCCAAAGAAGTTAGGGAGTATTTATGACTAAAAAGGGGTGATACTGTTGATAGAAATGGAGAACATTTTGAGGAGCATTGATTTAAGATTTTGAATTTGTTTGTAAAAATATGTTGAATTTAGGATTGATAATGGATCATCAAAATGGAAATATCTCATGGATAAAGACCAAAAGTCAGGACCATCAGAGCTGATTATTTCACCTGATGTGCCCTTAGGGTTAATAAATTCTGAAATCAAATGGCTTCTTCAAGTGCTATTGCAAGCAGATGAGAAAAATGCCAGACTTCAACTTTGGACTAGCCAGTTAAAAGATAGGGAAAAAAAGGGAATATGTAATATCTAGGTTTCCTTTTCTCTCATCTGTTTTTCTGCAGTTACAACTGATTAAAATAAAAATTCCTAAGCTAATTCATTAAAATTGTATTTAAAATTATATGGTTCTATCTGTACTTAATGTTAAACTATTAAAAAATACTTTTCATCTTCCTTTGTAGCCACCTTTCAACAGTTTTGGGAAACAAGTTTGATCATGGCGCTGAAGCCATCGTACCTACACTTTTTAATCTGGTCCCCAATAGTGCAAAAGTCATGGCAACTTCTGGATGTGCAGCAATCAGATTTATCATTCGGGTAGGTTTGCTCTCTCCTTTTCCACTGCTGCCTTCTCCCCACTTCCCCCACCCACTTTTTCTTTCTTCCTCCTCCTTTTTCTCTCCTTTCCCCACCCCACCCCACCGCCATCTCTCAATGCACCTAAATAAGTCATTGGGTTTCTTTTTGAACCCCAAAGGCAAATTATTTTTGAATCATTCTTCTGAAAGTAAAAGCCATAGATGGTCATTATAGAACCAGAGGATTGCAAAGTAACATGTTTGTATATGGAATATAATATATATATATATATATATATATGCATGTACATATGAGTACATATATGTGTATATAGTTACATGTGTGTATAGTCACAAATATTACAGAAAATAATAAAAGACAAATTTTTTTATAGTCATGTGCCACCTCAGAAAGTTTTGGTCAATGATGGGCTGCGTATACAACAGTGGTCCCATAAGATTATACTATATTTTTACTGTAGCTTTACTTTAATTCCTTTGGGTATGTTCAGATATACAATACTTAATATTGTGTTACTCTTACCTAGAGTATTCTGTACAGCTATATGCTGTACAGGTTTGTAGCCTAGGAGAATTAGGGTATAATATACAGCCTAGGTGTAGAGTAGCCTATACCATATAGGCTTATGCAAGTACATTCTATGATGCTCATATGATGAAATTGCCTAATGGATTTCTCAGAATGTATCCCCATCATTAATTGAGGCATGACTGTATTTCTCTTCATTCATGTCTTGAGGATGCCTGAAAGAACAGATTTAAAAAAACAAATCTCTCCCCTTCAGTTCTATTCCTTTGTTACTAATCACTCTAGCCATTTAATGTGTACTTTTCTAAACTTCTATTCTGTGCCTATATAAATGTATTTGCTACACATATAGAAAATGTAAATATATATATAATATATTCTTTAACTTCTTTTATATGTTTATTTATTTATTTTGAGAAGGGGTCTTATCTGTCACTCAGACAGGAGTGCAGTGGAGCAAACTCAGTGCACTGCAACCCTGCCTCCCAGGTTCTAGTAGTTTTCCCGCCTCAGCCACCTGAGTAGCTGGGACTAGAGGCATCCACCACCATGCCCAGCAAGTTTTTTGTGTTTTTAGTAGAGACAAGATTTCACTATGTTGGCCCAGGCTGGTCTCGAATTCCTGGCCTCAAGTGATCCGCCTGCCTCAGCCTCCTAAAGTGCTGGGATTACAGGTGTGAACCATCGCGTCCAGCCTAGCTTCTTTTTTAAACTTCACGTGCTTGGGCAGCTCTTCTTATCCATATATGTAATTCTTTTTAATGTCTAAATTAGTCTTCTTTTAAGGATGTAGCATCAAATTATCCTCACCAGGCCAGGTGCATTGGTTCACGCCTGTAATCCCAGCACTTTCGGAGGCCAAAGCGGATGGATCATCTGAGGTCAGGAGTTCGAGACCAGCCTAACCAACATGGAGAAACCCCGTCTCTACTAAAAATACATAATTAGCCAGATGTGGTGACACATGCCTGTAATCCCCAGCTACTCGGGAGACTGAGGCAGGAGAAGCACTTGAACCTGGGAGGTGGAGGTTGCTGTAAGCCAAGATTGCACCACTTCGCTCCAGCCTGGGCAACAAGAATCAAACTCTGTCTCAAAAAATTATCCATTATCCTCACTAGTCTCATTCCTGCAGTCTTCTTCCTGTAGTCCATTTTCTCCATCCCTTTACCAATATTGTCTTTTATCAGTATCTTTAAGGTTTTATAATTTAATAAGCATTATTTCATATTTTACTTTGCATTTCCTGCATTATTAGGGATGTTAGCGATTTTTTTCCTTCTATGATTCTTCTATGGGTTGTCAGCGTATACTCTGTACATTTTTTCTCACTTATTTCTAAGATCTTTTTATATATCATAAGGATATTCTGTGTTATATGTGTTGTGGTATTTTCTAGTCTGACATTTCAAGTATTATATAAGCTCTTTTGTTATATTTCAGAATTTTACATTTGTGTGTATTGAGACTTGTTCATTTTGTGGGTTTTATTATAGTTAAAACATTACCTTTCCCATTTCACAGTTACACAAAAAAATTCAATCATTTAGAACTTCTCTGTTTTTTTTTTCCTTAGGTTTAGATCTAACTGGATTTTATTTTCGTGTGAAATGCAGTTTCTAACTTGATATTTCCCCCAATACAAAACCAATTGACCCAGTAGCATGTGGTGAATTACAATGTAGCCTTTTCTTGAAATGCTGCCATTTTCATGTAATACGTTTCCATAAATATGTTAAGTCTGTTTCTTAAATGTATTTCAGGTTCTTTGATCAGTTTCTCTTTTCCTGTTAAAAAAATTAAGTTTATTCCTAATACTGCCTTACCAGGAAATGTTCTTTTTCACCAGTAAAATTAAAAATGCTTAAAGTCTTCAAAAATGATCCTTTTCCCCCTCGTTTTAGCTTTCTTTCTTTTTTCTTTTTTTTTTTTAAAGAGTGTAGACAACCTTAATTCAGAACTTTTGTAACAATGTCAGGAAGTATATTGGGAATTATTGAAATCATTGTTTTATGCCTGAGTTGGGTGGCATCATATTTAACTTTAAATATGATTTTTAATGGGTTTCTATGAATATAGTATATTAGATTTTGGAAAGTTTCTACTATTCACGTTTTGCTAAATTTTGATTGGAAATAGATGTTGAATTATATCAGGTAACCCTTTAGTATCTTTGTAAATGACTATTGTTGTTTTTTCATTATCCATTATACATCAGGAACTAAATTCTGCTTGGCCGTTGTGCATTAAGATACTGCTAGATTCAGTTGGTTAATACTTAGTAAGATTTTGGCATTCATTTAAATGAATAAGTATTCTGTGAATTTTTTTCCAGTTTTAGATATTTTGTTAATATATTGTTCTGCTATTAGAGTTTAATGGCCTTTAAGATTATCTAGTAACCTTTCCAACATTTTAGACTCTGGGCATCTTGAATCTTTAGTTTGAAATGTTGGCACTCCTCTCACCTCAACCTCCCAGGTAGCTGGGATTACAAGTGTGAGCTACTGTATCCAGCTGACTTTTTTCTAATTAGAATGTTATACATTCTTTTATATATACTTGGCAGAAGCATTATTTTGGGTTCTTTATAAACTTCAACTTATAATTTTATTGACTCTAGTAAGATTATTTCATTTTTCTAATTTTTTAGTTTCTATATATATTTTTTCAACTTTTGGCTCATTTTATCTTTTTAGATTTTTGTGGAATATCTTTAGACAGTTTGCATTGCTTTTTCTTTATTATTATAAGGCTTTGGGTTTTCTTCTGAGTTTTGACTTTGGCAGCATCTCAATGATTTAAATTTACCACATTCTGTTTAATTTGTGTTTTCAATCATTTGTAATTTCCATTTCAACTTTGAATTGTATAATAATATTGTTTTCATTTTTAGATGGTGCTTTTGTTCTTATTGTCATTATTTTCTAATTTCATGACATTCTGATCAGGGAATTTGGTTGTATGATTTATTTTTTGGTGAATGCCTTGAAATTTTGTGTTCTAGCATGTCATCAGTTTATATAGGTAGTCTATTAGCATTTACAAATATAGAATTCTTTGGCAGAGAATTGAGTACTTCGCTCATCACTTAATCTAGCTTATGTTTTATTTATGTTATTCAAGTTTTTTATGGTCTCATTAAAAAAAATTTATGTGACAAATTCTGATTCTTGTCAATTTCATTTTTTTTCTAACAGTTCTTGATATATGTACTTTATATATGGTCAAGGCTTTTTACTGTTGTCATCTTGAAATAGTATTTTTTTTCTATCTTATAATTTGTTTTCTGTTCATTGTGCTTTTTTCTTTTTTCTGTAATTTAGAAGTTCCTTATTGTCAAGAATAAAATCTTTGTTATGCTCCTTTTAAATATACATATACATTTTATTTCATTGATGTCATTTTGTCCCTTACCCATTGAATTCAATTTAACAAAAATATTTTTATTTTTGGCAATTGTAATTAATTGTGGTTTTTTTACTGCTTTTATTTCTGACCCATTGTTTATTGGTATACTCTCACTTCCTTTTTAAAGATTGATTCTGGGTCGTTCTTGTTTTGCTTTAGCGTTTTCTCACTTTTCAATATATATATCTTTATCTTTTGAATTGACTCTTCCTTGCCAATTCAAAATATGTAGACTGAAAATTTGACTGTTGAACTTCAGGTTCACTTTCCTTTTCTTTCACAATTGCTTTTTGTTGGTGGTGGTGTTGAGATGGAGTTTCGCAGTATCACCCAGGCTGGAATTCAGTGATGCCATTTCCCCTCACTGCAATCTCTGCCTCCCAGGTTCAAGCTGTTCTTCTGCCTCAGCCTCTCAAGTAGCTGGGATTTCAGGCACCTGCCACCACGCCTGGCTACTTTTTGTATTTTTAGTAGAGGTGAGGTTTCCCTATGTTGGTCAGGCTGGTCTTGAACTTCTGACCTCCTGGCTCATGCCTCACGCCTTTAATCCCAACACTTTGGGAAGGTGAGGCAATCCTCCTGCCTCAGCCTTCCAAAGTGCTGGGATTACAGGCATGAACCATCACATCTGGCCTGTTTCTTAACTTTTTATTGTTGTCTCCCAAAATGAGACTATTTGATTATTTTATAGCAAAACAACCACCACCACCACCAACACCAAACAACCTTTAGGAAGTTTTGTAAGTAGTCCCTTTGTGTGAAGAGTTTCCCCACAGCAGGTCTAGGAGTCAATTGTCTTTTACTAATACTATTCTTAAACGGTAGACAAGGATTTTTGACTGAAATGGGTTTAACTTAAATTTATGTTAATTTTTATGAATCTTTTCTTTATTTAGTACTTCTGTCTTATTTGCTCAGATCTTTTCCTGTTCTTACTTTTGTTACACAAATTCTGAAATCCTTGATGTCATTTATCATTTTTTGAGTAACTTTTGTCTCTTTGTCTTACATCTGTGTGTATTCTCAGGCAAATTCCTTTAAATTCTACTTGTTTGAAAGTACCCATTTTGTGATTCTCAGGCTTTACTCTTTATCCTTTTTTTTCAAATTGTTCATTTTTCACAAACTTTTTTATGTTATTCTAGCCTGTCATCTCACCAATAATATAATGATTTTTAAATGTTACCTACAGTTTTTCTCTGTTTTATTTCCTAAGAGTCTGCTTCCTTAGATTGCTGTACTTAATTTCTAATTCTCTTTTTAATTTTAGAGAAGTTTTTTTGCCTCATCGTCAACTTGTATTAATAAAGCGTAAATCTTTCTTAGTGTTTGGTTAAATGCTTTTTCTGTAATTGAGGTAATTTTTTACTTTCCTTTGGTACAGTTCCCCCTGAATATGATGTAGTAATCGTTAGGTCAGTTTATCTCCCCGTCCTTGCCACTGTCGTGGATGTGGTTAACCTAGTATTAAGATTTTTGGGAGATTAGAAAAGAAAGAGGAGGAGTGTGTGGTACGTAAGACCTCCTTTATAGCTGTGGCTAGGGGATCTCCATGGGCTTTACCTCAACAATAATGTTTGGGAAATGGGCTCTTGTGGATGCTGTTGGGAGCAGGTCCACAGAGTCCTTCCATGCTGAATTGAACAGTTGACTATTGGGCATGTTAGCTCACTTTCTTGCATCATTCTCATCTTCAGCAGCTTCAAGTCTGTAAATGGTTTCTTCTCTGTAGTAGCTGAAAAAATGTTTTTCCTTTTATTTTGGTTTAGTTAGCTGTGACAAACGCTGTTGTGCCATATCCTTCAGTGAAAAACTTAGTTCTCCAATGCCCGGAGAACTGTTAGTAGACAGCCTTTAGCTGCCAGTCTCTTAAAGGATTATTTCAGCTAGAGAGCTGCCTTTCCCAAGGTCTTGCCCTTACCAGTATTACCCATATCTAATGACTGATGGGTGTGGAAGTGTAAAGGTTTGGCCATGTAGGACCAATTCAAGACTGTTCCGAGGGAGCATTTCAATTCTAGAGTTTTCTAATGGCTTTGGGCAAAAATAGCCTTGGGTTGCATCAAAGTTCCCTTTCTTCCTCTGCCCACTCCACTCCTGCTTCCTTCTTCTCACTTCCACAGGTGCTAATCCCAAGGGCACTTATAAAAAATTAATATATAATAAGTGTACATATTTTGGGAGTACATGTGATATTTTAATGCATTCATATGTTTAAAGGTCAAATTAGGGTAATTAGGAATTCATTACCTTAAATACTTTTCTTTATGCTAGGAACATTCTGATTATTCTCTTTTAGCTATTTTGACTGTACAATAGATTGTTGTTAACCATAGTCACCCTACTGATCTATTGAACACTGTATTTGTTCTAACTCTGTATCTATTAACCTCTTTTCATCCCCCACTCCCCACTATTCTTCCTAGCCTCTGATCATGACTAGCCTATTTTCTATCTTCATGAGGTCCACCTTTGTTTATCTCCCATATGAGTGAGAACATGTGATATTTGTCTTTCAAGGGCATTTCCTAACAAGTATCTTGCATGCTAAACTCCATCTCATTGCTTGCTTCCTAGATAACCCATCCTGTACCATTAGCTCAGAAGGAATACAGGAGATTTAAGGAATTAAATGTATGCTTATGTTACTGTCTATTATGAACTTTTTAGTGTTTGCTTCACTAAAGAAGAGCATAGTAATTACTAATAGAAATCAGAAGATTATGTGTATTAAACTTCTACTTGAATTCTAGAGAGATATGATTCAGCCAGAATAAAGTGAACGTTCTATTAAAATCACCATTTCATAGTCCATTCCCAGTAGTTAGGGATATAGATTCACTTAACTACTTGCTTGGATGACATTGTAATTACGATTTTTTACCAGCAATAGCCGTGGTACTTCAGAAAATGTGGCTGCCTTCATACTCCCTCTCCCCCAAAACTATATTGTCCAACAGTTCTTTGCAGTTACATAGTTAACTTTTCTTTGTTATGTAATATTACATCCACACCTGTCCTTTTGAAACTGTATCATCATTACCGTTACTTTAATTCGGGAAAACTTTTCAAGACTGGTCTTGATTTCTTTCTTTTCTGGTCTTTTTGTCTTCTTGTAACATAACTAAATACTTGAATGTAAGACAAATAGAAGAAAGGACTACGTGAAGTGCGTAGTATTTTCAACCTTTTCTAAAACATCTTTTTCAGCATACTCATGTACCCAGACTTATACCTTTAATAACAAGCAATTGCACATCAAAATCAGTTCCTGTCAGGAGGTAAGTTTAATTTTTAAAAAATTATTATTGTTATTTTTTTAATGTAGCTCTGATACTGCATTGTTTAATTCTTGGTCTGGTGCAAGAATTGGTCATTAATTTCTTGCCTTCCAGAAAATCATTAAAAAGTGTTTTGTTTTGTTTTAAAAATCATATTTCATGTAAGGGAGAAGGGATGAAGTGATTATTATGAGCACCCACTTTTCTCAGTTTTATCATATTAAGCTTTGGTTTATTTGTGCTGCTGGTTGCCTTGGTTTTCAGAGAACAAGGAGTAGAGTCACGTCTGGCCTAGAGTCCTACAACTGCCCCTGACAATTCTACCTTAGGCAATTATTTAACTGCTCTGAATCTTAGTCCCTGCGTAGGTAGTAAAGCTAATAATGTCAACCCCATAGAACATAGGATTAAATGAGATACACATTAGTAGAATATAACCTGGTGTTTGGAACAAAGTAAATAACCCTATCAGGTCTTTCAATTAGCATCTATCTCTGTCTCTGTGTCTCTCTCCTGTTTCTACAATTTTTAACATCACACCTGTCAACCCAAATATCAGAGAGGCCCTCTGAAAGAAAATGATGTTAGTATTTATGCAGGGATGAGCACTGCAGTGGTAATATGCATAAAACAGTAAACAATGTGCATATTCAGGGAGATAAAGAAAAACAAAGGTTTTTAAAGGAAAGTTGAGGAGGCTTACATGATTGTTTTGAGTTACTTATCCTGGGCTACAAGGATCAGTAACAAGGGTGAAGCCAAGTTGAGGTTGGACAGGCAGTTGCCGGGCAGATGTCCTTGCAAAAGTTGTTTTGTTTTGTTTTGTTTTGTTTTTTTGTAAGATTGCAATAGCCTTTGTGAAAGGTTGTGTTTTTTTGGAGTCTTTGGTGATAGCTCTTATTATCAGTCATTTATGCATGTGAGCGCTCCCTTAATGGCCTTCCTCAGCTCTGTTTGTCGTGTGTGTGTGTGTGTGTGTGTGTGTGTGTGTGTGTGTTTTAACACAAGTGATTTAATTTTGATTCTGACAACTTTCCACACCACTGTAACCAACAATAATAAAGACAGGAGAAACAAGATTTGTGTACTTGATGTTTATAAAGAATTCTACCTTTTTAAATTAGATAAATATGTTAAATACTTTGTTAGGAAGAAGCTGAATAAGACATTGCTATTTTAAGTGGTTCAGGGTTTTGATAATAGTTGTTCAGTCATATGTCTTGTGTCAGGGGTCAGCAAACAACAGCTTGCTGGTAAAATGTGGCCAACAGTCTGGTTTTGTAGAGCCTACATACTAAGGGTGTTTTTGGCATTTTTAAAGGGTGGTTAAAAAAATGTGGGGTTATGGGGGGGAAGAATATGAGACAGAAACTGTATGTGGTCCACAAAGCTTAAAATATTTACTGTCCAACCCTTTACAGAACAGGTTAACCAACCCAAAACTGAATAAAATAGTAATTGGAGAAATAAGAATGTGACAGAAAACGAAATCAGAAAACGTATTATAGAATTGCCTTAAAAATGAGGAGCAAGCCTTTAACTGTAGGGAGAGTGAGTGGAGTACAACCTAAGCAGAAATATAAAGCTATGCCATATGTTGCAGAGCCATCAGATAGTTCCCTGAGGCCAGAACATATGATAAGTGGAAGGTTTCAATGGGAAAAGAGGCTGGTTGAAGGCTGGAGAGTAGCTGAGGTCATAGTGTGGAGGGCTTTGAATGTTATGAGGAGGAATTTTGACATTATTTCATAGATAGTAGGAATCTTTGACAGTTTTAGATTTTTAGTAAGGAGGTGATGTCCAAGCCTAGTTTTTATTCCGTCTATGAAAGTGATTGAAAAGACACAATGAAAAGCATTGTTTAATTAGGTAGGAATTGTTATAATTCATAGAAGAGAGAGGCAGAGTCTGGACTAGAACTGTGTTGAACTGTGTTGATAATTGATTGAAGGCGGTTTTATTTAATTAACAAATTCAAAATATATTTCTTATGTAGAAATGAGACTTGATAATTGGATGTAGAAGAGGAGGGTGGTGTCAAGTGCTTCATACCGTGAGCTCTGGAGTCAGAATGCCAGGGTTTAAGTCCTAGCTCTATCGCTTTGAGCGAGTTAATTTAACCTCTCCATTTCTCATTTCCTAATCTGTAATTCATGAGCTATAAGAGAAGATTTGAAAGGGTAAGAATTAATTCATTGTTTTCTATGTAGTGTTTGAGTTGACATTCACTGCCTATGTGGAGATATCCATAATCTAGTTTGAACTTTGATTTAACTGCTGAAGTGACAGACCAATGCTTGAGATAGTAGGACTAGATGTGATAATTACGTCTCATAGGCAGAACTAAGGGTACAGATGATGTTGCCCCAGTAGAAAGACTATAAAAAGGTAAGTGGGCTAATATTGGCACCAACCAGGTGAGCATCTGTGTAAAGGAAAGTGGAGGAAAAAATGTTAATTAAAGGAGAAATACAGGACAGAGCTGTGTCATCAAATACCAAGGAAGGAGAGGAGCTCAAGTATGAGACAGTTGAAGAAACTGAGAAATAGAGGACTTAGGAGAAAATGTACACAAACTTTTTGTAAAGTCATGTACATACATATTTAAGGAAACAGTATAAAAATGAAAGATCCAGATTGCTGTGCCTTTCTTAATCACCACTGTATATCTTCAATGTCAAGTGTATAGATGTTTAATAAATATTTTTAAATTAATAAGTGAAACTTGTTAAATTTTTTTTATTTTTCATTTTTTTGAGACAGGTTCTCACTCTGTTCCCTAGGCATTATCTTGGCTCACTGCAATCTCCACCTCCCGGTTTTAAGCGATTCTCCCACTTCAACCTCCCGAGTAGCTGGGAGTACAGGCGCGTGCCACACGCTCAGCTAATTTGTGTATTTTTAATAAAGACAGGGTTTCACCATGTTGGCCAGGGTGGTCTCGAACTCCTGGCCTCAAGTGGTCCACCCGCCTTAGCCTTCCAAAGTGCTGAGATTACAGATGTGAACCATCGTGCCCAGCCATAAGTTTTATATTTGACAAACATTTTAAGTTAAAATTATGAGGAACTCTTAAAACCTTTTTGAGCGGTTTAGCATAGCAATAATTGCATCTCTTTGGGAGGCTGAGCCAGGAGAATTGATTGAACCCGGGAGGCAGAGGTTGTGGTGACCTGAGATAGCACTTTGTACTCCAGCCTGGTCAGCAAGAGCGAAACTCCATCTGGGAAAAAAAAACAAGCTATCTAAAAATCATGTCTTATGATTAAATTTGGGGGGCAATGTGTAGTAGTATAAAAGAAAGAAAAGTGTTAATGTATTCCTCAATACAACATTTAGTTATCATTCAACTTTTATTTTTCAGACGTTCATTTGAATTTTTAGATTTATTGTTACAGGAGTGGCAGACTCATTCATTGGAAAGGTATGCATTGCTTCTTCCCTCCTCATTGTCACTAGTTCTTTAGAAGTTGATGGTATTGGTTTTACGTTACTTCTCATTTTGCTTCAAAGGTTATTCATACTGATTTTCCTTTAAAGCTGGGGTGGTATTGTTCCCCTCTTAATCATTAGAGCTATGAATTGTATGATTTTCTTCTTTGTGGAATGGGTAAGGGTTTCTCAAATAGAATGGATTATGTAAGATACTCCAAGTTGAGTTGGACAAAAGTTTAAAAATATATCCCTAGTCATGTCATGTAAGTTTCCTGAGGTGCAGTCAATCATGTAATGAATGATTTAAGATGGAAGGAGCTTCCTTTCAGAGGAAAGAGATTTTTTAAAAGAGATATTTTTTGGGAAGTTTCTCCACACCAGCTGTTAGATGTCATTGGTCAGGTATATACTGGACAATGTCTAATGTAACTCTGAGATGAAGAAGAGGAAAATGTGGGCAACTGATTGTTTACTGGCTATTTGCATGGCTATATTTCTCATTGGTTTCAAGTTTGAAGCTTGGTAGATACAGTGCTAATTTTGCATTTTCTTGAAAATTCTTGACTTCTTAAAGCTCGTTTTTAAAAAATTGAATTTGTTATTTAATGTAGGCCTAATAAAATTTCAGGTTTTTTTGTGTTCTTTTGTGGCAGCTATCATTCAAATTTGGTCAGATCGCAACTGATCACACTTAGCAAGTAATTTCTACAATAGTGGATTAGTGAGGAACCACACAGAAGATTCTTTTTTCTCTAATTTATTAAAAGTTAAAAATTTAGGTACTATATATTTATACACTATCTGAATTCCATATAAAATAATTACTTTTTGATTTATAGTGATTGGATTGTCAGAAGGAAACCATACATGAATAAAACATATGGGCCAGATAATTAGAAAATCTTATGGTCTTAGATTTATTATTGTGTACTAATTAATTTATTTTTATTTACCTCACCTACCCACTTTGTGATTAATATGTAGCATATAGGCAGTAAGTATCATTTGTGGTGAAACATGCAGCTTTATCATAACTCTAAAGATGTATTTATTTTATAGACATGCAGCTGTCTTGGTTGAAACTATTAAAAAAGGAATTCATGATGCTGATGCTGAGGCCAGAGTGGAGGCAAGAAAGTAAGTCGGTGTAGTATATTTTTGTGACAGTTTAATCTTTTTTTTTTTTAACAAAATGTATTGGGAGAATGAAAATATCAAAAGTGCCTAAGTAAATATTTTACTTGACTAGCTCTCTAGTAAAATTAAGATTGTTTTTCTCTCCATTAAATCTGTACTAGACATCTAATAGCCTGCTGCATATTGCCAGTGATATGTAATCATTAGTATTCTTTTTTTAATCATAACGTATTCACTTTCATCATGAATAAAAAGAAATATCATTTATCAGGTTTGTATTTTGTACCTGATATTGTATGAGGTACTTGTTGTGTATTATTTTCTAACCCTTAGAATGATCCTCCAAAGATAGTGTTATCTCCATAGATGGCAACTGAAATTTAGACACTTAGGCCACACTTACCCAAGGCCACACAAACCCTAAGTGGCACAGCAGGTTTTGAACTGAGATCTGCTTTTCTCAAAAGCCTTCAGTCTTTCCACGGGAACTTGTTAAATTTAGAAAGTGTTCGCCTGACACAGAGCAGATAATGTTGAAAAACAGTGGGCTTATCTTCATCTTTCTTGAATGTACACATTTTACTGTTAATGTCTAATTATGTAAAGCTATTATTTCATCTGCTTTTCTTTTTTTTTTTTTAAACAGGACATATATGGGTCTTAGAAACCACTTTCCTGGTGAAGCTGAAACATTATATAATTCCCTTGAGCCATCTTATCAGAAGAGTCTTCAAACTTACTTAAAGAGTTCTGGCAGTGTAGCATCTCTTCCACAATCAGACAGGTCCTCATCTAGCTCACAGGAAAGTCTTAAGTAAGATCATATAAATGATGATTACTAGTCTCTTTCTCTCCTCAACTCCCTAAACTTTCTAAAGTTGGACACTTGAGTATCTATCTGTTTGCTTTCACGTAAAACCTTGAAAGAATGGTAACTCAAATATACTTAACTAATTTTGGTCTGTTGTTTCAAGGGTTGGGTTACTTGCCAGCATAACTCCTTCTCTTTGGGTAAAGAATTCTGGATTCGCCGGGCGCGGTGGCTCAAGCCTGTAATCCCAGCACTTTGGGAGGCCGAGGCGGGTGAATCACGAGGTCAAGAGATCGAGACCATCCTGGTCAACATGGTGAAACCCCGTCTCTACTAAAAATACAAAAAATTAGCTGGGCATGGTGGTGCGTGCCTGTAATCCCAGCTACTCGGGAAGCTGAGGCAGGAGAATTGCCTGAACCCAGGAGGCGGAGGTTGAGCCGAGATCGTGCCATTGCACTCCAGCCTGGGTAACAAGAGTGAAACTCTGTCTCAAAAAAAAACAAAAACAAAAACAAAGAATTCTGGATTCACATTTTGCTTCTATATATTCATGTCTGTGAAAGCTTGGAAAGCACTACATTTTTTTTTAATACCACAAAAATAGTACTTAACAATAAATAGCCCATTTAATGGAAGAATTATAATGGAGATTCAGAAGTTATCTTGAGAATTCTTGTGCAACACTACGTGACTGGTAAAAAACTCTACTGCGTTCCTTCTAACTTTTCGCACAGCTTAAAAATTCTGGAAATCCCTCAAGGGACAACATGATCTAGTATCTGACTTAGTTCTCTGTAACTTCATTATCATCATGATGTCAGCTATCTCAAATCCTTGCTGCTTTGGCAGCCATAACCCTGTTTTTTGTCTCTCTAGCCCTATGAGATTGCTAAAATTTCCAATGTCTTCTCCACTTCCTAGCACTGGCCCTGTCCATCTTTGTGAGCTCTTGCCCTGCTCCATATATCTGCAGATTTCCCCAGGGAAGAGCAGCTCAGAGAATGTGTCAGCTTAGGCTGGGCACGGTGGCTCATGCCTGTAATCCCAGAACTTTGGGAGGGCAGGATGGGCAGATCACCTGAGATCAGGAGTTCAAGACCAGCCTGGCCAACATGGTGAAACCCCACTTCTACTAAAAATACAAAAGTTATCTGGGTGCAGTGGCAGGTGCCTATAATCCCAGCTACTCAGGAGGCTGAGGCAGGAGACGCTCTTGAACCTGGGAGGCGGAGGATGCAGGAAGCTGAGATTGTGTCACTGCACTCTAGCCTGGGCAACAGAGCAAGGCTCTTAAAAAAAAAAAGAAAAGAAAAACAAAAATAGAGAATGTCAGCTTACCTCTCTGTAATTCTTTTCTTTTTGGGATCTTGACCACTACAAAGATTGCTGGTTGCCTTGGCAACTCGGTTGGAGGACTGGGGGACCAGGGTAAGGCAAGTGAGGCACCTAGGGTGCTTAAAGAATTTAAGCAGGCACTCACTGGGTCATGCAAATACTGTGCTACAGTTTAGTTTCTTATAGGTTTTTCAGAATAAACACAGATATGATCTGATTTCGAAAATAATTAATGTAGGAATAATGACCTATCTAAACTTATTTAAATTTCCGTTTAAACTTCTATTTAAATTTGGGATAAATTGCTCATCTGAAATGAGCTGTCTTTGTTGCTTTTGTTCTCTTTTTGTTAACTATGCTCAAACTTTAAAGTATATCCGAATCACCTGAAGATCTTGTTAGAATCTAGAATCTGATTCAGTAATTTTGGGGTTAGGGTCTGAGATTTTTCATTTTTTTGCAAGCTCCTAGGTAATGCTAAATGCTGTTTGTTCATTGACCATACTTTAAGGACAAAGGATCTAAAGCAAGATATTTTATATTGCTTTATTATAACATTTTTAAACATAAACAACTTTAGATTCTGTGAACCTTGAATTGATCTGCCGCAATCTAAGAGAATAAAACTTTTAGGAGATAGTTATAAAAATAATATAGTTATCTTAAATATTACACAGACATAACCCCTGACAACTTAGGTGAGAGAGACTTTGGTTATGTTGAGTTTCCTGTGTGCTAGTGATAATACTACCCCTTTCTTCTACATAAAATATCTCAGGATACAAGTGAATAATAGTACTGTTATTGAGTCCTCTTTGGTGGTTATTATGATATATGTTGAGGAGCAGAGTGAACAAAGGCAAACTGATTCCTATCTCTGTAGGGCTTACAGTCTATATTCATTGCCAGTTATTTTATTTTTGCTTCATAACTAATTCAGACACCATTGTTATGTGATGATTTCGAGGGACTGTTCTAAAGTGATTTGTAAAAGGAAAGTTAAAATTAGAAGTACCAGCTAGGCACCATGGCTCACACGTATAAATCCAGCACTTTGGGAGGCTGAGGTAGGAGGATAACACTTGAGCCCAGGAATTTGAGACCAGCCTGGGAAATGTAGGGAAACCCAATCCCTATCAAAAATTTAAAAATTAGGCACACTTGGTACCATGCATCTGTAGTCCCAGTTAACTTGAGAGGTTGAGGTGGGAGGATCACTTGAGTCTGGGTGGTCAAGGCTACAGTGAGCCATGATTGTGGTACTACACTCTAGCCTGGGTAACAGAGCAAGTCTCTGTCTCAAAAAAAAAAAAAAAAAAAAAGTACTTCTCAACTTTCCACAAAATTCAGTGGTATTTTATTGGTTTTTATCAGAGGAATGTTAAATTGTCTTCTTACTAAAAGCATTTCTTATACCTTGCAGTCGCCCTTTTTCATCCAAATGGTCTACAGCAAATCCATCAACTGTGGCTGGAAGAGGTAATTTTCTGTTTTAAGAGTTATAGCCTATTTTATCCTTAAAACAGTAGCCTTCAAACTCTTTTGCCGTGCTCTTTAGTGAGAAGATCATTTTAAATGGTAACTCAGTACCACACATATGCACTGTACCTGTATATGTATACATATATAACCCGAAGTTCCAGGAAGCAGTACTTATTCTTACTTGTGATGCCCTCTCTTTTCCATTCCATTTCATTCCGTTACATTTCTTCATAATGCTTCTCATGGCGCACTCAGTTGATTTCACAACCTGGTAATGGGTCATGACTCACTATAAAACTCCTGACCAGCCTGGCCAACATGGGGAAACCCCGTCTCTACTAAAAATACAAAAATTAGCTGAGCATGGTGGCGTACACCCATAATCCCAGCTCCTTGGGAGGCTGAGGCAGGAGAATTGCTTGAACCCAGGAAGCAGAGGTTGCAGTGAGTTGAGATCACGCCACTGCACTCTAGGCTGGGTGACAGAGCGAGACTCTGTCTCAAAATAAATAAATAAATAAAATAAAAATTAAAAACTGAAAGACTAAAGACCAGAAATTGAATGACTTAATTTGCATTGCCACGGAGTGGCAGAACCTCCATTAATTTCTGAATATCTCTACTCCTGGACTAGTTTTTCTTGTATTTTTCTCATAGTAAAAAATAATACTGTTGCCTTCTATTCATCTTGTACAGTACTTCCTTTTCATACATTATTTCTAAACATCATCTCTTCATCTACAAAACAGCCCTGTGAATTTTATGGTCCAAATGTCACCATTTTTCTGATTTTATGGGAGAGGAAACAAGGTAGAAAAATACTGAGAAAATTGCTGAGGACTTAGTTGTGATTGAAACTCAGGCATTCTGACTTTACTTGATGGTACTGTCCATTTGACCACTGCCTTTTTGTTGCCCATTTGTCATCAGATTAGCTCATAATGGCCAGGTTTATATGATTTTCATGTTTTCAGTGATTTAAATAATATAGCTTACCTTTGCTTTGTCTTTCATAGTATCAGCTGGCAGCAGTAAAGCCAGTTCCCTTCCAGGAAGCCTGCAGCGTTCACGAAGTGACATTGATGTGAATGCTGCTGCTGGTGCCAAGGCACATCACGCTGCAGGACAGTCTGTGCGAAGTGGGCGGTTAGGTGCAGGTGCCCTGAATCCAGGTTCCTATGCATCTCTAGGTAAGACAACTGATTATGGAAAGTTGTATGGTGTTATCTCCCTGGCCTCTGTGAAGACAAGTTCATACACTGTAATCATTTCTATTTATTCTTGTTATTTAAGGATAGTTCATATATCTTAATGTGATTCTATATTGGGGACATGCTTCTGAGTAATCTGAGCTGCCTTTTTTCGCCTTTTCTCTTATCCTTCTCATCATCATGATCAAAGAAACAATTCTTGAGTCCATGACTGCCTGTAGAATTTCATAACTGCACTTCTACCACATCTAGCCACTGGTAACCAGTGGGGGTTTGGGAAGGGAATTGGCCTTGTATCTAGCTTTCCTATTCTCTTTCTCCTACTTCTTTTCTCTTAGCAAGAATGTGAAGCCCTTTGGAGATCTGGGAGAACTGCAAAGCTCTGCTGTGTCTAATCAAACCCTAAACATATATTCTAAATCTCTATTCAGTTTGGTTTTTTCATGTTTTTATGTCCATCATGTTAAAAAGTTGAGGTTGGTTATCCATATTGTGTACCTCTTCTTCATGCTTCATTTTTTTCTTTTGGGTAGTACTGGTGGAACACTAAGCAGACATATTGCCAGAACACAATACAGGTTGAGCATACCTAATCTGAAAATCTGAAATTTGAAATGCTCCAAAATCTAAAACTTTTTGAGTATCAACATGACACTCAAAGGTATTTCGGACTGAGGTGGGTGGATCATTTGAGGTCAGGAGATCATGACCAGCCTGGCCAACATGGCAAAACTCTGTCTCTACTAAAAATGAAAAAATTAGTTGGGTATGGTGGGTGACCCCTGTAATTTCAGCTACTTGGGAAGACTGAGGCAGGAGAATCGCTTGAACCCGGGAAGCTGAGGTTGCAGTGAGCTGAAATCACTCCACTGCCCTCCACCCTGGGCGACAGAGTGAGACTCTATCAAAAAAAAAAAAAAAGAGATTTTGGATTTTTGAATTAGCGATGCTCAATCAGTTAACTGAGCATCGCTAATTCAAAAATCCAAAATCTCTTCAAAATTTGAAATCTAAAACATTTTTGGCCCCAAACATTTTACGTAAGGAGTACTCAACCTGTAAGAATGCAGAGAATTTAGGTATGAATGTAGTACGTGATAACGTTGGCACAGCTGCATTCAGAATCATGAAGAGGAATAGATTATTCAGTAAATTGTGTTTAGACACATGATTTACAATCTGGTATAAAATTAATTTAGAATTATGTTACACACCATGTAGAAATATATTCCAGATGATAAAAACGTTGAACAAAAACATAAAGCAACTTGATGAAGACGTAACAGGTGAGTATTCATCAAGTCTCAGATTGGGACAGGAATTCCTATACATAAAAACAAATAAACCATGAAGGAGAAAATCTTTTGAATTTAAATCTAAAGTATGAAAATATGAAATCAAGTAAGCAAAAACTAAAAGGAGAAAAGATTTTGCCACATACTAGTAAAATAGTTAAAATGTTGAGAAGTTTTTCAAGTCTATTAAAAACAGATGACCTTATTTTTATAGAAAAAATTCTACATATATCAAGAAAAGCATGTATCAAAATTGCCAACAAATAACAGTAAATTTTGAACCTCAGCTATAATCAAACAAATACAAATTGATAGACCTAAAACTATAACAAGAAAGTTAAGGGTAGTGCCCACTGTTTTCAAGAATGTCATAAAAAAGGGCCTTATCAAGCACACTGATGTGAATTAGTGATGGGACACTTTTTCTGAATTCTGATTTAGGAATTCCATGAAGCATTTTTAAATCAGAATTTTTGCCCTAATAATTCAGTGTTTAGACCGTTATGTTTAAAAAAAGAATATTCATGTTTTTAATAACATGCTATTAGCATCAACCTTAACATGTAACAGAGGAGATGGTTGAGTTATATTGTATCTTTATGTATGCTGTGCAGCTATTAACAAGACATATTTTCAACAGAGATTGAATTATGCAGACCACCAAATAGTATTTAGTAATTTCATCATTTTGTGTAAAATTATACATAGATGAAGGACTGACGTGATATATACAAAGGTGTTAACAGTGGGTTGATTACTGCTTTTAATTTTCAGAAAACTTTTTTGTTTCAAAGCATTACTTTGCCAAGAATGCAAGGTTATTTCATTATGTGAAGACCAGTCAACAAATGTACCATATTAATAGAAGAAAGGACAAAAACCACATGATCATTTCAGTAGCTGCAGAAAAAGCATTTGACAGAATTCAGCACCTTTCTATGATAAGCATACTCAGCAAACTAGGAACAAAAGTCATCTTTCTCAACCCGTTAAAGAGTTTCTTTGAAAAATTCACAGCTAGCATCCTACCTGATGCTTAAAAAAAAAAAAAAAAAAAACGCCGGGCGCAGTGGCTCACGCCTGTAATCCCAGCACTTTGGGAGGCCGAGGCTGGTGGATCATGAGGTCAAGAGATCGAGACCATCCTGGTCAACATGGTGAAACCCCGTCTCTACTAAGAATACAAAAATTAGCTGGGCATGGTGGTGCGTGCCTGTAATCCCAGCTACTAGGGAGGCGGAGGCAGGAGAATTGCTTGAACCCAGGGGGCGGAGGTTGCGGTGAGCCGAGATCACGCCATTGCACTCCAGCCTTGGTAACAAGAGCGAAACTCCATCTCAAAAAAAAAAACAAAAAAAAAACTGGGCATTTTTTCCTAAGATCAGTAACAAGACAAGAATATCTAGTCTTACTCTATTTAACGTCACCTAGAAGTAATGTTAAATTGGAGGTGCTAGCCAGGGCAGTTAAGCAAGAAAATCAATAGAAGGTATCCAAAATGGAAAGGAAAAACTTAAACTATCTCTATTTGCAGAAAACACAATCTTGTGTGTTCAAATCCTAAGGATTCCACCAAATATATATATAATTGCCATCTGATATTTATATATAAAATATCAGATGGTAATAATAGATATCAGACATTTTGGAAAGTTGGACATTAAGAAGCTTGTGATTGGGGAAGTTGCTGTGACTTTCTCCCTGAAGATTCAGAGTCAGGATCATGTGCTAAGAGGTAACTTGAAGTTTAGAAAGCCATTTGGGGGGATTAGACACAAGAGGTGGGACACTCATGGCTGAAATTTATTAGAGCATTTACAAGTTCAGCAAGGTTGCAGGATATAAGATCAGTGTACAAAGGTCACTTGTATTTCTAAGCACTAGCAGTGAACAATCCAAAAAGGAAATTAAGAAAATGATTATAATTACAGTAGCAGTAAAAATAATAAAATATGTAGGAATAAATACAACAAAAGAAGTGTAAGACTTGTATACTGAAAACTGCCACACGTTAAATGATGAAAATATTTTGGAAATAGTTTGACAGTTTTTCAAAAAGTTAAATGTAGAGTCACCACAAGACTCAGTAATTCTGTTCCTAGCTATATACCCAAGAGATCAGAAAACATATGTTCTCACAAAAACCTATACATGAATGTTCATAATATTACTCATAATAGCCAAAAGGACAATCCAAATGTCCTTTTGCTGGTGAATGGATAATCAAAATAGGACATATCTATGCAATGGAATGGAATATTATTGTCATAAAATTTAGAGTACATTACATAAAAATGTCTGCCTCAAGATGGATCAACTTTGAAATTATGAAGTCAAACACAAACAGACATGCATTGTATGATTCCATTTATATGAAATGGCTATAATAGGCAAGACCACCAAATCAGAAAGTAAATCAGTTGTTGCTGAGAGAAACGGAGGCGATAGGAAGTGACTGTTACTAGGTGCAGGATTTATTTTGACGGTGATAAAAATGTTCTGGAATTAGCGCTGAGGGTTGCACAACACTGAATATATTTAAAATACTGAATTATTTACTATAAAAGGGTAACTTTTGTGATACATGTGAATTATATCTCAATTTTTTTCAAAGTGGGAAGAAAACTGGGTGAGGTGGGGGAGGAACCTCTGTTCATCCTGAGTCTTAAAAGTAAACACATTACATTTAATATGTATTATTTTTACCAGAAGGAAAATATTGTATTTAAAGTGCTTTAATAAGCACTAGAAAGCCAATTTGCAGCAATATATTTTTTGGTAAAAACCTATTGTTGTTTAAGGTTTGAATCCCATGTTTCAATATAAAAAGGAGAAGTGCCACTCCTTTTTTCTTTTCTTTATCTGACCCAGGTTTCCACTCAGGGACAATCAGCCACCTGCCTGTTGCTCTTTCCGGGGTTAAAGGAGGTTCTCCTTTACCTCTCTCCCTTCACCTCACCCTACCCACTGTGTCTCCTGTAGCCTTTTTATACACATGAGACTGGTATTACCTCTGTTTTCATCTACTTTGAGCCTCACTTATTATGGCTGTACATGTATGGATTAGAGAGAGTGTTCTGTTATTTTTCAATACACACTTATTGAGTACTGAGTTTTTGCTAGGTACCAGGGATCCAGAACTATATGACTGAATCTCTCAGTCTGTTGATAAGTTGCTGAAGGATGAGCAGCTAAAAGTTTGTTGCGTTTTATACATTTTGAGTTTGAAGTCCCTGGGAGACTTCAAACTAGAAGTTGTCAGTGGACACTTGGTATATAGTGGTATAGAACTTGGCAGAGAGGCCCAGCACAGTGACTCACACCTGTAAATCCAACATTTGGGAGATCGAGGCAGGTGGGTTGATTGAGCCCAGGAATTCAACACCAGCCTGGGCAATATGGCAAAACCCCACATCTAACAAACAAAAGTTAACCAGGCATGGTAGCACATGCCTGTGGTCCCATCTGCTAGGGAGGCTGAGGTGAGAGGATTGCGGGAAGTTGAGGCTACAGTGAGTGGTGATTACACAACTACACTCCAGCCTGGGTGACAGAGCAAGACCCTGTCTCAAAAAAAAAAAAAAAACACTTAGCAGACAGCTATGCTGATTAGATTAGGTTAGATTTAGAAGTCATTAGATATTTTTACTGTAATCAATATTAAACTCGGAGCATTCCTTCTTAAAGCAGCTGCCACTGGTTTTTATTATCTCTAAAGGACCGAATTTTATTGGCAGCAGGGATATCATAAGTGTTTTGAAGTTCACCCTTTAACTTCAGCCTGAAAAGGAAAATTGGATAGGAAACAGGAATTTAAGTTAAGGTAACCTTGATGTATGAGTGCATATTTGTGAATATTTATTCTAACAGTTGAGTTTATGGATTTACTTGAGTGGAAAATGAAATATAGTTTCAATTAGGTCATATGGACAGAAGTCAGATTTTAGTTGGTTGATTGAGAAGTTGAAAAGAGAATCTTTATAAATTATTCTTATGCTTGACAGTCAAGAACAGGGGTGAAAGAATACTGTAGGAATTATCTGTAGTTGAAAGAACTTACTATCTTACAAGATTGGAGAAGTTAATTATGTTTGTATTCTAAGGTGGCAAGTCAGTAGAGATGGAAAAGTTAGAAGTGTAAGGATGGAAGAAGATATTTAGTAGCTAAGTTGCTGTGGAAAGCATGAGAAATGTGACATGAGCATAGCCTGGGAGATAGTCTTGAATGTGGAAGGGTCAACCATTTCACTGATGTAGAAGGGAAGGAAGTGATGGAAGGGAAGGAAGTGGAGGAGGTAATAGATATCAGATAAGATATTTTAGAAAATTGGGCATTAAGAAGAGTGCGATTGGGGAAGTTCGTTTTGACTTTCTGCCTGAAGATTCAGAGTCAGGATCATGTGCCAAGAGGTTACTTGAAGTTTAGAATAGCCATTTAGGGGGAGTAGACACAAGAGGTGCGACACTCATGGCTGACATTTATTAGAGCAAAAGGATGCACAGGTCAAAAAGAGACCTGTGAGATAGTCTGAAGGAGTCTAGGCACAGGCTTCCAAAGTTTGTCTTCTAGAACTGGTGGCTGAGGAGCTACTCCTTCCTCAAGCAATGAAATACAGCAATTCAGACTGGGCACAGTGGCTCACACCTGTAATCCCAGCACTCTGGGAGGCTGAGACGGGCAGATCACTTGAGGTCAGGAGTTCGAGACCAGCCTTTCTAACATGGTGAAACCTTGTTTCTACTAAAATTAGAAAAATTAGCCATACATGGTGGCAGGTGCCTGTAGTCCCAGCTGCCCGGGAGGCTAAGACCCAAGAATCACTTGAACCTGGGAGGTGGAGGCTGTAGTGAGTTGAGATCACACCACTGCACTCCAGTCTGGGTGACAGAGCGAGACTGTCTCAAGAAACAAAATGAAATGCTGCAGTGCAGCATGTTCACAGTGGAAGCTCACTTAAGACTCTTGCTGGGAGGTCAGTAGGGAATTGGGAGTAGTCACATAAGGTACTCTGCTTGCACAACCAGCCACAATTATCAGAATCCCAGACTCCTAAAAAGAAAGGAAGTATTGGCCACAAATCACACTGTTTGCAAAAACAGCTTAGGCACACTGTAGCAAAGTTTAGTGTCCCTATAGCTCCCTCACACACTCTTAAAATAACCTTATCATTAACATAGGGAGCATTCAAAACGATTGCCAGAGGCCAGCCCCATAAGCAGACACTTCTTAAGAGCAGGATCAGTCCTGCTATGTTAAATCCTTTCAGCACAGGCACTAAATGCCAAGTCAGATATTTATCTCAGTTTCTTGTAGTGCCAGTATATATGACTTCATGGTTGTATAAATTTGTGGGGCATCTCAAGTAGTAGAATAGAGGAATTGAGTTAGATTCATCCAGATGTAAAATTTTATAGGGGCAGAAAGTTCTAAGAAAGGATGTGGGTGGGGAAACAAAAGGTGGTAAACAGAGGTTAATGTTGAGAGGGCCTAAGTTTGGAATTTGGAGGTATATTATAGGCAAGAGAGGAAAGAAACAAGGTACTGTGATTGGCAAAATAGACTAGAGCAGGGAATGGCATGATGGCAAAGTCCAAGGCTGGGACGTGGGCCTCACTAATCTTTCTCTTTTTAGGCTGGTGAAAATAAGACTCATTGCCAACTTTTTAAAAATTCTTTACTTAGTCCACTAGGGGAAGTCTTTATCTCACATCTTGTTTAATTTCCTAGTCTGTTTTAGTTGAGAACAAGCTTGATGTATATGTCTGTGCTATAAATTCTGTCTTCTTAAAGAAAATGTTTTCTAGAAATTATAAAAATAATTTCTTCTAATATACTAAGTTTTCCTCTGTTCTTTGCTTGCACTTTCATCAAAGAGGATACTTCTGAAAAGCTGGATGGTAAGAACTTCCTTTCCTAATTCTACTAAAGATTTTTATGGCTCCTAGATTTTATGTAATATCCTTCTTCATTCTTAATTTCTGAAAATATATTATTAATACTTATTTAGTAATAACCTTAATATGAAAATGGCTACATAATTCTCTGAATAAATGTGAAGCTAGGCTTATCTGTTGGGCATACCATATCCCAGTCTACTCAAATACTAGATAACTATTTGATTTTGTTTTAACTTTAATCAATTACCTTAAAATGTTTTCCTGAGCTCTTAGAAGTGTGCCTCTGAATTTTCTCTATTTGTTAAGACCTCATGGAAAATACTGGATTCAGAAGAATGGAAAAGAATCTCCTAAGTCATTTCATTCACTTTTTTAGTCTATTAACTGATATGACAAATGACATATTTGATAAATTCATATGATGATTTTTGAAAATGAAATGCAAATTACAGAGGCTGACTTTTTAAGAGTGCATTGTAAACTAACATTTAGTCAAAATTGAACTTTAAGCTTTGCCTTTTTAATTGCAATATTCAAATGATTATAGTTTATCTGTAGTGGCTTGGTTCAGTAACAACCCTGTATGACACTAGATAGTATATTATCCACACTCTCCCTTCACTTTGGCAGATACTGTAATGTTACCTATGAGCTTGACCTTTTTAAAATAACTTAAGATACTAAATCTGTAAGTCACATTATGAGATCTAGGAAAAACAGAGACACTATATATTTTTCTGTAAATTATGTAAATGGAAAATTGATCTAAAATATCTTCTATTTTAATGAGATAGAACATTTATTAAACTTTGGATTAGGGACATGACTGCTAGTTATATTAGACTCTGCTTTTCTGTATGATTATAATAAAATATTGAATGAAATGATAGACCATCAGGAGATAGTTTCTATGTATCAAACCCTTAGACATCCTAATACTGATATGCTGGATCCTTTGAATACAAACTTTTATCACTTTGCAGTTCAAAATATTTTCTTGATTGGGTAGGAAACATCAATCTGTTTGAGAAGTCACTTCTGTTATATGATGCGTTACTCTTACTGATGTTCAATCCTATGTTTAAAAAAATACACAGACATGTATATTATTGCCCTTTAGTAGTGGTGAGTTATGATGTTTGCACTTAGTCATTTTTGATAGATTTCATTGACATCTTGAGTGCACATAAACATTGTATAAATAGCGAATTAATTGGTTTAATAGGTTTTTGGCTTTGCAGATGCTTTGATGAAAATAGGCAAATGAGGCCTAGGTCATAGATTTTATTTCTGTTTCCCAGTTAGCTTTTCCTAATTCCTTTATGGACCTTTTGAAAACATTTCTACTTTGGAAAGATCTATAAAATTTCATTTTCAAAGAGTAATTACAGAGTTACATTTTTCTTGAGTGATTAATTTCTCTAATTTTTTATACCATTTCAAATTTTAAGAATGAAATATAGCAGACAAAAAGTTTTTCTTATAAAATTTTGCTATTTTTGTCTCGTTTCAACCTTTATCTCTGTGCTGTGAATCATTAGATTACCTAAAATTTTGTTTTTCTCAAAATGAACCTTTCCACAGTTAATTTAAGGCTATCAGACTAAAAGTTACTTTTTGTTTTTACTCTTTCATTATAGTGTTGGTTGGGGATTGTGAGGTAGGTCTTAATATCAACATTGGCAGAATTTGTTGAAATATTGTTTTATTTTTCTTATTTAGGAACAGCATCTGAAGATGGTAAGAATTATATACGTTTTGTTAGTAACACAGATACCTCTACCTTAACTATTTTCATTGGTAGGAATTAAAACTAAAATAGGCTAATTTATCTTTATAATTTGCCAGTGGTAGTCACTTCTACATTTCATATTTGGTTGTCTTTGTAATGTGTGGATTTTTTTTTTTTTTTTTAATCTTCATTCTGCTAGTTTGCTTTGTACTTTGGATCATCTCATGCTGGAAAAACATAATTGCTTAACATATTTAATAATATTTAGTATAAAGTAAGCATATAATTTCATTTTTTATAGTAGTGACATTAATGCTTTTCTTATATGTGTTTTTTTTTTTAATTTATGCCAATTCATTTATACTTTGGGAGATCATGCACCATTGCTTTGTCATTGAAGTTCAAATGCATTTATTTAGTCTGCTTTTAAATATATCTTCTACTTTTGAATTAGTAACTGGGAAATTGGTAACAGATTCAAATTAAATTTGAGATTACACCTGAATTGCTATACATATCTTACCGAGTCAGTTCACCTTAAAAATAATTTTTGTAGTTTTGAATTTGTAGAAAACTAATTCAATGTTTGTATTTATTCTACCTCGTCTGTCTTTTTAAAGCCTCTAATTCAAAGTATATATTTTTTCCTCTAAGTTTTATGTGGATGACTTTTTTTTCCAGTGCAAAATCAAATAGATTAACTTTTTAATTTGTTCTCATATTTACTCTGATACATTTAAAATAATTTTCTATTTTAAGTTTTTTTCTATTTTAAGTTTTAAATTGGAATACTCTACAAAAACATGATTTCTGGCCAGACGCAGGGGTTCATGCCTAAAATCCCAGGACTTTGGGAGGCTGAGGTAGGAGGATTGCATGAGGCCAGGACTTTGAGACCAGCTTTGGCAACATAGTGAGAACCCATCTCTACAAAAAATTTAAAAATTGGCTGGATGTGGTGGCACACACTTATAGTCCCAGGTATTCTGGAGGCTGAGGTGGGAGGACCACTTGAATCCGGGAAATTGAGGCTGCAGTGAGCCATGATCATGCCACAGCACTCTAGCCTGGGCAACAGAATAAGACTGTCTCATAAGCAAGCAAACAAACATGATTTCTGTAACTGTGGAATTGTAATTTCAAGTGATAATATCAAAATACTTGACATTCTCGTTTCTTTGTTATATGCAATGTAGATAAATTCTTCATTTCAAAAATAATAATTTGGTCATTTTATTTTACTTTTTAGTCAACTTTGTGTCCTGCTCAAAATAGACATTAAAAGGGTGAGAGGCCTGAACCATGGGCTCATTAGGGGCCTTGAAGTTGATAGTATGCTGGTATTCTACCAATTACACTTGTAGTTTTGGTTCTGTTTTATTCCTGGTTCTTATTACTCTCATGTTTTCTCACTCATTTCTTAATTTTGTATTATCTCCTTATTCTTTAAGGAGTTTTTATTCTTATTCTTTAGTATGTTTTTTCCTAATTAATATGGTCACATTGAGCTAGCCAGTATTTCTTGTATACCCTACAAATTGTATCTTTTAACTAAAAAGAATTCTGAGCCCTTCTTTTTGAATGACAAACCTTATAGTAGTTGAGAGTATTGTTTAAGAACACCAAAGTGCCTGCCAATAATATATTCTGTCATCACTTTTTAAAAATTAACTGCAGCTAACTTAAGCAGTTGACAAACATCTCTCTTCTGGTTCAAGAGCCCTAGAAATAGGGTGAGGATGTTTGTGGCCTAGTTTTGTGGAGGGGAATAAGACAGTGATAGAGTAGAAAGCAGTACAGTTTGGGAGGTGTAAAAGGAATGTATTGAGAAAAATGCCAACTCTTACGTGATATATATTTCCTCAAATCATTTTCTAAATGAAATGGTGATTGGAGGAGATCAGTAAACATCTGTAGTAATCTGATACAAAGAGATTAAATATTTTGCATAATTATATCTCTTCCTTCAAATCCCTTTAGAAGTACATTTTCAGTCAAAAGGATGGTTTCAGTTGTTTCTAAGATTAGGCTTATGTTTAAAACTGTAGGGTTGACTTGAGAATAATCCAAACTTCATGGAAACTGAAATTTCAGAATTGCAACTACCAGTTGAGAAATAACTGATATGCTTATGGTAATTATCTACTGCTGGGCTAATATATAAACTAAGAATGTAGGTCTTTTAGTTTGATTCTTCTTATCCTTGAAGGAAAGTTAGCTTATGGTATAACACATTTTAAAAAAAAAAAAATACTGTTTATAAAATTTTTAAGAGAAATAGAACCCGTAGTTGATGATTACATTATTACAGAATTTGACAATACCTAAAAATAGTGAGATTTTTCTCCCCTCATTATTAAATGTTACTATAGAAAAATGTTTTTAATTATGTGAATATTCTATTTCTCAGGCCGGGTGAGAGCAAAACTTTCAGCACCACTTGCTGGCATGGGAAATGCCAAGGCAGACTCTAGAGGAAGAAGTCGAACAAAAATGGTGTCTCAGTCACAGCGTATGTATTGCTTATCAGCCCTCCTATATTTGTCACTATGTTAGGATAGGGGTGTTGCTTGTATATTACTATATTAGAAGATTGACCAGTGGATAAAGACAAAGCTAATTTTAAAAAAGACAAGCCACATACTGAGTTCTTGTTCTGTACTTTAGGTTCATCATCACCTGACAAAAATGAAGGTATTTTTTTCAATGTTTTGGATTAGTTGTTGTGCATGTTTTGGAATTTTTTGAGTGGGTGTTGTCTTGTCTTTGGTGTGTTATTAGGGCTGCATCATTGATAGCTGCCACTTAGAAAGAAAAACTTCATCTGCCGTACAAACTTTTGCATGGAAATCTTTTAAATAGCACAAATCCTTAGCAATAAGGTGTTCACATTCTACTCAGAAACTTGCTAATGTAGAAAATTGTGCTTTTTAGAGACAAAATAATTGCCATATATTAGCATCAAATTCTGGTTGTATATTCAAGGACAGATACATGATATCTAATTCTCCACAAAATCTATTAAATTATCTATTTTTGGTTAGCATTTTTGGCAGGTATATACTAATTTATAGTGAGGAAACGTAAGTTGAAATGACCAGTTCTGTTGCATTCATGTTAAATTTAAGATTTATATTTTTGCTATTTCACTGGAAGCTGAATTTGTCATAAGCACAATTTAAAAATAACAATTTTGAGGTCTAGCTAAATTAATCATTTATTTCTATGTTTCAGAATAGTAAACATTTATGGTATTTTAAAATATTATTTATTTATTTATTAGATATGGGATCTTACTCTGTTGCCCAGGCTGGAATAGAGCAGTGTGATCATAGCTCATTGCAGCCTCCAACTCCTGGGCTCAAGCAGTCCTCCCACCTCAGCCTCCTGAGTAGCTGGTGCCATGGGCTTGTGCCACCATGCCTGGCTTATTTTTTGTTTTTTTCTTTTTAAGAGATGGGGTCTCGCAGTGTTGCCCAAACAGTTCTTGATCTCCTGGCCTCAAGCCATCCTCCCACCTCAGCCTCCAGGAGTGCTGAGATTACAGGTGTGAGCCACCATTCCTGGTCTCATTTATGGCATTATTAATTTAAAAATATTTGTTCCTGTTCCTTCTTTACCAAGAGATTTTCATTAGTGCTAACCACTAAAACCAGGACAGTTTTCTAGGGAAGTAATTGTGGGAGTTATTAATGTATTTCACTATTTGTTTTTCTTTTTATTGAGTCAGGATCTCACTCTGTCACCCAGGCTATAGTGCAGTGCCACAATCATGGCCCACTGCAAGCCAGAAACCCTTGGATTCAAGGGATCCTCCTACCTCAGCCTCCCAAGCAGCTGGGACTACAGGTGCATTCCACCACTCTCAGCTAATTTTTTTATGAATAGAGGTGGGTTCCCACTGTGTTGCCCAGGCTGGTCTTGAACTCCTGGGCTCAAGCCATATTCCTGCCTCTGCCTGCCAAAATTCTGGGATGACAGGTGTGAGCCACTGCACCCAGCCTACCTTGGCTATTTTTGAAGCAAATAAATTTAACTCTCTTCTACCATTGCTTAGGTGATTTATTAGGCTATGGGTGTCCTATTTGTTTGGTTTTTAACCTGATTCCTGAATTTTGAAATCAGGAAAGAGAATGGGGCGTTGAGGGGCAGAATAGTGATTACGCAGGTCTTACGAAGCCGATCCTTCTCTCTTTCCAAAGTTAGAAAATCCAGACAGAGTAATGGTTGGAGCACTCAAGAATATAAAAGTGCCTAAAAATAAGCGGAAGTAAATTGGTTTGCAGCTTGAGGATTATTTATAAATAGATAAACTGGCAAATGTCTTCTAGATAAGGAATTTTATCTCAACCAGATCAGTAGATCATAACATATTCTTCCCTGATCTTGTATATTTTTAAAGTAACTTAATCTTTAGCAGGGTAGCATAGTAGTTAGAAGACTTGTTCTTCTGTATGTGCTGCCCATACTAGCATTAGCATCATCTAGGAGCCAGTTATAAATATGCAATCTCATGTGCCATTACAGATCTACTGAATCTAATCTTTAACAAGATCATCAAGTGATTTGTATCACCATAAAGTTTGAGAAGTACATACTGGTTTAGATCATAGATACTGGAGATGTACTGCTCAGGTTTGAATACTGGCTCTTTGAGGTTATTTGAAATTACTACACTTCTGTAATTTCATTTGTAAAATGAAGAAGATAATAGCATCTACATAGGATTGCTGTGAGGATTTAATGATGTAGTGTGTTTATTTAACATCCATAAAATATTGCCTAGCTCAGAATTTTCAAGCACTATATATGTTGGCTAATAAAATTGTCTTCATTATTTTTAAATTTTTTAAATTTTTAAATTTTTTTTTAGATATTGGAGATGATTCTATTATTCTTAATCAAATGTCAGCTGAATTTTAGACTGCTTTTGTGTACGTCTGTACCTTGTTATTCTTACTGCCTTCAGTAAACAGAGAAATAAATAATGAAGTTAGGAAATTTAAAGCATAAAGATAACAACCAGGAATCGTTCATGTTCAGTATCTAAGGATAAAACTTAATTGTGAGGTATTAATTCTTTTCTGAAATAATACTAAGGCTGATCTCAGGGCAAAGATTCAAAGGGCTTTTTTTTTTTTTTTTTTTTTTTTTTTTTATAAATACTTGAGACCTTTTCAGGTACATTGTAACTAAAATCGTGTCACTAAAAAATAGAATGATTTTTTGCATTTGGTTTTTCACTTTGACACTCATTCCATAATACTCCAGATCTTTTCCTAAATTGTGAAAACACAATAATTAGCTTTCTTAGACCAAATAGGCCTTTAATATTAGAAGACTTTTCCTCTGTAAAATCATTTGGGTTTGAGTTATATTGGAGGGACTTTTGTTTGTTTGCTTGCTTATTTATATGAATGACTATATGTTCCATTCCAAATTCTTTTGTAAAAAGGTATTATGTGATTTGTATGCAAGTTTCTTTACAATATATTTGCACAGAAATATTACTGTGATCATCATCCTTACTTTGTCATAAAGTAATTCATTAGGGCTTGCATGGTCTTACCATATTTTTGTATCACTACTTAGAAAAAAAGTCTCTCAGATCAAAGCAGGTGTGTTCTGATGGCTAACCAAAATAAATAAATAAATGGAGACTCAACGGAGAGACCACTAGATCTATATTTGTGACAGAATTGTGTCTCTTTTTCTGTTGGTAGTGACTGGTTGTATACAAATGTTTGTACAGCCTGTCAGAAACTTTGTCTCCTCTCCTCCCATCTTTTGTTTTTTTTTTCTGTGCATCTTAAGAAAGATGACATTTGTAGCTTTTTTGTGTAATTTTTCTTCAGCTGTACAATGTTGTAGTTCTTCCTTATGAGAAGTTTTAAATTAAATGTTTAATGAAAACAAACATTTAATTATTTTGATTTTCGACTGTCAGTAGTAGAAAAGCTGAAGAATTTACATTTACTGTTGCAATTTCATTTCATCTGCTTTGTACATTTGAGTGTCTGATTTCAGTTGATTAGCTTTGAAAACTATTAAGTGTACTGCTTTTGTTAAAGACATCTGTGCTTTTGGGATTTTTTAAAGTTTGCTTTTTTTTGCTTTAGTATTTTTTTTTATTTTCTGAGAACTGACTAAAGCTTTTTTATTTCCATCTGCCATCCATTTAAAACTGCTCCTTTCCTCTTCATGGATTATAATCCTTACCCTAATTCTGCCTTTACACTTGTTCAGGATCACAATCTGCTAATACCATTGGTGGTAAGAATCTATAGACTTTATGTGTGCATCTATTGTTTGATCACCTATTTTCATTTTGAAGAATGAGTTCTATTCAGCAGAAATTCCTAACATCATAGTTTATCGTTTGTAGTCATATTGGGGCAACAATTGCCAATTGAAGTTTTTCTTTGGCCTGTCTTATTACCAAAATCCTGATTTTTTTTTTAATGATACGAATTAATACCATGGATGTAAACGTTCAAAAGAAATAGGAGCTTTTGTCATGCTTTGAAATACTATAAAAAGTATAAAATGATAGTTTGAAATCTATAGGTAGCACAAGAGAAAATAGGTGTTCGATGTCAAGTTTTGCAAATATGGATATTTTCTGGTAGCATGTGATTCCCTGGATACATCGTGACACTTTTCATCAACTCTGGTTTTCCTGAAAGAAATAATTAGTGTTGGTGGCTCTTTACTGGGGAAGGAGCCTTGGTATTTTTTTCTAAGTATGAATAATTCCAGAGTGAGTCATAGGTACTAGAATTATCACACTCTTGGTAGGAATCAGGAGTATTGCAGAGGAGAGGGTAATGATTAAAGCAAAATGAACACTGACAATTTGTTTCCTAGGATAGGCCAGGAATGAATTTAAATGTATAGAGTGTACTTGCATAATTCTGATAAATTCAATAAATCTAGAGTAGAAAGGAAAGTTTACTCTGTTTCTGAACTGCAAGTTTCCTATCTGCTGAATAGACCCACATTTCAAGAAATTCTGCAGTCTCTCCTACCAACACTTCACCCCCCAAATTTATATTGGTTTAAATAGAATACCATAATGTATGTTCTCAGTTCATTATTTATACTTTTTATATTGTTGCAAGTTTTCCCATAAAATATTCCATTGGCCTATCTTGCATTGTGAGTTGTGGCATGTTGGGTGTTTGAATGTTTTTGGTGTGTATGTTTAGTTTAGACACTGCATGGAGAAAACAGGTGCCGTATATGAGTATCCTTAAGGTTATATTGAAAGAAACTGGATTTAAAGATTCTTCACTTGAAACATGAAACATTCAAATGAGCTATTTTAAAGTACACTTGAGTAATTTCCCTCAGTAATTCAAAATTCCTTCCGTACAGATAGTAAATTGTTAATTTTATTGGAGACACTGCTTTGTTTTACAATATTGCTGTAACTAATAGGAAATAAGTTTCATTTTGTATGCTGGAAAAGTTTAAGAATTAAGCAGGAATATAAACTGTGCTCGGCAAGACCATGCCAAGAAAACTGTAGTAAGAATCACAGATTAGCAGCTTATGGACCATGTCTAGTGTGTCTCCATTTATGTATTATTTGGCCTATAGAACATGATAAAAATCTGGAAATATCAAAGCTTTCATTTTCTAAAAATCCCATGACCTATGCACTATTACCTCAAGACAGAAGTGGCTAGAACTAAAAAGTCACCTCCCACTTTAGGAAAGGGCAGTGCCTGCACTTCCCTCTTGATCAGTCATCTTACTACTACCTGCTTTATACAGTGCCCTTCTCGTTTCTGACATCCTGTGCTTATCTCCATTGGCATTTGAGTCTTTGTGGAAATGAAGCCTGATTGGGTAAGACTGTATAACATATAATTGTACACTGGGTACAGGCAGTGCCCGCAAAGGGAAAAGGTTGCTTTCATGAAGATTTATTTAATTGCAAGTTTAATTTTTCTTTTACTCCTCTAGATTATATCTTAAGAGTTCTTATCTAGTCCGTTTTTCTATTCAACATACACATAAAGTGCTTTGATTGATACGGTGCTTATGTCCTTAACATTTAACCCTTGCATTTCTAGTTTAAAACCATGTTTTTAAAACTTTTTTTAAACCTCTGCACAGTCTCTGAAAAGATTTTGTCTAACTCTACCTGTGTTCCTGACCACATGTCCACCTTCCAAGACTTAAAAATTACCCATTTGAAAAGAGGACGGGTACGGTAGCTCACGCCTGTAATCCTAGCACTTTGGGAGGCTGAGGTGGGCAGATCACAAGGTCAGAAATTTGAGAGCAGCCTGACCAACATTGTGAAACCCCATCTCTACTAAAAATACAAAAATTAGCTGGGCGTGATGATGGGCACCTGTAATCCCAGCTATTCAGGAGGCTGAGGGAGGAGAATCACTTGAACCTGGGAAGCAGAGGTTGCAGTGAGCCGAGATTGCGTTATTGCACTGCAGCCTGGGTGACAGAGTAAGACTCCATCTCGTGGAAAAAAAAAAAAAAAAAAAAAAAAAAAAAAGAAAGAAAGAAAAGGATCTGACTTATTTGATGTTTGTCCTTACTCCTCTTCGACCCATAGTACTTCTATAACCCTGAATGTCACCACCCAAGAGCTCATTGCTATTGAGGACAAATAGCAAAAAACAAGTTTCTTTTTCGTCTGGCCCAATTTTGTCAACATTTAAAATTTAATTTGGTGCCCAGGAGCAGTGGCTCAAGCCTGTAATCTCAGCACTTTGGGAGGCTGAGGAGGGCAAATTGCCTGAGGTCAGGAGTTCGAGACCAGCCTGGCCAACTTGGTGAAACCCTGTCTCTACTAAAAATATAAAAATATTTAGCTGGGCATGGTGGCCCATACCTGTAATCCCAGCTACTCGGGAGGCTGAGGCAGGAGAATCGCTTGAACCCAGGAGGCAGAGGTTTCAATGAGCCAAGATCGCACCACCGCACTCCAGCCTGGGCAGCAAAGCAAGACTCAGTCTCAAGAAATAATAATAAATTAAATAAAATTTAATTTTGTTAAGTTAAAAATTATGTCCAACAGTAAGACAGATAGCTTTGCTACTATACCCATTCAGAGAAACCTCAGCAGGTAAACTGCCTTAAAATGAAACATTATCATTATTATATACTTGACAAAAATAATAGTGATAGAATTACTGGGATTTTTCTTTAAATATAGTCATGTTCTGCATAACCACATTTAATCAATGATCACATATGTGACAGTGGTCTCATAAAATTATACTGGGAAGGGGGTTAGTGATAAAAGACTACATATTGGGTGTAGTGTACCTTGCCTGGGTAACAGGTGCACCAAAATCTTAGAAATAACCGCTAGAGAAGTTATCCTTGTAACCATACACCACCTCTATCCCAAAAACTATTGAAATAAAGCTTTAAAAAATTATGATACTGTATTTTTACTGTACCTTTTCTATGTTTAGATATTTTTAGATACACAAATATTTACCATTGTGTTACAGTTGCTTACAGTATTGTTAATGGCATACTTTATAGGATTTGTAGCCTCTGAGCAATAAGATATATACCATATAACCTAGGTTTGCAGTAGGCTATACCATCTAGATTTGTGAAAGTACACTCAGTGATGTTCACACAATGATAAAATCTCCCAACAACACATTTCTCAGAATGTATCCCATTGTGAAGTGACACATGACTGTATATGGCTTATTCATATTGAACATGATAGCCATGTATTGTCAGATAAGTGACTCCTTTGTAAATCTTGTTTACCGTTTGTGTTCTAAAAATTAGAATAATGTCCTTACTAAACATAGTGTCTTATACTCCCCAAACTGAAAGTATATTTTAGGTGATTTACCATTCAGTGCTCATATATGTAGTATACCTTTTTTTTTTCCAGGTTATAATTATATTTAAATCTTCCTTGGTCTATTTCCTTTGAACTTAGAACCTGCCATACTATCACAGTTTTCTCTTTATTATAATCAGTATTTCTTGAATTTTTATCCTTTCAGCAAATTCTTTTGGAGTTCATATCTTAACATTTGTATGTGTGTTTGGTGTTCAGCTGGTAGCCGGTCTGGGTCTCCAGGAAGAGTTCTGACCACAACAGCCCTGTCCACTGTGAGCTCTGGTGTTCAAAGAGTCCTGGTCAATTCAGCCTCAGCACAAAAAAGAAGCAAGATACCACGGAGCCAGGGATGTAGCAGAGAGGCTAGTCCATCTAGGCTTTCAGTGGGTAAGATTTTTTCATGTGAGACATGTGACTTTTTTTTTCCTTAGGCTTTGGCAGCATTGAAAACTTTGGGATAAGGTGGTTATAAATTACAAGAAAATAACTTAAAAATTCAACAGTTGAAGAATAGGTTATGAGTTGAATTAGATATCTTAAACGTGTAATTCAGGGCCCAGTGTGGTGGCTCATGCCTGTAATCCCAGCACTTTGGGAGGCTGAGGCAGGGCGGATCACTTGAGGTCAGGAGTTTGAGGCCAGCCTGGCCAACATGGTCAAACCCCATGTCTACTAAAAATAGAAAAATTAGCCAGGCGTGGTGGTACCTGCCTATAATAACACCTCTTGGGTGGCTGAAGCAGGAAAATCACTTGAAACCAGGGGTAGGAGGCTGCAGTGAGTCAGGATCACACCACTGCACTCCAACCTGGGCAATAGAGACTCAGTCTTAAAAAAAAAAAACCCTAAAACAAAACAAACAAAAAAACCCTCTAACTTACAGGAGCTTTGAAAAATATAGCTAATATTTTAAAGGAAAAGGTTATTATGGAATTTATAACATATTTATTACATGTACACACACACACACACACACACACATATATATATATATATATATATATATATATACACACACCCAGTTGCCTATGTATTTGACATTCATGTCAGTCCTATTCAAATACTTTAATATTTTCTCTCTGTATTGATTAGGATACTTACAATTTCAGGTAATAGAAATGACAGTAGGCCGGCTTAAACAATAAAAGTGGATTTATCGATTCTTCTAACTAACGGTATGAAGATTGTACAGCCTTCAGTATTGATTAACATTGCTATCATGAACCCAGAGTCTGTCTGTTTTCCCTTTCTCCCACTCTCCCTTCCTTCTTTTTTGCTTTTATCAACCAGGTCACTGACTTTTTCCTTAGGATAGCTGCTACTTGATCAGTCATTTCCAGAGCAAAAAGCCCCCAATTACTCCAATTTATTTTTAATAACTTTTTTACTGTTTTAAAAGATTACCCATGTAACTTTAAAAAATATTCTCATTTTTAAAGAAAATACTCATATTTCTATTTCTTGTTTCGTCAACCTCAATCGGAAGCTTAACTTCCATACTTTTCCATTCACTTTCCACTCTCTTAAGAGTTATCAACTTTTACATTATTAAAGTTTACACATACATTTTCTTCTGTATCCACGAGCAAGTCTTATGTCCTTGTTCCATAAGTTGGGTTTAAAACATAGAAAGCTATAAATAGCATATACTGTGTTGCGAGTAAATGAATGTTGTTTGCAGCAAAGACACATAGTGTATTATGAACCCATTTTTTCCCAAAGGTACACTGTGTGTTGAGTGTTAGGGACCACTTGAAGGAGAATGTTCCTGTTATAAAGAGATGAATTCTCTTTTCTTGCAGTCTCCTACCAGTTATTTACAGTTTTGCCACATTTTCATTTGCTATGTATATAGAAAGTGACTAAGAATAATATGCACTTCTCATATCTTTTAGTATTGCTTTCCCTTCAGTATTGCTGAAGGGAAATATGCAGTTCCTTATTTTTTCCAGATTTTTTTTTCAGTACTCTGTGGTTTAGTTGCTGTGCAAGCCTCTTGCCCAGCTGTCTTCTTGAGATTCTCATTTACTGCTTTCCTGGTTTGAATGCACTCCCTCCTGGATCCTCTTTCGCTTCCTTTGCTCTTTTGCTTTGCTCATACACATTCTCAAATAAATTCCTTAGAAATTGTTTGTAGGAGTCAAGCTTTTTGAAACCTTACTTGTCTCAGAATGTCTTTATTCAGTAGATGGCACAGATTTCTTTTAGGCCTACAGACTTTGAATTACTGTTCCTAGCACTTTTCATTTATGCTGAACCTGGTATTTGGCCAATAAGCCTCCAAAGTTTTTATCTAACTAATTCACTTCTTTTTGTTTTCCATACATTATTTTAAATTTCTCTATTTCACCTTTAGTCAGTCTTCACCCCTGTTTATTGTTTATTTCGTTCTGTATTTGTGGGTTTTTCATTTGTGAGGAGGTGAGAAAAAGAATGGGAATTGAAAGCATTGGCTTTATTTTTTCCTCTTTTGTTTCTGTTTGTTTTAGAGACAGGGTCTCGCTTTGTTACCCAGTCTGGAGTGCAGTGAATGCTCATAGTTTGCTGTGGCCTTGACCTCCTGGGCTCAAGCAATTTTCCTACCTCATTTTCCTAAGTAGCTAGGACTTCAGGCATGTGCCAGTGGGCATGTGCAACCATGCCCAGCTAGTTTTTGTATTTTTTTGTAGTGAGACAGGGTCTCACTATGTTGCCCAGGCTAATCTCTATCTCCTGGCCTCAAGCAGTCCTCCCTTCTCACCCACCCAGGTTGCTAGAATTACAAGAATGAGCTACCGCACCTGGCATTTTTTCCTCTTTATCTTGAACTAAGAACTTAAGAATGGGTATTTTACTTTAGATTAATATTTGATAAGTATACAGTTTTCTGTCTATTAAAAATAAGATTTTAACCTAAGATACCAAAAGTGATAGAAGCCTCTAGAGTTCAGTGAACGAGAAAAATTGAGTTTTACACTATCGTACAGTATGTTAAATCTTTTTATTTGCAGACTTTTTAGTTTAGTAAAATACTATTTGCCTTTCTAATTTCATATAGACTAGAGGACCATATTTAAGAATTTAACTGTATTCCTGGTAATGCTTCAGCAAAAGTAATTTTTTCTCAATCTTAGAAAAAATTAAGTTACGGATCAGTTTTTAAGAAGGAAAAAAAATTTTTAAGATGCAAACTCTGTTCTGTTTTCTCCCTTACTATGCTACTGTGGCTTCACACCAGCCCGAAGCAGTCGTATTCCTCGACCAAGTGTGAGTCAAGGATGCAGCCGGGAAGCTAGTCGGGAGAGCAGCAGGGACACAAGTCCTGTTCGCTCTTTTCAGCCCCTCGGTACGTATTTGGGCAGGTGTTGTGTGCATTGCTTATCCCTTATGTTATCACTATCTGATAACTTCGGCATACCTGAGATTTAGCTTTCTTTGTCAACAGATCTTTCTCCCTATCCCATTTCTGTCATTTTGAGGAAAGGAAATTATGTTTGGGAAATTCCTTTGTCTTGATTTACATGTCTGAAATGAATACGTTAGTCATTGTATTAACAGATTACCTTCATAATCAAGTAATATCACACAGATTTAAACTTCAGAATATTGAAGTCTAGATTTTTCTTAACAAGTAAACCTACAAATTTAAAGATATTTAAATATATAATCTCAAGTGAAATGTGGACTAGTTTGATAAATACTTTTTTGTCTTTTTCATTGGAAATGTTAACATTTCAGCTTAGATCATTTAACTTAGGTTACTAAAAAGAATGCCACAAAATAACATACGAACTACTTATTAATGGGAGGGATTAACATTTTTATAGTATTTTATAGTTTAACAGTCATTTCCTATGACCTAATGCTTTTGTCATGTCACTGCTGTAAAACTTGTTTGTCCAAATTGTATTGTAGCTGATAGCAATACCATATTTACTTCAGTTGCAAAAATCTTAAATGATTTTTTAAACCTTCAGTATTATAAGGATAACTGGAGAAGTACAGTTTTGTATGTACGTTGAGAATCCTTAAAATTTCTGCATGATCCTTCAGCATTTTAACAAGTACTTTGTTTATATGCACAAGCCTGTAACCATTTCAGATTTTTTGCTTTAACGCAATATAGTTTACTGTAACACTTAGAAGGTTGCTCTTCAGACTCTGGAATGCTCAGGAGAATATAGTTCTGCTTGTCCATTGGAATTTCTGTTTCCTCAGGTATATATGGTAGCACAGATTTTTTTTTTCTTTTTCTTTCTTTTTTCTTTTTTTGAGATGGAGTCTTGCTCTGTTACCCAGCCTGGAGTGCAGTGGCACAATCTCAGCTCATTGCAACCTCTGCCTCCCAGGGTCAAGGGATTCTCCTGCCTCATCCTCCCAAGTAGCTGGGATTATAGGCAATCGCCACCACGCCTAGCTAATTTTTTTAATTTTTAGTAGAGACAGGGTTTCATTATGTTGGACCAGGCTGGTCTCGAACTCCTGACCTCAGGTGATCCACCTGCCTCGGTCTCCCAAAGTGCCAGGATTATAGGTGTGAGCCATTGCACGCGGCCAAGAATTTCTAGTGGTTAATTTCTCATTCTCTGGGCCATTTGGCTCAAATAAACTAGGCTTTCCTGTACTGACTTAGAAAACTCCATTAAAGCTAGAGCCACAGGAATATGCTCAACCCTTATTTATGTTCCAGCCCCAGTTACCAGAGAGTTTCCCTCTTTCTTTTCCTTCTGTGGGGAGGTGCCAAAGTAAAAAGAACTGTTCCGTATCACTAAGGCTGTGTGACAGGTACTTTGTCAGAGATATTTTTAGTTCATGTGCAATAGTTTGTAGAATATCTGTGTATGTGCGTGCACACACACATATACATGGTGCATCCTCATGGATATACATTTAAAGAAATCCTACACGTGTATAAAGTAATCATGTCACTTTAGGAGCTGAGGGAATTGGAGTGGGTGTGTGGTGGTTTAAGAATGTGTGTTGTAGGCTGAATGAGGTGGCTCACGCCTGTAATCACAGCACTTTGGGAGGCTGAGGTAGGTGGATCACCTGAGCTCAGGAGTTCAAGACCAGCCTCACTAACATGGAGAAATCCTGTCACTACTAAAAATATAAAATTAACCGGGCGTGGTGGTGCATGCCTGTAATCCCAGCTACTTGGGAGCCTGAGGCAGGAGAATCCCTTGAACCCAAGAGGCAGAGGTTGCAGTGAGCTGAAATGGCGCCATGGCACTCCAGCCTGGGCAGCAAGAGTGAAACTTAGTCTCAAAAAAAAAAAAAGAAAAAAAAAAAAAAAAAGAAAGAAAAGTATGTTGTCGGGTTCACATAGCCTGGGTTCATTCTACAGCTATGTGATCTTTATGTGCCTGAGTTTCCTCATCTGTAAAACAAGGGATTGTTTTGGAGACTCATAAATGAAAAATACCGCTGCTGCCATTACCACTCTGCCTCTTCCCGCTGAAGCTCTAATCACTTACTCTAGAAACCATTAAATTACACTTCAGTGGCAAGGATCTCAGATTTCTTAATTTATATAATGTTGCATTTATATAATGTTGATATTGCAGGTTATTCAAAAACATATCAAGAAGAAACCAACATGTGTTTCTGTATTTTGTAAACCAGTACAGTAGTTAGAGATCAGAGGGAATTCATAATACACTACTAATTACTGTAAAAGTAAACATTGTTTAATATGCTAGTTCATAAAGAAATATTTTGTTTAGTCATTAATATTCTAGATTCATCTCAAAGCTTCCATTTGACAATTTAAAATTACTTAAATTTTTTTTGTAAAGGAAAGAGTTTTCCCGATTCTCATGGAAGTTTGTATTTGCGCTGAAGGTGACTATTGTCATCTGTGCAGGCTACAGCAAAATACCATAGATTATGTACTTTTAAATGACAAATGTATTTGTCGTGGTTTGGGAGACTAGGAAGTCTCAGAGTAAAGAATAAGCAAATTTGGTGTCTGATGAGGACCTATTCCTTTGTTCATAGATGATGGCTTCTCGTTGTGTTCTCAAATGTTAGAAGTAGCTAGCTAGCTTTCTGGGGTCTTTTAGTCATAGTTTTAGTAAAATTGGCTTTGATAGCCTTTTTATTTACATATGGGTACTGCATAACAAAGGCAGCAGATTAGCCCTGTTTATTTTGCAGGGATGAAAGGTAGCATTCCTAGAGATTAAGTTGTTCTTGCTATTTCCATTCTCTGCTACATTTGCCTACATTCTTTTTTTTTTTTTTTCTGATGGGGTTTCACCATGTTGGTCAGGCTGGTCTCCAACTCCCTACATCAGGTGATCCACCTGTCTCGACCTCCCAAAGTGCTGGGTTTACAAGCATGAGCCACCACGCCTGGCCTTAATTTTGTTTTTTTTTTTTTTTTTTGAGACAGACTGTTGCTCTGTCACCCAGGCTAGAGTGCAGTGGCATGGTCTCTGCTCACTGCTAACTCTGCCTCCCAGGTTCAGGTGATTCTCCTGCCTCAGTCTCCTGAATGGCTGGGATTACAGGCGCCCGCCACCGTGCCTGGCTAATTTTTGTGTTATTAGTAGAGACAGGGTTTCACTATCTTGGCCAGTCTGGTCTCGAACTCCTGACCTCATGATCTACCTACCTCAGCCTCCCAAAGTGCTGGGATTACAGGCACGAGCCACCGCGCCTGGCATGCCTACATTCTTTGGTCTTTTCTATTGTTTCTTTGGTGGAATCTTATTGTTGCTTATGCCTGGCTATTGTTATTCAGCAGATGAATCACATATCTCATTACGTATTTATTCGTATCCACAAGTTTAGCGCGAGGTCCCTAAAGCATCAGAAATAAATCATAGCTGAGCAAAGTTTAGCTTCTCTGGAACTTGCATCTTTAGTTTCCATTTATTTCTGGAACCAAGATTTCTTAAAAGGCTTACTTTATTTCAAACACAGTAGTGCCTCTTACCTGTTACTGTCATTCACAGATAACTATTGATTCCGTAAAGTGTTTCAAAGATTTTTGTCCACTAGACATTTCTAAGCTTGTTCAGATCCTCATAATTTTAGAAATTATTTCTGTTAGGTAAAATTAAAACTAACAATGTATTTTAGTTTATATTACCAATTAGAACAGTCACCTTTCAGGGCTAACTAAACATTTTGTGCAGTATTATCTTGGTTTAATCTTCCTTTCTTTCAGTCTTTTTGATAATTTTCTTGTTTATTAAGGCCGTCCTCTAACAAACAAAACGAGTGACTCATGTTAAAAGTATTTTAACTGCGCCGGGCGCAGTGGCTCAAGCCTGTAATCCCAACACTTTGGGAGGCCGAGGCAGGTGGATCACGAGGTCAAGAGATCGAGACCATCCTGGTCAACATGGTGAAACCCCGTCTCTACTAAAAATACAAAAAATTAGCTGGGCATGGTGGCGCGTGCCTGTAATCCCAGCTACTCAGGAGGCTGAGGCAGGAGAATTGCCTGAACCCAGGAGGCAGAGGTTGCGGTGCGCCGAGATCGCGCCATTGCACTCCAGCCTGGATAACAAGAGCAAAACTCCGTCTCAAAAAAAAAAAAAAAGTATTTTAACTGCTCTAATATATCTGAGGAAGAATAATTTTTTTAAGTAATATATTTTATTAAATTAAAATACATTTTATAGCAATTCATTTCTATATATAAGAGAAAAGTTGCCTTTATGCTATTATGTAAAATAAGCTAAATTTAGATTTTAGAGCAATATGTCACAAATTTCTACATTTTGGTTAAATTAATATTTTTTATATTCAAATGTGCCTTCATATGTCAATAATCTACTGAATGCAGAATTTATATTCTATGAACCATTATGGAAAATGTTAATGTTAACAAAATGAGGTGTATTAACTTTTGAACAATGTTAAGATGGTACATCTACTGTTTAAGGGCAGAGGAATTGAAAGAGCACCGATACTGAAGTGTATCACTTACTAGTGTGGCTATAATCAAATTAATTAATCTCTCTCTAGGCTTTAGCTTCCCCATTTGTCTTAGTTTGTTCAGGCTACTGTAACAAAATAACAAAGATTGTGTACTTTTAAATGACAGAAATTTATTCGTCATGGTTTGGGAGACTAGGAAGTCTAATATGAAAGAACCAGCAAATTTGGTGTCTCTCAGATGAGAACCCATTCCTTTGTTCACAGATGATGGCTTCTCATTGTGTTCTCATATGTTACTAGGAGCTGGCTAGCTTTCTGGGGTCTCTTTTATAAGGACACTAATCTCAGTTATGAGGGCAAATTGCCTCTTAAAGGCCTCACGTATCTCCTAATATCATCACCTTGAGGATTAAAATTTCTGTATGTGAATAAAGGGAGTGTTGGGGAGGGTCAGTCAGTTAGACCATAGCACTTTCTGTAAAATTGAATAGTAATTTACTACCTCATTGGATGTCAGAATTAAAGGAGATAAGATTTTATTAGTTACTAGTTACCATAGTGGTTTTTTTTTTGAACTATAATGTTTGTTTTTTTTGTTTCATGCTTGTACTTTCAACATTTCCTTCCATTTGAATACTTCTTTTGTCTCCTGTAGGCCTGTCTGTCCACTTAGGTGTGAGATGTGTTTTTGTGTCAGGAATGATGGTGCAATGCTAATGTTCCATTGCCCTATTTGGCAATAGTCTGATCATTAACTATAAAGAATAACACCAGTGTTAACTAACTCTCCTTGCCTGACAGTAGTGCTGCCACTATTCCTTGTTTCTGTGGTAATAGATGAGGTTTGTATGGTCCTGTTATTCCAGCCTCCAGACACCATTCCAGATCAACTGGTGCCCTCTACGCCCCCGAAGTGTATGGGGCCTCAGGTGAAGGATGAGTACATTTTCACTGTCATCTGGCATTCATCTCAGATTTCATCTTTTTCAGTTTCCATTAAATAATATTCATGTTTTAAAATTGATTTGTTTTTATTGTTTAAATTTAATTTGTTGGAGGATAAACCTTTTTTTTTCTCTTTTCTCCCAAGTAACATTTTCCCCATTAGCAACTGTATTGAGCATTTTTCTCACTGGTATATGGACATTTTTTTTAATAACCTGTTATGTCATTTTAAAATACAGAATTGTTTTATGTTCTCATCTTTGTATATATGTTTAAAAAAAAAAACCAAAATGGTGGATGAAGTGTTTTAATTGTAAATGATGGTATAGAAAGCAGTTGAGGGGAATAGAATTCATCTCTGGTTTGTCTCTGTATACCTCAGAATATTGGGCACAAAGTAGACACTTAAAAGCTATCGAATGGAGCTCTCTTAGTTGTAGAATAAAACCAACTTATCTTGAGGTAGAGGAGATAATAATTAGTGCTTATTTTCCTTGTAAATTCCTGGTGTGGCTTCATTGATCTCCCTAACCACTATTGGTTGAGGATTGATCTTTGTTCCTGGTTACTCTGTGGTTCAGCCATGTGGATGAGATTTGCCTGAACTGATAGAGCTGGATTACAGGGCTATAGACTTGCAAGCCCTTAATCTGCAAGCCTGTTTTCTTCTACCTTGTGGTCATAAATAAATAACGACTGTTCTTTATTTTTACACATTGTCAGTAATTTTAATTGCCTTTACCCTTTTATTTTGCCAAAAACTAAATGTGCCCAGAAAATACAATATTGCTTTTAAAATGCTTTGCCCCATTGGTTTTTTTTCCTTCCCCCGTAAGGGTCTTAAAGTTTCCCAACCTGACCCTGTTATATTTATAACTCCTTCAAAGCTATTTTCCTTCTTTTGATCAATTAGGTCCGGGTTACGGGATCAGCCAATCAAGTCGACTGTCATCTTCTGTTAGTGCCATGCGAGTCTTGAACACAGGTTCTGATGTGGAGGAGGCGGTAGCAGATGCCTTGGTACTCTTCTCCATTTTCTTATCATTACAAATGTCCCAATTATGAAACTATTGAATGAGTAAGCCAGTCCACCCATGTGGGAAAGGGGATGGGGAAAAGTCAGTGATTAAATCTAAAGATAAAATGTGGGCACTGTATAAAGCAGAACAATATAATTAATTCTTGATCTTCATTAATTAGAATTTTATACAAGGGCCAGTATTACTGATGAGTTGTCAGAAGTATAAATACAGATGTCTTTAATATGATAATGTGCTTTATACACTATAGTATATATAAGGTAAGGGTAGATAAATTAGTATATAAATATGTAAACTTAAAAGCATGTGATTTTAAGGCTAGCTGAAGCATTGGTATTTAGGGATTATTTTAGTTTGGGGTGGGATTTTGTTTAGTCTTTTAATTGTGTTTTTCGAACTAAAAGTACAACCTCAAGGCAAATTATGATTAAGACATAATCATATCTTATAGTTAGATATAATTCACGATTCTTTATGTCTGACACATTAAACGGTGAGATTTAAAAACATATTCTATAGATCTGTGATAGCTTGTCAGAGGATTGCTATATATATATCATTGTTGTTTTTCTCACTTAAAATTATGTAAAAAGTAGCATTTTAAAAAATGTATGTAATTGGCTTTGGCTAATTTCCCATGTCAATTCAGTATCACTTCCTCTTTCCTGTTATGATATTAATCCTATGTTTGAGAAACATTTACTCAGTTTCTTGCCTAGAACTTATAAAAGGCCTCATCTTTGTTTTGAAAATTTAAAAAAAGAATATATGCTTCTTAAAATTGAAGATCCTATCTTAACTAGTGCTGATATAGTACAATGTTTGCCCCAGATTTGAAAAAGCAAGTTTTTAAAAATATTTGTTGGTAATAGCTATAATTTATTGACTATCAGGTGTGTAGTTCTGCTCTAACCATTTCATCGTGCCGAATTTTTCCCATTACCTCAACACTGGATTATTTTTTATAAATTAACATATTAAGTAGGGACTTTATTCTCCTTAGCATGGGATATATTGAATGAATCTTATTCTCATGATATTAAATTAATCAGATGTTTTAGATTTACTATTCCTCATCCCTGTATCTCAAATCATGTTTTCTGGGTTTTTTTAATTGGATAATTTACCAGTTAAATTCTGCTTATATAATTGTTATAAATTGATTGGGTTATTCTTGAACTATTACTTAGAACACTGAGATGGTGTGTTTGAACTATATGAGGAATGTTTAACTATCAAGGCTAAAGTTTGACTCCCAATAATCTGATTCTGAATACTTCAATTACTTACAGAGCACAGAAGTTCCAGTTACAACTACCAATTTTTAGGAAAAATCTTTCCAGCTCGTAAGCCTGATTTGTGCTGGAGAAAATCATAGAAATAAATTTAACGTTGGAAGAGACAAAGGATCCAACTAGGAAGAACATTTAGGTTTCTTTGAGAAAACTGGTTATGGGAATATTTTTGTAGCATCAGTATTTCTCTTTGAACTAAAGACTATTGACAAGATTAAAGATATAGCCTGCTAATAAGCAGTTCTTTGTACCTATGTGTTTAAAAAAACGTAATGTTTATAGGCATTGTTAATGCCTACTTCACTGTGCTGTTTAGCAAAATGTTCTTCATTATTTTCAATTTTTCTCTTTAAAAATTTACTGCTCTCAGCTCTTAGGAGACATACGGACTAAGGTATAGACATTGCTATTTTCTGACATCTTATGATACCATAACTTTTTTTTCTTTCATCAATTTAACAAATGATGGTCTTCTATTAAAAATTAAAGTAGAAATAATAAACTCCTTAGACGTCTATTTTTCTGTAAATATGTTTATCAAGAAAGAGAGACTGCTTGTATAATGTCCTCTGGAGGTGCTGGTTCTTTCAGCTTGACTACTTCATCCAAATGAAATGAGGTCGTTCACACTGACATCTTTAACAAAAGTGATCCTAGAGCCCAACACAGGAAACATTACCGTTCAAAATTAAGTTGGCGTCTCTAAATCAATATGAGGTTTTTGTGATGGATACATCTCTTAATACTATATTGAATTAACTTTAAATAATTTTTTTTAGATTTTAGATTTTGGAGACTTATTGCCACCTGGAACTATTGTGTTTAATCTGTTTTATAGATATCTTCACCACTAATCAGCCAGAATTCAAATATCAGATAACGTAAAGATTTGTTTCCAACTCTTTTAAGGAAATCTTAAATAAATTATTTATTCTCTCTCATTTCACTTGAAATATACAAGATATAACTGGTAGTTACATATATTGCACAAATAAGATTTAGATCTAAAGAAATCAAAGGAATCTGAATATGATTTCTTATATTTATTGAAGTAAACAATATAGATACATTGAGAAAAGCATGTAGGGCTCTCAAGGAGTTTGCCTCTTTAAAATAGTAGCAGACTAAGTAGTTTTTCATCATTCTTTGTTTTTTATTTCTCTAGGAGACATGAGGGCTGGGTACAAGGGAAGGAATAGTGGCAAGAGAAGTGGTAGTGGAGGTAAAAGGAGAATAAAGAGAAGGTAGAAAGAAAAAAAAAATGGAACTTTATACATGGAAAATGTTTTGCTGATCCATTATACTTTCTTTACAAAGATGTAATGCTTTTTTTTACCAACTCAGATTTCTAGTATAGTTTCTATTCATTTACATTCTAGTAGTTCTTGGTTTTCCATGAAAGGGGGAAAGGAAAAACCCACATTTTTTAGCGCTTTCCACTTTACGTATCTGAACTTCCATATAATCTTATGCTGCTTCTACCACTTCCCATAGTTAAAGAATACGTCACCTTCTACTAACTTCTAAAACTTGTTTTCTGAAGAAAAACTAAATACTGACATTTTGTTATTACAATGATTAGGTGCATGCTTTGCACTGATTTTAAAACAAAAATCAGTCCTTTTGTGGTCAGTAGAAATTGTGAAATACCAGTATATTCTTTTGGCTATTGCTAATGAGATTCTTTATATATAACAGAAAAAACCAGCTCGAAGAAGATATGAATCATATGGAATGCATTCAGATGATGATGCCAACAGCGATGCATCTAGTGCTTGTTCAGAACGCTCCTATAGTTCTCGAAATGGTAGTATTCCTACATATATGAGGCAGACAGAAGATGTGGCAGAAGTCCTCAACAGATGTGCTAGTTCCAATTGGTCAGAAAGGAAGGAAGGTCTCCTAGGTCTGCAGAACTTACTGAAAAATCAGAGAACACTAAGGTAAGATGCGTTGTCTTAAAATGATTTTACTGTCAGATTAGCACTTTCTGATTTTACTTGGTTTCTATAACACTTTAGAGATACTGATACAGAAACAGACTTGTCCTGAATTCAAATGGTTGCATCCAAGTGTCTTTCCAAAGGTTCAGTCTTTTAGGACCATCTATACTTTCATTTACATTAAAAAAAAATAATGTATTTGTTCTATTTAGCAGAACATTTTAAAAGGAAACTTTTTATTCACACATGGAAATTAAATTTAAAATGTTACTTATTTTTTAATTAATTAAAAAATAATTTAATTAAAATTATTAAAATAAAAAATGTTACTTATTTAATATTAAGTAAAATAATTTAAAATGTTACTTAATAATTTTAATTAAATTATTTTTTAAATTATTTTAATGATTACTTATATTAAATAACATTTTAAATTTAATTTCCATGTGTGAATAAATAGTGATACAACTTACTGGTTTATTAAAATTTATTCCTGGTTAGTTTTTCAATGAGAGCAAAAATGTTTATGTTTATTTGGAAATGAAGATATATTCTTAGTGTGCATGTAATATGTGAATTTTAGTGTAATACAAAGTTGAATTGGAATGAATTTCTCTAAGAACAGATAACTTGTTAATATTTTGGATTTGGGATTTTGTTTCCTTTATTAGTGGCATTAGCTTTCTTCCCCCGGCTTTCTTCATTGTCCTTGTCTGTGTAATGTTTTAAACCTTTATAGTTGACCCCTTTGAGAACCTAGCTTCAGATATTTCATAGGTTTGAGCACAGTGGAATGTACAAGGTTACTTCCTGACTTGATACCTGTGAAATGAGAGTTTGATGTACTTACTTGCTATGTATTTATTTTAGGAAGTAATAGAACTATATACTTTAAAATAAATGTTTCTGTATTACCTAAATATATTTTCATGTGTGCATATCAGACTTCAGGAATCACTGCGATCCATATCATAATGTTGTTCCCAGCCCGTCAAGATTAAGTTAATATTAGATTTCATGTATCATTTTAAATGGCAAGGAGTAGGCATAGTTTAGAATGCTTTTAGCCTGTAAGTAGCGACATTTAAGAAAACGTCTTAACATTTAAAAGGATAAGATTCATGTATTGGGGTTGCCATATGTAAAATATACTCTGTTAATGAAGGATAATTGTATTTGTCTTCATAACTTTTAACCTTTAAGATAGTGTGGGTTACAACAGAACAATTGTGATATTTGCTAACTTTGTATTTAGTCCTGACTAGTAAATCCCACAAATTTCTCAATTTTGGGGGCTGATTTTCTTTTAATGATTTCATTGTTGTTGTTGTTGTTACTGTTTTTTAAGAGATGAAATCTCTTTGTCACTCAGGATGGAGTGCAGTGGCACAATCATAGTTCACTGTTGCCTTGAATTCCTGGGCTCAAACAATCCTCCCACTTCAGCCTCCCAGGTAGCTGGGACTACAGGCGTACACCACTACACCCAGCTGATTTGCTTTTTTTTTTCTTGAGATGGAGTCTTACCCTGTTGCCCAAGCTGGTGCACAGTGGGACAATCACAACTCACTGCAACCTCTGCCTCCTGGATTCAAGCAGTTCTCCTGCCTCAGCCTCCCGAGTAGCTGGGATTATAGACATGGACCACCATGCCCAACTAACTTTTTTTTTTTTTGAGAAGAAGTCTCACTCTGTCTCACACCACCATGCCTAGCTAATTTTTGTAGAGACAGGTTTTCACCATGTTGCCCGGGATGGTCTCAATCTCCTGACCTTGTGATTTGCCCGCCTTGGCCTCCCAAAGTGCTGGGATTACTGGCGTGAGCCACCATGCCCAACATTTTTTATATTTTTAGTAGAGACAGGGTTTTTACCTTGTTAGCCAGGCTGATCTTGAACTCCTGACCTCCAGTGATGCACCCACCTCAACCTTCCAAATGCTGGGATTTCAGGCATGAGCCACCATGCTTGGCCATTCCCAGCTGATTTTAAAAAAAACAATTTATAGAGACAGAGTCTAGCCATCTTGCCCAGGCTGGTCTCGAACTGGGCTCAAGCGATCCTCTAGCCTTAGCCGCCCAAAATGCTAGGATTGTAGGCATGAGCCATTGTGCCCAACCTAACCTTTTTTTTTTTTTTTTTTTTTTTTTTTTAAAGAAACTGAATTATATGTTAAGTTACTTTTATATGGCTTCTTGCTACAGCAAGGTATTAATTAACTGCTGTATTATTTTGGCAGTCGAGTTGAACTGAAAAGGTTATGTGAAATTTTCACAAGAATGTTTGCTGATCCTCATGGCAAGGTATGTTTTAGTATTTAAGATTACTTATTTCTATAGGGTATCATTTGTATATTGTCAAAGCAGAAAACTGTAAGCCATTTTTATTTTGTTGTCCCAAAATGGCAGTAATATTTTCAAACGTAATTAAAATTAAGTGTTTGGTGTCATACATAATTTAGAAATTAATCTCTGGTAACCATTTGAGCTTCTCCAATGATAGATGGTCTAAGACTGAAAATTAAAGAAGATACAGTTTCAATTTATATAATTTAGTCAAGGGGTCTATTTTGTGCTTCTGAGAATGTTTCAATGTTTGTAAAAGACATAATTGGGGTCAATTGAAAAAGTTTCTAACATTTTATTCTGTTTTCTTCTGTGATTAAGTACAGCATTAATATAAATATATTCCTATTTTGAAATAATAACTTTTTAGAAAAGAATTGTCATTAGTTAACACAAAGGCATAAAATGTGGTTCTAGCCATAGTTTGGTAGTAATATGAGACATTTCATACATTGAAATAGTCCATAAAAATTTTCAGAACTTTGTTCATTTTTTAATGTTGATTAAAACATTTAATTAAGTACTTGTATGTAATCTGCATGTGTACTGTGAAATTTTGGTTTACCCTGATGGATAGTACTGTTATAAAACTGTGGTCACATATTCCATTTCCAGCAATGTATTTGACAATGATAAAATTTTCGCTTAGGATGCCAGACGTCTGCAGGAGGCTTTCTAACTAAGTGAGAGGGAGATGTGGCAAGGAAATGATAAGAAAACTATCAATGAATTTCACTTTACTATTTCTTTTATTGTCTTCACTTCATTGTTGTACATCTCATTTCCTACCCATTTTTTTCTATTTTTAGTATTTTCACTACTTACAACACTCCTTAAAGATACTAAAATCCCACTTTGTACATAAACTTAAATCCAGCTAAAGATTTAAATCCAGTGGAGGATATACTTAATTATTTAAATAAATTGCTTGTACTTTAAAACAATATTTTCAAATATTATTCTATCAGAAGTTATATTTATTTGAGGATTAAATATCCCATTAAAGGACAAAGAAGAAAATACATTTGGTAATCAGTTTACTAAAATCTTTTAAAGTTTGTAACTTATAATTGAACATGTAGATAACTAAACCATTCTATATTGATATTGCTATCACTGATTACAGCTGTTAAGTCTTGCTTTAATGTAAAAATTTCTATAAATCCTGAACAAATTAACTTTTTATATTTTTAGTTGGCAATATAAGCCAAAGGACAAGAAAGTTATTTGGGTGAACTTGTTTTTTTAAACATTTATTTATTTTTTTTTTTTGAGACGGAATTTCGCTCTTGTTACCCAGGCTGGAGTGCAATGGCACGATCTTGGCTCACCGCAACCTCCGCCTTCTGGATTCAGGCAATTCTCCTGCCTCAGCCTCCTGAGTAGCTGGGATTACAGGCACGCACCACCATGCCCAGCTAATTTTTTTTGTATTTTTAGTAGAGACGGGGTTTTACCATGTTGACCAGGATGGTCTCGATCTCTTGACCTCGTGATCCACCCACCTCGGCCTCCCAAAGTGCTGGGATTACAGGCTTGAGCCACCGCGCCCGGCCTTTTTAAACAGTTAAATTAATAATCTATTCAACTTTGAAATATAATGTTATTAAGCATCTTCAGTAATTCCTGCTACTGGAAGATAAAAGACCAAAACTAGATTATTTCTTGAAGTCAGTTTTTGACTTTTGTTAAGGCAGTAATGCAATTTGGTTGGCTGCCATGATATATAGTAATAAATAGAAACATTTTTTTAAAAGATCAAACAGGAAGAGCTGAGTTTAACATTGGTATAGGAACTTAACTGAGCACAAATGTTTGACCTCTCTTAATAGTTGTGGAGAACCAGCTGCTATTTTCCCTAGGATTTCTCTTCTTAGGGCTTTATAGCAACATAAAATTCTTATCTACCCATCGGGTTTGTTTGTTTGGTTTTGGTTTTTCTTTTTTAGTCAGTTCTGTGAAGGCAGATGTAATAGGAAGATTTTCATGTTTTTGTTTGGCTATTGATTGTCCATCAGAGGCTCTGTCAATAATGTAATTCATTAAGGATAGACTAGACATGTCACCATTCTGTGTTGAGTTAAAAATGTTAAGAGTTTTTGCATTGCCGGGCGTGGTGGCTCAAGCCTGTAATCCCAGCACTTTGGGAGGCCGAGGCGGGTGGATCACGAGGTCGAGAGATCGAGACCATCCTGGTCAACGTGGTGAAACCCCGTCTCTACTAAAAATACAAAAAATTAGCTGGGCATGGTGGCGCGTGCCTGTAATCCCAGCTACTCAGGAGGCTGAGGCAGGAGAATTGCTTGAACCCAGGAGGCGGAGGTTGCGGTGAGCCGAGATCGTGCCATTGCACTCCAGCCTGGGTAACAAGAGCGACACTCTGTCTCCAAAAAAAAAAAAAAGAGTTTTTGCATTGTATTCTGATATTTTTAAAATAGCAAGCTGCACCCCTCCCTTTTTAAAATGTATTTTTAGACCAACAGTTCCATCTTCAGCATCAAGCAACTTTTTTTTTTTTAAATGTCTTCTTTCTGAATGCAACTTTGTTCTATATCGGAGTCAGCCACTATTTTCTATAAATAATATGGCTTTGCAGACCATAATAGTCTCTGTCCCAGCTAGTCAGTTAGGCCATTATAGCACGAAGGCACCCATAACACGCAATAAGTAAACAAATATGTGTGCTGGGTTGCAGTAAAACTTTATTTATGAACATTAAAATGTGAGGGTGTGTGTGTGTGTGTCTGTCTGTGTGTCTGTCTGTCTGTCTATACATTTTTTTTTTTTTTTTTGGACACAGTCTCTCTCTGTCACCCAGGCTGAGTGATGGAATGGCATGATCTCAGCTCACTACAACTTCCGCCTTCTGGGTTCAAGCAGTTCTCATGCCTCAGCCTCCCAAGTAGCTGGGATTACAGTCATGTGCCACTACACTCTGCTAATTTTTTGTATTTTTCGTAGAGACAAGTTCTCACCATGTTGGCCAAGCTGGTCTTGAACTCCTGGCCTCAAGTGATCTGTTCATCTTGGCCCCCCAAAGTGCTGTGATGGCAGGCATGAGCCACCGTGCCTGGCTATGTGTATATATAATTTTCGTGCATCACTGAATAGCCTTTTGATTGCTTTTATAGTCATTTTTTAAAGTATAAGAACTAGAAATAGCTTGCAAATCATAGTTTGTCGTATATGATTAACGCTTTGTTACTGACACTAAAATAGGAACATATGTTCAGGAACCTATACCCTTGGAAGCTGAAATTATTTGATGTCTGTAATTTGATAAATGAACTATTTTTACTTCATATACCCATATGGAAGTAAGTAATTAACCCACAACATATCTAAGACAATAATTTAGACCATAAATCAGCAAATGTGTAATGTACAGCCTTTTTATATTTTTGTAAGTGAAGCAGTACAACAAAAGTACTGTAAAATGGTAGGCTTTGTTTGGACATTATCTTGAGGACACTTTCTTGACCAGTCACTGAAGGTTTTAAACTGGTAAAGAAGATGTACCTTTTGAAAGGATTACTTAAGCAATGTGAGGGAGAATTTAAAATAGCAAGTATGGATAATGGAGCGAGATTGCTTGGGTTCAGATTCTACCTCCAATTTGTTAGCAGTATGTGCCTTAATTATTATTAGTCTGTAAAACAGTTAATAGTTGTATCTACCTCATAAGATTGTGATGAAGATTAAATGAGTTAATATATGTAAACCCTTAGAACATACCAAGTATCATGTAAGTTTTGAAAAAAATCAAATAAGTTTTTTAAATTACGGAGTTTGAGGCAGATTTTTATTTTGACTGCTCTGGACCCATTTTTTCCCCCCTCAAATGCAAGCAGTATCAGTTGCCAAAAGCTATCCCATATATTTCTGGCATTTGACTCTGGAAAGAACTACCTTCACTATGGTGCATGCTTTGAATTGGCATTTTATGGTATTTGTAACACTACCTCTTGAATCATACTCTGGAGCCTTGGACAGCTAGGGTAGGAATTCAATCTGTGGCTACTAAAATGAGGCATAGTTGACTCTCCTGGCAAGCATTCTAGATAGCTCACCTGTCTGCAGTCTTTGGATCAGGAGACCATAACACACATCTTACCTAGGGAAAATTAAAAGTATAGTATAATTACTTCTACTTCCAAACAATAGCTATTGTTTCAAGCCTTCACAGAAATATTTTAAATGTGAAAATGTTGCTTCTGAGTGGATGAAAAAAAGAGAAAAGAAAGAAAGTTCTAGATACTGTGCTTTGGAATCAAATGTTGGCCCTGTTCAAAAGTGGGAGTGTGTGTTGGATTTTTTTCAGATGTTTGGCCTTAAAGATTGGTAGGGTCTGGAAAAGAAGAGTTTTTGTCTTTAGTTTTCTTAATTTTGCTGGCAAGGAGGTTCAACAGAAACAAAATCATATGTTCTTCTCCCATACAATTCATTTAAGTCTTGTTTTAAAAACTATTTTGAGTTTATCATAAAACTTTGAAAAACATTTGTCACTTTTATTTTCTAAGTGTTTTTCTTCCATACAGGAACTTTGCATTGATGGCGACTAATTTGTGTGTTTTTCTTTTTTTTCTTTTTTTCTTTTTGCATGCTGTCCCCTGTGTTGGAACTCTCAATAGAGAGTAAGTTGGTTCAATATTTGTTGGAAACCTAACTTTACTGCATGACTGTGAAATTAACCCTTTTTCTCTACTTTCTCTCCCGAAGAGTTCATGCAGTGTTGGAACCTTTGCAATCCACGAAATGCTATTTGCAGTTATGCAAACTATCATTCTGTTTGGAGATGTGCTTTTTAATCTACTAATTAATCTAATTTGATTATGTTCTTCTGTTCTATATTTGATGACTGGCACACCTAAGATATAAGGGAGTTTAAGAAAAGTCTGCCTCAATTGTAATAGTTCGAATATTTTAATTATTTTCCAACAAATTATATTTATGAGATATGTGGGGTAATAAATTGATTCTATTGAAAATTACTTCCATTGAATTATTTAAAAATGATTCCGAAGTTTCACAATTAAAAAAAAATTTAGCCCCCATCTTCCCACAAATGACATTTTATTAATGTCATGCCATTAAAGCAAACAGAGTAGATTATGGAGTGGTAATTCTCATCTTTGTCTTCTGAAAGAAAATGTGTATCACTAGTATTATATTAGCCTAGCCACTTTCTACTTTGTTCTTTAATTATAGATAAGGAAATGGGAGCATATTAACATCTGACAAGAGCCCTTTTTGGTAGGGCAATCAAGTAAGAATGTTTGTATATAATTTTCAATAAATGTTGGATGTGGATAATGAATGAAGATGGAGCTGTATATATGTATGTATATGTAAGTACAGTTGACCCTTGAACAATGAGGAGGTTAGGGAGGGACACAGACCCCTGTGCAACCAGAAACCTGTATATAATTTTTAACTCCCCAAAACATAACTACTAATAGCCTAGTGTTGACCAGAAACCTTGCCAATAACATAAAGTCAATTAACATATTTTTTATTACACGTATTATATACTATATTCTTAAACTAGAGAAAATAAAGTGTTACTAGCCAGGTGTGGTGGCTCACAATCTGTAATCCCAGCACTTTGGAAGCTGAGATGGGTGGATCACCTGAGGTCAGGAGTTCAAGACCAGCCTGACCAACATGGTGAAACCTCATCTTTACTAAAAATACAAAAAAAATTAGTTCAGCATGGTGGCGCCAGCCTGTAATCCCAGCTACACAGAAGGCTGAGGCAGGAGAATCACTTGAACCTGGGAGGCGGAGGTTGCAGTGAGCTGAGATTGCACCAGTGCGCTCCAGCCTGGGTGATACAGTGAGACTCCATCTCAGAAAGAAAATAAAATGTTATTAAAATCATAAGGAAGAAAAAATATATTTGCTTACTAATTATTAGGGATGGATCACCGTAGAGATCTTCATTATTGTCATCTTCACCTTCAGTAGGCTAAGAAGGAAGAGGAGGGATTGGTCTTACTGTCTCAGGGGTGGCAGAGGTGGAAGAAAATCCACGTATAAATGGACCCACACAGTTTAGAAGCATGTAGTTCAAGGGTCAGCTCTGTGTGTGTGTGTGTGTGTGTGTGTGTGTGTGTGTGCGCACGCGCGCGTGCGTGCCTGTGCATGTGATCATTTAGTAATTACCACTGATAGGATATAAGCATTTTAGAAAAATAATAGTACAGGCCAGACACATGGCTCATGTCTGTAATCCTAGCACTTTGGGAGACTGAGGTGGGAGGATTGCTTGAGGCCAAGAGTCCAAGACCAATCTGGGCAAGAAAGGTAGACCCCCATCTCTACAAAACTAAAAAATATTAACCGGACATGATGGTGCATGCCTGTAGTTATACCTACTCAGGAGGCTGAGGTGGGAAGATTGCTTGAGCCCAGAAGTTTGAGGCTGTGGTGAGTCATGATTGTGCCACTGCACTGCAGACTGGGTGATAGAGCAAAACTCTGTCTTGTCTCAAAAACAATAACAAAATTTAAAAAATAGTACAGTTCCTTATCTAGGGTACAGCAAATAACATGTCCACATTTTTATTTAGTTACTCACATTTTATATAACAAAACAAATTTTCTACTTAGGAAACTCAGAGAAATCTTCTTGAAGAAAATGGCTTCTCAGATCTTGACAGAAATAAGCTTTGGATATGTCAGTGTGAGAATAAAGAGCTTATTGAAAGTAGCTAGCCTGAGTCCACAAAAAGAATTGGGAGATACTAGAAAGTTTATAGGAAATAAAAAGAAGTTAATTTTGGCTAGGATAAGGGGAAGGTCTTTCCTTGCATTGAAGAAAAAGGGTTGGCTACCAATTAGAGGATAAATTTCACTTGATTTTATTAATCAATTTTTTATTGGGTTCTCAGCCTTTGATAACTTTTAAGCTTGGTCTAGTTCTAATTGGTGCACACAAGACTACAAAAATATAATCTTTATTTTCAAATGGTATGTGTTGGAAATGGGAAGATAACATAAATACAGAAAAGCTAAGTAGCACCTTAAATAGCTAGTCCCTCTATGAGTTCTAAGCCAGGAAGATCAGTGGCCCTAACTTGCAGTCCAAGAAGCTTCTTGACCAGGACTTGAGTGGTAAATTCTAAAGGGAGTCACATACTGTGTGTAAATGAATGGAGTGGGGGTGTGTTAGAAAATCAGGATGAGTGTATGAGATGTGTTCAAGGATAAGGAGTTTATGTTGCCAGATAAACCAAGATCAATTTGGAGTTAGAAACTTGTCTAAGTATTTTAGGCATTATAGACAGTGCAGGGATATTAAAGGATTTTGTTTCCATCCAGAGTGATATCACAGTCTGATGGTGACAAAGAAACGTGAGATGACAAACCACAGCCTGCAGACCACATCTTCCCTGCTGCTCGTTTTTTGAATAAAGTTATATTGGCACACAGCTATGCTTATTTGTTTATGTGGTGTCCATGGCTGTGCTAAATAGCAAAGTTGAGTAGTTGCAGTAGAGACTACATGGCTTGCAAAGCCCTAGAATATTTACTATCTGGCCTATTACAGAAATGATTTCCTGACCCCTGGCATACAGGAAATATAAAACTAATGTCAGGCTACTACAGAAATCCAGACCTGAGGTCAGAAAGACTTGGTGCTTTCAGTAATGGTATGGTAAACAGATTTGGAGAAGACCAGGAAAAAGCTTTTCTAGAGGTTCTGAGGCCTCGTGGGATAGATCAGAGAGACTGTGACAAGTAAGCCATGTTTGTGATGAAAACAGAATCATGATGAAGACAATGCAAAAGGAGAATTCCTGGCAACTAGAAAGAAGGGAAATAAAAGGAAAGCAGTGTCAAGTTACAGAATGGCCAAATATACCAAACTTAATGGAGAAGCTATTATACATCACGATTAGAAAGTAATTGGTGGGAGCAGTAGAATGGAAGCAGAAAGAGAATTTCTTGGGATGACATCTGCAACTGTAAGCAAAGGATTTAAGTAGACAATAAAAGAATAAAGATGGTAGAGGAGACCATGTTTTAAGAGAGCAAGAATATAAAATAGATTAGCCTTAAAATGAATCAGATCACTTCTTTCTTGGAGAGATGATGATTAGATGGATAGGTACAGAGGAAATCAAATTGAGGGAAGAGTCACTGGAGAATTTCATGTTGAATGACAGTAAAGTAGATGAGGTAAGTCATCTGGCAATAGAATGAATAGAGCACAGCTGAAAACCAAGTGACCTAGCCTTAAGTCCTGGCCTAGCTATTAACCGTCTGTGAAACATTGGGCAAGTCATATTATTCTCTGATTCCCTGTTTCCTCATCCATAAAACAGGAGGGTTGACCTAGGCATTCTAATGTCTCTGATTTTCAGAATGGATTTTCATGTAGGAAAGCTTGAAGTTGGAATCTTCAGGAGCATAGAGAAGTGTTGAAAAAAGGGTGAAAGTGAACCAAAGAATAGGATAATGGTGTCCTGGTAAATGAGCTTTAGAGGAGAGGCAGGAAGCCCTGATTTGTAGCATTTGCCAATTTCTGAGATGTAAATACTCCTATCCCATGGTAGATGTCAAGCTACCAACCATTTCACAAAATTCCTGAATATTCAACAATTGACTCTAGATAGGTACAAACTGATGCCAGCACATCACTGAACAGATTTGCCAGTTAACAGTGAGAATGAGGGTCAGATTAGTTACGTGCATTTGTCATAGACTAGGTCTAGTGAAGTTCCTTGACAATATTCTTGGCCCTCAGGATAGGGCCAGAGACAGTTTAATGAAGCAGCTGGCCAAGTTTGGAATCTAAGAGAAGCCAAGTTCTTGGCGAGTTGTTGGGGTAGGGGTGGGATGAGAGTTAAAGGAATCCACACTGAGTGAGAACAGTGTTGAAGCATACATTGCTGGGGACTAGAGAAAACTCAAAAATTTAATTATAGTTTCTGCTGTTAGAGGTATAGAGCATCTTAAGCAAATGGCTAAAGTATATTTTTATTTTTTACTCAGTTTAAATGTTAAAGCTTAATTATAATTATGATAAAGAAAATCCTTCATTTCTAACAAGAAAAAACGAGTTTATCTGTAACTGTATAAAGGGAATTCAAGAAATATTCATTGAGAACAAAACCCTTAATTCTCAAATTAACATAATTACTTTTTGAGATTAGCTCAAAAAGTTAATGATTTTAAGATTTTTCTAACCCATAGTTTTTAATCTATTATTAAAATGTTTATTATAATTTGTCCAGTAATATATTATGGCTGACAGTCTTAAGAGGTTTTTCTTCTTTACCTAGAAACTGATTTTCTAATGTAGTGTTGACTGTCTTATAAAGAGATACAGCCTAGATAAAGGTCACTTTTCTTAAGTATTTTTATGAGCTACATCACTTATAAACATTAGCTTCCCTTCACTATAATAATTTTTTCAACCTTATGAAAATTTTTAAACAAATAGATTAATATTGGAAATAGGTTAAAAACCCATAAATGGATAGGGAGACTAATAGGATGCCGTCTAGGACTTTTTAAAAATCACTAAAATTTAGATGTAGACGTTCAGCTTGGATTTATTTTATTTTAGATGCAATTACAGTTATCTCAAATTATTTAAAATTACCATTGAGGCAGTTTTAATAAATGACATATTCTATACCAAATTATTTATGACAGTTGTCATTTTGAGAAATCTGAGAATTCTCTAATTATTATGCCAGATAAATTTTATACTTTAAGGTCGTTATAGTCATCTTTTTATTTATGCAGTGCCTCTCTTTGGAAAAGCTGAGTTAGTGAAACTATACTTTCTTTCCCTACATTTATGTAAAACGGATTTCACTTTAACCAGTTTAAGCTGTGGCGTCATTGATAACATTAGGTGTGCCAGCCATTATGGCCAAACTTTCTTTACCAAGCGATGCTGCATGGAATAGCTAATTGTTGAACTTCTGCAGAAGTTGGATAACAGTTCAAACGTACTCTTGTATCACAGTGTCCAATGAAAAGCAAGAGAGATTGTTTTTCCGCTTGGCTGCCAATCGCTGTGCCTTTGATTCCTGTGTTCCTTTCTATATTCGTTTTGAATTGAACATAGAGGTCAATATTTCCTCTTTTTTTTCTCCCTGCCTCTCCCCTTTATCAACTATAGGTATTCAGCATGTTTTTGGAGACTCTAGTGGATTTCATACAAGTCCACAAAGATGATCTTCAAGATTGGTTGTTTGTGCTGCTGACACAGCTACTGAAAAAAATGGGTGCTGATTTGCTTGGATCTGTTCAGGCAAAAGTTCAGAAAGCCCTTGATGTTACAAGGTAATATTTTTTTTCATATATTTCAAGTTAACCAGATAATAACTAGGAATATTTAACTCGTATATTAATAGTTTAGATTTCTGAGTTCCTCTGAACAATTCAGACTGCATGGATTCCATTAGAAGATTGTTAATTATGCCCATTCACATTGTATATTTAATGCAACTTTTTTTAAGGTCAAACCCTGCATTTCTTTTATAAAAATTGTGTTAATATTGGTTGAGTAATTCAAGGTGGTATTTTATCTTAATTGATGAATCAGCAGCTGGACACAATGGCTTACACCTATAATCCCAGCAGTTTGGGAAGCTGAGGTAGGCGGATCACTTGAGGTCAGGAGTTCAAGACCAGCCTGGTCAACATAGCAAAAACCTGTCTCTACTAAAAATAATATGGATTAGCCAAGTGTGGTACCAGGCACCTGTAATCCCAGCTACTTGGAAGGCTGAGGCCAGAGAATCACTTGAACCTGGGAGGTAGAGGTGCAGTGAGCTGAGATTGTACCGCTGCACTCCAGCCTGGGCAATAGAGCGAGACTCTAGCTACAAAAAAAAAAAAGAAAGAAAGAAAAAAGTATCAGCAAAGTAAGGTTGAAGATTTTATTTAATCTACTGTAAAAAGTATTTTATGTTTATTTAAACAGTGTTTTATTATGCATTTCAGTATTCCGAATCTCTTGTCAGAAGGTTTTGAACCAATATAATTCTATTTCTTGTGTAGATTGTTTAAGTCACTAATTTCAAATACCCATTTACTAGGTTGGGTTGAGTCAGAATTCAGATTTTAGGTGTAAGGAAACATTTCTGAGAATGTTAAACTTTTTACTGAATATATTTTTCTGATTAAATCTGTAGTTGAGGCAAGATAGGCTGTTATTTACATGTAAACATTTAAATGTAGTGTTGCTTTTTAACCCTGTACGGAGTACCAATTCAAATGTTTATATTCTTCTGAGGATACATTTATTTTATACTATACCAGATAGGTTATACCACATGCAGATACCACTTTATGCATGCTTTTTGGGTGACATTATGTTTTGGTATTAAGCATAGTCTTTGCTGTTATATATGTACTTACTTAATTTTTGTTTTGTTTTGCTTTGTTCTTATTTCAGAGAATCTTTTCCAAATGATCTTCAGTTCAATATTTTAATGAGATTTACAGTTGATCAGACCCAAACACCAAGCTTAAAGGTAAAAATTTGAGGTCTTTTAAAGACATTATAAGGAATTGAAGTATTTTTTAGTAAAGTGATATTGATATTTGTATTTCCATCACATGAGAAGCTGTTCAATCAGTGGGTTTTGTTTTTATAAACTTTCAGACAGTCAAGCCAGCACTTCGGGACCAGCTTCACTCTTTTTGGAGCTCCAAGGTTTTTTTGTTTTTGTTTTCATCTGCATTATTTCTTTTCTTAACTCTCTGCAGTGTTTGCATCTATATTCAACTACTAACTTTCATAAGCCTTCTACGCATGCACATATTTGATTTCAAATGTTATTTAAATGTCAGACTCTAAGTCTTTTGGAGAAACTTAATGATGATACATATTTAGAAGGTATCACAGTATGGCCATCTAACCCTAAGCTGGTTACGCAAACTCACTCTTAACTAATTTTATGTTTGTGATTTCCCAATACTTTTTTAAATGTTAGGCATTTTAACAGGTATTTTAGGCAAAATGTCCATTTTGCCTATGTATTAACTAAGCAAAAATTTTAAAATTTAATCTCAATGCCTTTCTTCAATTATCCTTAACTGAAATAGTAACTTTTTTTTTCCTGATGTATGCATAACATTTGGAATTATAGTTAACTTTCTTATTTGTTATATGCACACATTTGGCAGTTAATGTAAAAACTAGATGGATTGCAATTTGTGATTTTAAATGATTATTAAATTTTACATAAAATTTTTAAAAATTAATGTGAAAGAATAGCCCCTGAATTCTTTACTAAGTTTTGTTTAGTGAGTTTTATTAAAGGAGATTAAAGTCAGGGAAATAACAAGCATATGTGCTTACAACGAGTCCTATATTTTTCTGCTCTATCCTGCACGAAATATATTTCTGCATTACTGCCCAGGATTGGTTTTTCCCTTACGTTTCTGAATGCAATTGTCCCTCAGAATCACAATTATGTTTCTTACCAGGGTTGACTTTGTTAAACCAAAAAGTGTCTGAGACAAGTCTCAATCAATTTAGAGGTTTAGTTTGCCAAGATCGAGGATGCATCCAGGAGGAATAGACACAAGTAGGATCTGTGACATGTGCTTTTTTTCCAGAGAGGGTTTTGAGGAGTTTAATATTTAAAAGAGAAAGAGCCAGCAGGAGGGGAAAGAGGAACAGTCAGTTATGTATGCATTCATTTCGTGCTCGATAAATAAGCATCTTACATAAGAGAAAGTGAACATAGAGTAGAGGAAGGAGTCAAATATGTATTTGTCTCTGGGTGAGTGGAGGGATGATTTCTTGTCTCATCTCTGTCCTTTACCTGTGAAGATAAACTGTTAATTTACATTTTCTGTGTGAGGGAGACCATCTGAAGAGATATGTAGCCTTCTATCTTGGAGCTGTCTATTTATGAACAAAGGGGAGGCAGTTTTTGGATGACTCAGTTCCCAAGCTTAGCTCTTCCCTTTGGCATAGGCCATTTTATTTTCCTGTTCACAACTTACACTCAGTATAATGTTGTTTTCTTAGCACTTCTTGGGGAAAGAGGTTTTATCTTTTGCTTTTAAAAAGTGACCTGTTCTCACTCATAGGCAGGTGTTGAACAGTGAGAACACATGGACACAGGGAGGGGAGCATCACACACTGGAGTCTGTCACGGGGGAACTAGTTGGGGGAGGGACAATGAGGGGTGGGGAGTTGGGGAGGGATAACATGGGGAGAAATACCAGATACAGGTGATGGGGAGGAAGGCAGCAAACCACATTGCCATGTATGTACCTATGCAACAATCTTGCACGTTCTTCACATGTACCCAAAACCAAAAAGGCAATTAATATATATATATATATATATATATATATATATATATATATATACATATATTTTAAGTGACCTGCAGAAGAAGAATTGACTTGATATTATTGACATATTTTTGAACTCATTTTATGACCAAAGCATTGTGCTAGATATTTCTGGGAATATCAAGTCTATAATTTTATCATTAACTATAATATCTAATAAACTCTAAACAGTAATAAAAGTTATGATACAGGTATCTGTAGTGGTGTTCAAGTGCTACTAAAATATATGTAGAGTTAGCTCAGTGTGGTAATGCATGCCTATTATAGTCCTAGTTACTCAGGAGGTGAGGCAAGAGGATTGCATGCACCCAGGAGTTGAGGTTACAGTGAGCTCTGATCACACCACTGCACTCCAGCCTGGGAGCCTCTTTTTGTTAGAGATAGAGTGAGACTGTCTTAAAAAATAAAAATTAAAGAATAAGGAGGGAAAGGAGAGAGTGTAGGATGTAGGAGGGAGAGAGAAAGGGAAGAAAGGAGGATAGAAAATGTATATAGAGATGTTTCATGGACCAGTGCAAATGAAAGTCTAAACCAGCTTAAGAAATAAAAGTGAAGCTGGGTACAGTGCCTCACACCTGTAATCCTAGCAGCACTTTGGGAGGCTGAGGCAGGCAGATCAGGAGTTCGAGACCAGCCTAGCCAACATGGAGAAATCCCGTATCTACTGAAAATACAAAAATTAACCAGGTGTGGTGGCGGGCACCTGTAGTTCCAGCTACTCAGGAGGCTGAGGCAGGAGAATTGCTTGAACCCAGGAGGTGGAAGTTGCGGTGAGTCAAAATCATGCCACAGTACTCCAGTCTGGGAGACAGAGCGAGACTCAAAATCGTGCCACTGCAGTGAGTCAAAATCATGCCACTGCACTCCAGTTTGGGAGACAGAGTAAGACTTGGTCTCAAAACAAAACAAAACAAAACAAAACAAAACAAAACAAAACAAAAAACAAAGAAAAGCAAGGGGTTGATAGTTGAGTTTAGAAAGAATAAGTTGCTGGGGACTTGAAGAGAAAGACCGACAAAGCGAAAATTTGAAATGAGATATGCACAAATTAAAACTGGCTTTCCTATTGGAAAACATTGTACTGGAAACTGGAATCACAGATCATTTCTCTAAGATCCTAAGTTACTTCTAAATATGTTTTTAATGTAGATATATTAGCAAATCCATGAGGGAAAATAACTTTTCGGCTGGGCACAGTGGCTCACGCCTGTGATCTCCGCACTTTGGGAGGCTGAGGCAGGGGATCATCTGAGGTCAGGAGTTTCAGACCAGCCTGTCCAACTTGGTGAAACACTGTCTCTACTAAAAATACAAAAAATTAGCTGGGCATGGTGGTGGGCACCTGTAATTCCAACTGCTGGGGAGGCTGAGGTAGGAGAATTGCTTGAACCCAGGAGGTGGAGGTTGCAGTGAGCCGAGTCTGTGTCACTGCCCTCTAGCCTAGGCAACAGAGTGAGACTCCGTCTCACACAAAAAAGAAAATAACTTTTTAATTCTTAAATCAGTGTTTTAGAATAGCATGGAAAAGTTATATTGGAGCCATATCTTATGTCAAAAATAAAAGCAGCTTTCAAGTGGGTAACAGGGTTAAGTATAAAAAATTTAGCATATTATAGAAAACCACAAATAACTTGAGTATCAGATCTAAAAATTTTTTTATTGATCTTTCAGATAAATGATGAATGTTTATGTAAAATTTTACGTCTCTTTCAGAGTGTCATGTGATTACATGTCAAACGGAAGCAGTGGGGGGAATGCCAATACAAAGTGGTTTTAATTGAATTAATAATACTTTAAAGATAAATGTAATTTTTGCTGACCTCTTTTTTCTGGGTTTCACAAACAAGTTAAAGAATTTCACATCCCTAGCAGCTAGATTGTTTTTTCTTCTCTGAAAAAGAATTCATGTTTGCTGCATTAAAATTATAAACTGGGTACAACCTTGTAAAATATCCTAATAAATGTACATGTTCAAATGATTATATATGTATTGTGGTTATGTTGCTTGTTAGTATAGTAAACACATACATTCTGTGAAACTCTTTTAAAATTTTGCATGACAATAAATTGCCAAGCAACTGCACTAATTGAACCTCACATAGTATAAATGAATATATTCAGTTATTGATGATGGCAAATTATAAACAAAATACACTGATGTTCATTTTTTGATTTAACATAGTCACCTTCCAGCTATTCACACTGAGTGAGGATGGCATTGCTTCAAGAATTCAGAATATTGGCCGGGGAATGGTGGCTTATACCTGTAATCCCATCACTTTGGGAGGCCAAGGTGGACAGATTGCTGGAGCCCAGGAGTTCAAGACTAGCCTGGGAAACATGGCAAAACCCTGTCTCTACAAAAAAAAAGTTTTTAAAATTAGCTGGGTGTGGTGGTGCAAGCCTGTAATCATAGCTACTCAGGAAGCTGAGGTGGGAGGATCACTTGAGCTGGGATGTCGAGGCTACAGTGATCACAACACTGCACTCCAGCCTGCGTGACAGAGTGAGACCTTATCTCAAAAAAAAAAAAAAAAAAATTTTTTTCCCGAACATTATGTGGTGTCACAATTTAGTTGTGCCTGGTACTTTAAAATTAACCATAAGTCTCTCTTCCTGTCTACTACGCATTTCTGATGGCTAATAGGTTAACTTTTGTTTTTTGCAATAGATTTATTTAAAATTATAAATATGTCTTTTAATTGACAAGTTAAAATTCTGTATATGCTTTGATATATGTATGCATTGTGGAATGGCTAAATCAAGTTATATAACATTTGTGTTACCTCATAGGTGTATCATGTATCTTTTGTGTGGGTGGTAAGAACACATAAAATTAACTCATCAGTTTTCATATAGACAATATATTGTTCTTAACTGTAGTCACCATGTTGTACAGAAGGTCTCTTTTCATTGTTGTTGTTTATTAAGAGAAACACTTTCTTAGCCCACATATTCATATTTCATAGTTCAGAAATACAAGTCAGTTGCAAACTTCTATCTAGGTCATTCAACCTGAAGAAATTCTTTATATTCCATAATTTGTTTGCACTGTGAAAGATACCAGCCTTCCCTCATCTCCTCAAAATCTTTCATGGAATTATAATTTCCATAGAAATCTTCATGTACCTTCTTTCTTGGTTTAGCTACAGCAAACTTATGAAGAGTTGCTACCCACAGGGATACAATGAATGCTCCTACAATATGAAATTGCAGACACTTTGCCATATGGCCACACATCCGGGATTTCATCATAGCACTGGGAGTCACGGTAGTTGCTGTCCTTGGTAGCTTCATCAGCTTCTACACCAACATCCTTCCTGGCTGATGGAGAAATCGAATCTCTTGAACTTATTCGTCCTGTCTAAATGAAATGTTGTGCCCTTTGACCAACAACTCTCCAGTCCCCTACCCTCTAGTAACCTCCATTTTACTTTCTGTTTCTGTAAATTTGACTTTTTCAGTATGCTGCATTTAAGTGAGATCATATAGTATTTGTCTTTCTATGTCTGGCTTATTTCACGTATTGTCCTCCAGGTTCACCCGAATTATCACAAATGACAGGATTTCTTCCTTTGTAAAGCTGAATAGTATTCCACTGTGTATATACACCACATTTTGTTTATCTTTCCAATCTTTGATAGACTGTTAGGTTTATTCTATATCTTGGTATTATGAGTAGTGCTGCAGTGAACATGGGAGTGCAGATGTCACTTCCACATTCTGATTTCATATCCTTTGGGTCTATACCCACTAGTGGAATGCTGGATCATTTGGCAGTTCTATTTTTAATTCTTTGAGGAACCTCCATATTATTTTCCATAATGGCAGCACTAATGTACATTTCCACCAGCAGTGTGGAAGAGTTTTGTTTTCTGTGTATCATCATCTACACTTACCTTTCATCTTTTTGATAACAGCCATTCTACCAGGTGTGAGGTGAGGTTTTAGTTTGCCTTTCCCTGAAGAATGCTGGTATTGATCATTTTTCCATATACCTGTTGGCCATTTCTTCTTTTGAGAAATGTCTATTCAGATCCTTTGCCCATTTTCTAAACAGTTTGTTTTCTTGCTATCGAGTCATGTGAGTTTCTTACATATTTTGGATATTAACCACTTATCAGCTGTATGGTTTGCAATACATTATTTTTTCTCGTTTCTAGTTGTCTCTTCACTCTGTTGATTGTATTGTTTGCTATGCAGAAGCTTTTTAGTTTGGTGTAATCTCATTTGTCTATTCTTGCTTTTGTTGCCTGTGTAAAGTTACAAATACTTGTTAAAATTCATTCATTAGGAAAGAAAAATGTAATTTGATCTCTCCTTTTTATTTTAACTGAAAGTAGGAAGGGAAAATCTATAACTGTCAGAACCTTATTTTAATATTTTACTTCCTGCTAATTTATTCAGTATGGCACTTCCCAGAGATGGTATTTGGCCTGAGTGACAAAAATGACATTAAAATCAATAGTAAGGGAAGAAAAAACATAGAAAAACATACTACTTTAAAATTTGACAATTTTTTCTCAAGTTTCAATCATACATTTAAACCTTCTTTACTCTATGTCAGCAAATTAGCATTTAATATATGTTTAGCATCCTTGCTGTATCCCAGGACTATGTGAAGTGCTGTTTCTTAAGTGCACAGGTACAACATGGTGACTATAATTAATAACAATGTATTGTATACTTGAAAATCGCTAATGGGGGATGTCATAGGGGGAGCTGAAGGTCAAAGTATACAAAGTGACAAATCTATAGTATGATTAAGTCTAGAGATCTAATGGACAACATGAAGACTGTAGTTCATAATATTGTGTTATATTTGGGGTTTTTGCTAGAAGAGTAGGTTTTAGGTGTTCTTGCTGCACGTACAGAGCAGGTAATTGAGATGATGGATTCATTGACTTGCTTGACTATAGGAAACATTTCACTGTGTATATGTGTATCAAAACATCATGTTACACACATTTATAAAAAGAATTTCCAGGAGAATAGATTTTAAGTGTTCTCACCACAAAAAAAAATTAAGTATATGAGGTAATGTATGTGTTAATTAGCTCAATTAAAGCCCTTCCACAAATATATATATTTCAAACATCTGCCTTCCATGCATGTTTGCATCAAGATTACTGGGAGAATATTGAGACCTTTAAACTGATACATAACGTTTCTATACACATAGGTATTGTCTTTTCTTCAGTGGTACTTGTATAACTCATTTTTGTGACAGTTCTTTTGGAAGGCAGTTCTGACAACCGATGGACTCATTAAGGAACCTCATCTCATTGTGAGACTCTGTGTTTGACCAAAAAAAAAAAAAACCTATATTGCCCACCTTGATTGCCACCTTGATTTGCCATACCTTATTTCCAAAATACTTTTGTTCATTTTCCCAAAAACGAAATTACACTGGGTTAATAAGACTAGCTCTCTGTGAGGCTAGCTGAGAGTCAGCCATAAGCTCTGAGGGCTGATTTAAGGAAATCTTTATAATCTTGTCAAGACAGTCTTCAGCAGTTGTTCAGACTTGGGGAATGAAACACCTGGGACCTCAAAGTTCTGATTCTGTGTGAAAAAAAATCAACAACACTGTCATATACATGTACCTCAGGTAGGTAGGTGATTGTATTTGTTGTTGTTGTTCTTGTTGTTGTTATTTGTTCATTTTCTATTTGTCAAAAAATAATCACCTGGCTGGGCATGGTGGCTCATGCCTGTAGTCCCAGCACTTTGGGAGGCTAAGGTGGGAGGATTGTTTGAAGCCAGGAGTTCAGGACCAATCTGGCCAACATAATGAGACCCTATCTGTATAGAAAAAATAATAAAAATAATCACAATTATTTTTGAAATATTCTCTAGGGTCTCACAGTCACCATCTTACTGTTCTTTCTCTTTGTGCCTTCCTCTGCAGGTGAAGGTTGCTATCCTTAAATACATAGAAACTCTGGCCAAACAGATGGATCCAGCAGATTTTATAAATTCTAGTGAAACTCGCTTAGCAGTATCTCGGGTCATCACTTGGACAACAGAACCCAAAAGTTCTGATGTTCGGAAGGTATGTTTTAATACAAGGTTGAGAAGATAAATTGGGAAAGCAAGTCAGTCATTATGGATTGACAGTGAACGAAGCTAATATTTTCAGGACCATAACAATTAGCAGTGAGTTATGCAGAACTTTTTAAAAAATATTTTAAGTTGTTTTAAATTGTATCCAATTAATATAAACATAATTTTCAAACTTAGAATCAAAAATACCTACCCTTACAACAATCCTCCCTCTAATTTTATAACCATTCAAAATATTCCAAATCATTCCCCCTGCATTTACCTATACTTTTCAAATAAGAGCTTATACTATTGTTTGATTTATCCATTTTTAGACATTTTTTTAAATCTATTGATAAATATTGACATTTGGTATATCCATCTATCTTGGTAAGTGAGGACTTAGCTTTCTCAAACTTTCTGTATCCTTTCTAAGGTATTTACAAAATACTTATGACTCAATTACTAGTTATTAGTAGAAAAGATTTACATTTGACTGTGCAGGTATTCACTTCTATACCAAGTGATTTGCGACTGCTTGCTTTCTTATAGATACATTATTTGTCCTGGAGTTGATAATTTCCCTTCCTTTTTCATTTGCCTAATTTTTTTTCTAAGTTTAGTATTTTCAGCATCTCTGCTACACGTGTATGGCTGTTATTTTCCATATGCTCAAAAACATAGATTATTATTTTATTTTCTAGAGAGCTCCTTCCTGGACACTGTTCTTTTCTCCAGTTTTGACATTTTTCTCCTCGGGCCTGCTGTACACACATCTGCCTGCAATTTCTATTGAGTGTCTTCCTGAGACTTATCTTTATCCCTGTTTACATCTTGTTTTGTTTTTTTTTGTTTGTTTGTTTTTTCTGAGACAGAGTCTCCTTATTTAACCCAGGCTGCAGTGCAGAGGCATGATCTTGGCTCACTGCAACCTCCGCCTTCTGATTCAAGTGATTCTCATGGCTTAGCCTCCCTGGTAGCTGGGATTACTGATGTGCACCACCACGCTTGGCTAAGTTTTGTATTTTTAAGAGAGACATGATTTCATTGTTGTCCAGGCTGGTCTTGAACTCCTGTTCTCAAGTGATCTGCCCACCTGGGCCTCCCAAAGTGTGGAATTACAGACATGAGCCACTGCACCTGGCCTATTTCTTGCATCTTATATCTACTTCTATTTACTTTCTTTTCTGGCGAATCATTTCCATCAACATTTGCTGCAAAAGGAATACACATAGGCTGGACACAGTGGCTCACGCCTATAATCTCAACACTGGCAGGCTGAGGCAGACGGATTGCCTGAGCCCAGGAGTTTGAGACCAGTCTGGGCAACATGGTGAAACCCTGGCTCTACTGAAAATATAAAAAGTTGGGTGCAGTGGCATGCACCTGTAGCCCTAGCTTCCTGGGAGTCTAAGGTGGGAGGATTGCTTGAGCCCAGGATGTCGAGGATGCAGTGAGACAAGGTTGTCACTCCAGCCTGTATGACAGAGTGAGACCCTATCTCAAAAAAAAAAATAAATAAAGAGTACACAGAACAATACATTTTTGTGATCTTTATTTTCAGTGATGAGCACTACACCCAACAGCAGAATATATATTCTTCTCAAGTACACAGGGAACATTCTGCATGTTAGGCCATGAGATAAACCTCAATAGATTAAAATGATAGAACTAATACACAGTATGTTCTCTGACCACAATAGAGTGAAATTAGAGTCAATAACAGAAAGAAATTTGGAAAACCCACAAACAACTCACTCTTAAGTAATCAGTGAGCCAAAGAGGAAATCAAAAGAGAAATAAGAAAATACACTGAGAAATACGTTGAGATTAATGAAAGTGAAGACCAAAATGTATGGGATAAAGCTAAAGCAGTGACGCCGGGCGCGGTGGCTCAAGCCTGTAATCCCAGCACTTTGGGAGGCTGAGGCGGGTGGATCACGAGGTCAAGAGATCGAGACCATCCTGGTCAACATGGTGAAACCCCGTCTCTACTAAAGATGCAAAAAATTAGCTGGGCATGGTGGCACGTGCCTGTAATCCTAGCTACTCAGGAGGCTGAGGCGGGAGAATTGCCTGAACCCAGGAGACGGAGGTTGCGGTGAGCCGAGATCGCGCCACTGCACTCCAGCCTGGGTAACAAGAGCGAAACTCCGTCTCAAAAAAAAAAAAAAAAAAAAAGCTAAAGCAGTGCTTCAAGGAAAATTTATAGCTGTTAAGCCTACAGTAAAAAAGAGGAAAGCTCTCAAATCAGTCATTCAATTGACCACCATAAGACACTGCAAAAAGAAAAGCAAACTAAACCTGAAGACAGCAGAAGGAAGGATATATAATCAAGATTAAAGCAAAAGTTAATGAAATAAAGACTGGGAAAACCAGTGAAACCAAAAGCTAGTTCTTTAGAAAGATCAACAAAATTGACAAACCTTTAGCTAAATGTATCAGGTTAAAAAGAGAGAAATTCAAATTACTAGAATCACAAATGTGGCTGGGTGTGGTGGCTCACGCCTGTAATCCCAACACTTGGGAGGCCAAGGTGAGAGGATCACTTGAGGCTGGGAGTCTGAGACCAGCCTGGGCAATATGACAAGACCTCATCTATGCAAAAAAAAAAAAAAAAAATTCAAATTAGGTGAGTATGGTAGTGTATGCCTGTAGTCCTAGTCACTCAAGAGAGTGAAGCAGGAAGATCACTTAAGCCAAGGAGTTCAAGGGTGCAGTGAGCTATGATTGTGCTGCCGCACTCCAGCCTGGATGATAGTTAGACTCCCAACTCAAAAGAAAAAAAGAAATGAAAAGAAACCTAAATCATTATCCTAGTAGGAAATCAACGAGAAAATGTCTCAAGCTAATAATGAAGAAATAATTGTGTAAGTCTGTCAATCCTATCATTAAAAACAAGCATTACAAAAGGGAACTCTGGAGAGCTGAAAACGGGAATTAAGATTTATAAAACGTTTCCTAAAACTTTTTAAAAATCTGCATGTGTGTATTTGATTTAAAGACTTAAAAATTATTTTAACATAACTACTGAGCTTATAAAAAAGGATTACAGAGAAATACTATTCATAATTATATGCCAGTAAATGAGGTAACTTAGATGAAATGGACAATTCCTAGAAAGATACAAACTACCAAAACTGACTCAAGAAGAAATAAACAGTATAAATAGAAATACAACAGGAAGTTGATTTAGTAATCAAAAACTATGCACAAACCAGGCACAGTGGTTCACACCTGTAATCCTAGCACTTTGGGAGGCTAAGGCAGGTAGATTGCCTGAGCCCATGAGAAACCAGCCTGGGTAACATGGTGAAACCCTGTTTATACAAAAATGAGTATGGTGGCACACGTCTGTAGTCCATGCTACTTAAGGGGCTGAGGTAGGAAGATCACTTTGAGTCCTGGAAGTTGAGTTTGCAGTGAACTGTGATCATGCTACTGTACTCCAGCCTGAGTGACAGAGCAACACCCCATCTCAAAAAAATAAATACATAAAATAAAACTGCACAAAGAAAAGCCCAGGCTCAGATGGCGTCATTGGCGGTAAATCTCATCAAGCATTAATATCAGTTCTTCACACATTCTTCCAAACAAACAGAAGAGGAAAGAACACTTCCCAGTTTATTCTGTGAAGTCAGTTTTATCCTGATACCAAAACTAGACAGAGATATCAGACATCAAAAAGAACACCACAGACCAGCATCTCTTTATGAATATGGATGCCTTAATCCTCAACAAAATGCTGGCCAGCCAAATTTAGCAACGTATATAAAAGAATTATATACCATGACTATATTAGTTCTTTTTTATGCTGCTGGTAAAGACATACCTGAGATTGGGCAATTTGCAAAGAAAGGTTTAATTGGTCTTACAGTTTCATGTGGCTCAGGAAGCCTCACAATCATGGCAGAAGGTAAGGAGGAGCAAGTCACGTCTTACATAGATGGCAGCAGGCAAAGAGAGAGAGAATGAGCCAAGTAAAACAGGTTTCCCTTTATTAAACCATCAGATCTCATGAGACTTACTCACTACCACAAGAACAATGTGGCGAAACCACCCCTATGATTCATTTATCTCCCATGGGTCCCTCCAACACTTGGGAATTATGGGAGTATAATTCAAAATGAGACTTGGGTGGGGACACAGAGCCAAGCCATATCAATGACCAATTGGGATATTTCCCAGGAATGCAAGGTTAAATTAACATCCAAAAATGTTAATATAATACACTATATCAGTAGTAAAAATACAAAAAAACACATAATTATCTCAATAGACACAGGAAAATAAAACATTTAAAACAGGAATATTCATGACCTCGGATTTGGCAGTGGATTGTTAGATATGGTATCAGAAGCATAGGCAAAAATGGAAAAACAGCTAAGCTGGAGCTCATCAAAATTTAAATTTTGCAATATTCCAAGAACAAGAATACTGATGTGACTGTGGAAATCATTGGCACATTTTTAAATCACGGAGTAATTATGTTTTTAAAGATTATGCTGTCTGATGTGACAAAAATGGACTAGTGTAAGGGAGGAGAAAGAGGAAAAGGTAAAGCTGATATTGAAAGGAACCTAAGTAGTCATCTGTTTTAGGAAATCACTAGAAAATGTCTCAAGCTGATAAATGAAGAAATTAACATAGAAATAGACAAATAGGTCAATGGAACATGAAGGAAGGTCCAGAGACACTTAGGTTTATATAGGAAATTAGAGGTGTCACTTCACGAGGAAAGGATCATTGGTACATGGTTTGGGAGCAATTGAGATGTCTGTCCCTATGGGAGAAATAAAGCTGAATCTTTAAACCAAAGTAAACTAGATGAACTAAAGTATATATTCTAGTACTCTTTTTTGAGACTGAGCCTTACTCTGTTGCCCAGGCTGGAGTGCAGTGGCACAATCTCTGCTCACTGCAACTTCTGCCTCCCAGGTTGTAGAAATCCTCTGGCCTCAGCCTCCCAAGTAGCTGGGATTACAAGCACACACCACCACACCCAGCTAATTTTTGTATTTTTAGTAGAGACAGGATTTCACCATGTTGGCCAGGCTGGTCTTGAACTCTTGACCTCAAGTGATTCGCCTGCCTCAGCCTCCCAAGGTGCTTTATACAAGTGTGAGCCACCATGCCTGGCCTGTTACAGAAGTAATCCCATAGTTTTGTCTTCAGTAGTATGTAATAGATATTTCTCAATTTCTACATTGAGAGCTGTGCCGTCTTCCAAGATTGTGTTGCATAGTATTCCGTTGTTCCAGTATAACATAATTTATTCCCCTAGTGTTGTATATTCAGATGTATTTTTCATAGAGTGGGTTCAGCAAGGTCCAAAATGAAGTGTGCAGATTTGGATACTATGTCATGTGATTATAAATGATTTGAGTTTCTCTCTTCCTTAATTCTCTATAAAATTTGAATTTCAAAATAATACAGTTGATTACTTCATAAGCAGAAAATAATTGTGTAACTTTTCTTACCTGATCTGAGTAAGCTTTATGTTGTTCCCATTTCCACAGAACAAACTTACTTTAACTTCAAATTGTAGACTTGTTAGGTTAACTGCTTTTGAGAAGATTAAATATCGCTTTTCCTTGTAATTGCTTACTAGGAAAACTAAAGTACTGTACTAGTATGTAACAGAGTAACCCTGGAAACTGTCATGGTTAGCTTTTGCCATTGTCTGTTAGGTTATAGTTATTATGCTTTTCATATTCCTTTCTTACCTTCAAAAAAAATGGTAGGTCAGTTTTTTTTGTTTTTTTTTATCTTTCCAACAAAGCAGTTTGAAAGCAAGTAAGAGTCTCTTCCTTTGCCCTGGAAAAGATGCTCAAGCTTTGTGCTATTGAACAGGAATGTGGGGTAGAAAATGGTCTCATCTGAGTAACAAAAATATATTCATCTACTTCTTGTATGCCTTTGTTTTTTAGGCAGCGCAGTCAGTGCTGATATCATTATTTGAACTCAATACCCCAGAGTTTACAATGTTATTAGGAGCTTTACCAAAAACTTTTCAGGATGGTGCTACCAAGCTTCTTCATAATCACCTTCGGAACACTGGCAATGGAACCCAGGTAATTCTTACTTATTTTCTTGGCTATTCTATAATGTGATGGTTGATTTAACAGTAATTGCTTTCTTTTATACAACATAAACTTGATCCTTACTATATAATTTTTGCATCTTTATTTGGCATTTTCTGAGCAGAATTAAATACTGTCTTGGAAAGAATAGCGTCCCTATGTCTGTCCTGTTTATATTATATTATAATTTGTATAGATTAGGATGGTGGTAAACAGTGGCTAGGGCATGAACAAGAAAAGCAAAATATGAACAAAATATAGATGAGAGCACCAGCTGGAAGCCGTTACAATCAGGACATGCTCTTTAGTTGAACCAATTCTTATTTGAGGACTAATTGGGATGACTCAAGAAATAAGTTCTGAGTAAATGAAACCTAAATGAAATGATATATGTATATATATGTGTGTTTGTATATACATGTATGTATTTTTTACTGGTATGAAATAATTTACATAATATGCCTAAATAATTGAACTAAAGAATTTAAAAGAGACATTTGATAGCAAACAAAGGAGATACACTGATTGCAGGCTTAAGGTAAAGTCTGAGGAGGGTTAAAAGTAATCCTAAAACAATTTCTTGTGAACCAGAGTCAGTCATCTTTTGAAAAGGAGTAAGGATTATGTCATTATATTTTAAAGATAGACATATTAATAATATGATCAGATTTAACTCCGTTGGTGTAAAGCAAAGTCAAGGAGGAATAAAATTTGAGTATTAGTAATGGTTAGAAGAAGGAAATTAGCTCAGAACAGAAAGCTAATTTAAAATTACTAGTTTAGAATATCATTGAGTCCTTGAGGGAAAGGATGTTGATAATCTTTGAGAACAGGAAGTAGGCGAGAACAGAAAAAGACTAAAGAGTTATATAACTAAGTAGGAAGAAATTTTTTCCCTTGGAAACCAGACATAAGTACATGAATATTTAAAATATTGACCTGGAAATATGGCCTTTAAGTGTGGTTCAACCTATTGTTTGTGTGGCTTCCTTAAGAATTTTTTTAAGTGAACTTACTTGTAATAATGTTAATATTTCTTTGACGCCCTTCTTCAGAGTTCCATGGGGAGTCCTTTGACAAGACCAACACCACGATCACCAGCTAACTGGTCCAGTCCTCTTACTTCTCCTACCAATACATCACAGAATACTTTATCTCCAAGGTAATAAAAGGATGATTTTTCATGATGGTTTGTGTTTGTAAAATCCTATTCTTTTTTTTTTTTTTTTTTTTTTTTTTTGAGACAGAGTCTCACTCTGTCGCTCAGGCTGGAGTGCAGTGGTGTGATCTCAGCCCACTGCATCCTCTGTTTCCTGGGTTCAAGCAATTCTTCCTGCCTCAGTCTCCCAAGTAGCTGGGATTACAGGCACACGCCAGCACACCTGGCTGATTTTTTGTATTTTTGAGAGAGACGGAATTTTACCATGTTTGCCAGGCCGGTCTCAAATTCCTGACCCAGGTGATCCGCCTGCCTCAGCCTCCCAAAGTGCTGGGATTACAGACAGGCATGAGGAACCACGCCTAGCTATAAATTCCCATTCTTAAAAAGCACGCATTAATATAATTTCAGTCAATTCCCCCTTGTCTTGAAAGGTCTTAGAAAAGTAGAAACTTAGCAAATTAAAAAAATTTTAAGTTTATTTGAAAATTAACTATTTAAATGATAATACATAGGATATGGAATTTTTTTAATAAGTGGAAAGAAAACCTGACAACTTTTAAAAATAAATTACTGCTTATTATATTAAATGGCATAATTATATTTCTCAGAAATGCTACATAAATCCAGTAAATGGTAAATTATGTCTTTCAATTACATTATACTACTCAGTATAAATGGTGATAAGGTCAATTATAATGATGAATTTGAAAAATTAAGTTTACAGACAAAACATAAAAATATATAACAAATAAGGAAAGGTTAAATATAGAGTGAATATATGACATTTATTATATATGTAAATATAAATTCATTATATATATTATATATCATGAATTACATATATAACTATATTTAATGGATTACATATGTAACATGTCATATATTCATTATATATTTAACCCTTCCCTATCTGTTATTTTTATGTTTTATCTGTAAGCTTAATGTTTTCATTATACATGTAATGAATTATATCTAGATATATATCATTATATATGTAATTAATATATAAATCATATATCTATATAAATATATAAATTATAGATATTTATATAAAAATTAAGTAGATATAATCCATTATATATTATATAGGTATAATTCATTACATATATAATATCTGTGTAATTCATTGTGTGTATAATAAAATGTGTCATATTCATTATATTTATATATGAATTATATGTATAAACATATACATAATAAATAGTGAATATATACCTCTGAGGAAAAAATATGACCTAGAGATTGGGCCTTAATACAAAATAAAAGATGTGTATAATTTTCACACACTTGTGTGATTCGAGCATGAGCTGAATTTTAAATGACATTCTTGACTCCTTAGTAGACTAAAATTGTACTTTCTTTTCCTGACCTTTTGAAAAATTGTTTGCATAGAAGTTCAGCATTACTGATCAATAGGGAAACGCAAATCAACACCACAAAGAGATACCATTTCACACCAGTCAGAATGGTTATCATTTAAAAGTCAAAAAATAACATATGCTGGCAAGGTTGTGGAGAAGAAGGGATACTTTTACACTATTGTTGGGAGTGTAAATTAGTTGATCTATTGTAGAAGATGGTGTAGCAATTCCTCAAAGACCTAGAGACAGAAATATCATTTGAGCCAGCAATCCCACTACTAGGTATATACCCAAAGGAATATAAATCATTCTGTTGTAAAGACACATGCACATGTATGTTCACTGTAGCACTATTCATAATAGCAAAGACATGGAATCAATCTAAATGCCCGTCAGTGATAGACTGGTTAAAGAAAGTTTGGTACGTATACACCATGGAATACTAAGCAACCATAAAAAAAAAAAATAAGATCATGTCTTTTGCAGAGACATGGACAGAGCTGGAGACCATTATCCTTAGCAAACTAACACAAGAACAAAAAATACTGTGTGTTCTCATTTACAAGTAGGAGCTAAATGATGAAAACACATGAACACATAAAGGGGAACAACACACCCTGGGGCCTACCAGAGTGCAGAGGGTAGGAGGAGGGAGAGAATCCGGAAAAATAACAGACACTAGGCCTAATATTTGGGTGATAAAACAATCTGTACGACAAATCTCCATGAAACACGTTTACCTATATAACAAATCTGTACATTCTGAACAAATACCCCTGAACTTAAAAGATTTTTTTTAAAAGGAGTTGGGCTGGGTGTGATGGCTCACACCTGTAATCTCAGCTCTTTGCTAGGCTGAGGCGTGCAGGTCACTTGAGGTCAGGAATTCAAGACCAGCCTGATTAACATGGCAAAACCTCATCTCTACTAAGGATACAAAAATAGCCGGGCATGGTGGCACATGTTCATAGTTTCAGCTACTCAGGAGGCTGAGGCAGGAGAATCACTTGAACCCAGGAGGTGGAGGTTGCAGTGAGCCAATATCATGCCACCGCACTCCAGCCTAAGTCAGTCACAGAACAAGACTCAGTCTCAAAAAAAAAAGAGTTTGGTATTTATATTTAATAGCTTGACTTTTGTCATTAGCCATATACTATAGTATGCTTCATCAAGTTATTCATTAAAATTATTGGATAATACATCAACATCTAAGAAAGAAAAATAAATTGCAAACATTTTCTAGCCTATTTTTTCCATTCTACATATATGATAAATTTGGTAGCTAAATTTCAGCTTCAGTTGAACTTTAGCATTTGATTATAGAGTTCATGTTAATAACATTTATGGATCAGGCACAATGGCTTACACTTGAAATCCCAGCACTTTAGGAGGCCAATGCAGGAGGATCACTTGAGGCCAGGAGTTTGGTACAAACCTGGGCAACATATAGAGACGCCATTGCTACAAAAGAATTTTTAAAAATCGGCCAAGCATGATGGTATATGTTTGTAGTCCTATATAGTCCTAGCAGCTTGATAGACTGAGGCAGGAGGATTGCTTAAGCCTGGGAGTTTCAAGGCTGCAGTAAGCTATGATCGTACTACTGCACTCCATTCTGGGCAGCAGCAATACCCTGTCCCTTAAAAAAAATAAATAAATTGGCCAGGCATGGTGGCTCACACTTGTAATCCCAGCACTCTGGGAGGCCAAGGTGGGCAGATCACTTGAGGTCAGGAGTTCGAGACCAGCCTGCCACAAACATGGTGAAACCCCATCTCTACTAAAAATACAAAAAATTAGCTGGACATGGTGGCAGGAGCCTTTACCTGGGAGGCTGAGGCAGGAGAATCACTTGAGCCTGGGAGACAGGTTGCAGTGAGCTGAGATTATACCACACTGCACTCCAGCCTGGGCAACCAGACTGAAATTCTGTCTAAAAAAAAAATTATGTTCAATGTTAAAAATCCTCTCCCTTCTTACAAATTTGTTTTAAAATACATTTCTCTCTTCTTCAAGCAGTACTGTTACTGGGAGTTAATCACAGAGATTGGCAAACTTTCTGTAAAGGCTCAGGTGGTAAATATTTTAGGCCTTTTGAGTCATGGTCTTTGAGTCTGTACTCAACTCTGCTATTGTATGAAAACAACCATCAACAATAGAAATAAAAAATAATCATAGACAATACCTAAATAAATAGGTATGACTATGTTAAAGTTTTATTTATAGACACTGAAATTTACATTTTATCTAATTTTCATGTATATAAATTCATTATATTTATGAATATATGTATAAACATATATATAGTAAGTAAATAGTGAATATATACCTCTGAGGAAAAAATATGACTGAGAGATTGGTCCTTAATACAAAATAAAAGATGTGTATAATTTTCACACACTTGTGTGATTCAAGCATGAGCTGAATTTCAAATGACATTCTTGACTCCTTAGTAGACTGAAATTTTAATTTCCTTTTCCTGGCCTTTTGAAAAATTGTAGAAAATTAGATAAAATTTAAATTTCAGTGTTTATGAATAAAATTTAAAACCATTTAAAAATGTAAGAAACATTCTTGGCTTGCAAGCCATCCATAGTTTGCTGACCTGTGGTTAATCAGAACATTTTGAAGGTGGAAACACAAACCAGTTATTAAGGTCTGTGCATTCTAGAGTAACCATAAGGTGTCCTTGGTGGAAGGACAAAGGGACATGCACTTTAACTATATAAAGCTGCTATTTTTTGTTTTGCTAATTATGCTCTGGAGAATATACATTCTCTAATTTTGTCTTTGTAGATATCTTTATATACTTTCCTCAAATGTGTTTGTATTTTAAAACTACACCTAAATGAAAATTACTATCGTCTTTTTCATAGTGCATTTGATTATGACACAGAAAATATGAACTCTGAAGATATTTATAGCTCTCTTAGAGGTGTTACTGAAGCAATCCAGAACTTCAGCTTCCGTAGCCAAGAAGATATGAATGAGCCATTGAAAAGGGATTCTAAAAAAGATGATGGTGATTCAGTGAGTATTTTAATATCCTTACTTTGTAGACTATTTCATAGTTCATTAAGAATTTTTTAAATTAAAAGTTGCTTTCTGTCATTTTTGAATATACTTATTTGGAGATCAGTCACTCTACAAGTATTTACTGAGTATCTACCACATAGCAGGCGCTGTTTGAGGCATTAAATTTATATGACAGAAGTCACTGCCTTCAAATTCCTTTTAGAATTTTGTATAGGGATGAATATAGAGTTTTAAGATAGAATGTGCTTTGGAGGAAAGTGAGTCTATTTTAGATTTTGTGGTCTAAGAAGACCTCTCTCCCAAGGTAGCATTTGCATTGAAACCTAAATAAAGCCACATAAAATCCAGAGGAGAATTCCGTGAAAAAATTAGCAAATCTTAAGTCATTTAGATGGGAACAAGCTTTGTGCAATTGAGGACTAGGAAGAAAACCAGTGTAGTTGGAGCATTATGAGAGGAAAAGGGAAGTGGAACATGGGCCAGATCACAGTGAGTCTTGTAAGAATACCTAAGGAGTTGAGAATTTCTTTTTCTCGTTAGGTGTAGTGATAGTAATTTGCATCATCAGTTTATGTGACTCCAGATAAGAATGTGTTTTATATTGTTTTTTTAGTTAATGTGCCAAATGTTTTAATTTTTTTAACATGCAAGTAACTGACTCTCAAAGTATTTTTAAGATCACAAGACATTACACTGAAGTAAGAATGTTGTAACCTACAAATTCTTATATATTTAATATTATTGACATATTTGAATATTGTTTAGTTTATTGCTCCTGCTATTATACACAGAGTTGTTTTTTACTTTGCTGCTTCTTAGACTTTTCTCTAACAGTTTAGACTTTTCTCTAACAGCTTAGACTTTTCACAAAAGAAGACATCTCACCAGTTCCTGTGGAATTCATTGTTTCTTAGTGCTTGTAAATTTGCAGAACATTGTAGTACTTCAGCACATCTCTAAAGGGCTCCTTCCTCTGCCTTCCTGCCATCTTTCCTGCTGTTGTTTTTCTCACAGTGCCTATCTGGCAGAGCTAAATTGTGGTGGGCCTAGTAAACTGGCTGTCAAAACCCAGCTTACCACTGATATTTAAGCTTCCCTACCCTTAAAGGCTGCATGCATGTGGTAGCAATAACAGATTAGTAAGAATCACTGCTTCATTGAGACTCAGTTTTGTTTTGTTTTGTTTTGTTTTGTTTTGTTTTGTTTTGTTTCAGACACAGCATGGTACAGGGTAGGGAACTCAAATTGTGAATTTTGACAGAGTGAGTTCAAATCCCAGTTCCAGGTAGTTATTAGCTAATGAGGTTATCACCTTTAAGCTTTGATGTCTTCATTAAGAAAATAGGAATATCACTGCTTACCTTAAAAGTTCTTGTGAGTGTAGTAAATCAAATGACTCTTTTCAGCTCAGACCTCTTTTCCTGAGTTCCACATTCACATTCAGCTGCCTGTTTGAATTCCGGGTCTTCTCCCCTAAAGCTGATCTTCCCTATCTTAGTTGATGGCAACACTAGTTGCCTAGCCAAAAACCATGGACAAGAGTTGTTGTTGAGTCCTCTCTTTTTCTCATCCTCCATACCAAATCTGTCAGGAAATCTGTTGGCTCACCCTGTAGAATATCCAAAATTCAGCCTATTCTCACCACTGCCTTTCTGGTTCGAACCATCATCTTCAATTCTCTCACCTGAATTATTAAAATTTGGCCTCCTTGATTATGCCCTTGACCTCCTGCTATTCTCACTCTCACTCAACTCTATAGGAGGTCCTTGTCTCAGCGTCAAAACCAGAGTCTACACAATAGGCTTTTTTTCTGTTACCTCTCTGGCCTCATCTCCTACTAGTTTCCTCCTTGTTCACTCTGCTTCTGCCACACTGGCCTCCTTGCTGTTCCTTGAACTTACTAGGCATGTTCCTTCCTCAGGATCTATGTATTGGCTGTTTTCTCTACCTGAAACATTCTACCTCCAGATAGCCCCTTGGTTAATTCCCTTACTTCCTTCAAGTGTTTACTCAAATGGCTTCACAGTGAACCCTACTCACCCTGTTTAATGTGTGAACTCCATCCTCCCACTTCAGCATTTATGATTCCTTCTTCTAACATGCCATATACTTTATTCATTTATTAAGTTTTTTTTATTGTCTGTCCCTCCATTAAATATAAACTCCATTGGGGTAGACATCTTTCTCTTTTTTGCTCACTAATGTATTTCCCAGTGCCATGAACAATGCCAGGCATATAATAGGTGCATAATAAATATTTTAAGAATATGTATAAGGTGCCTAGCAAATGGCTTGCCCAGTGGCAGGTGGTGATGCTGATACTCATGGCTGTAATTACTTTGATACCAGTATTTGTATCAGTATATATATTCATATTTTGGTGAGTTCAGTAATATGTGCCAAATTCTTTTGTCATTCTTCCAAAAGTTATGGAGGCCTTTTAAGCCTTTCTTTTCTTTTTTCCTTAAAGCAAGGCTTTTTAAATGTGATTTTATTATGCTTTGTTGACATACTATCGTATGATATACCATTACCTTATTAATGGAATCTGGCAGTTTGTAGTGCTGTGTTGCTTATGAAAGTTCTTTTGTATCTTTAACTGACATGGAGAAGCTGCTGGTAATCACACTGTATATATTGTCTGATCAAGGCATTGGCAAGGGAACTCATAATTATTAGAGGCAATATTCTTTTACAGTTCTTATTTGCCTTCACAGCTGTAGTTTAAGCTTTGACATCTGGAATATGTTTTAACTCATAATGTTGATTGCTGTTACTTAAATTTTTTAGCTGGTTATTGTTATCTTTTTAAGATTGTCTTTTAAGCAGTAGAGAAATATCTTTTTAGAATGTTAAATAGATATAAATAGATGCTTAAAATGAGTTAACTTTGCTATGCCTTCCCCTTCCCATTGATAGATATGTGGTGGTCCTGGGATGTCTGACCCAAGAGCGGGAGGTGATGCTACTGACTCAAGCCAAACAGCTCTTGATAATAAAGCTTCATTGCTCCATTCGATGCCTACTCACTCTTCTCCACGCTCTCGAGACTATAATCCATATAACTACTCAGATAGCATCAGTCCCTTCAACAAGTCTGCCCTCAAGGAAGCCATGTTTGATGATGATGCTGACCAGTTTCCTGACGGTATGTTCTGGGTCACTCTGCTACTGTCTGTTTTGGAGAACCTGGTAATCAATGAAGTAAAAGAAATGCATATGTTCTTTTATTGTAACTCCCAAAAAGTAAGGATTTTTAGAATAAGAATGTTTTCTCCCATCTTCTAGGAACTCATCTCTAGTTGTTTGGTTGTTTTCTTCCTCTGAATGAGAAACAGGGTAGTCATCTTGATGATCATGCTGAAAATCAAGAAAACCTTAGTTACCTCCCAGAAATAACTAAAACCAGTTGTAGCTTATAAATGTACTTCATCTCTAGAAACAATTTATTTGGTCATTTATATTAATAAAATACATTTCAAGAACAAAATATGAAGAAAGTTACCATAAGGATTTGGATTTGGGTGAAATGGGCTTAGTTCTAAGCTCTAACACATACTGAGCTGCATAGCCTGGCAAGATGGTTAACTTTCCCAAATCTCAGTTATCACCACCAAAAGAGGATGATGACGATTATACTACCTGTCCTAATCCCAGTGTAGAGTAAGATGCAGGTAAGTTGGCCGGGGGCAGTGGCTCACGCCTGTAATGCCAGCACTTTGGGAGGCCGAGGCGGTGGATCACGAGGTCAAGAGAACGAGACTATCCTGGTCAACATTGTGAAACCCCGTCTCTACTAAAAATACAAAAATTAGCTGGGCATGGTGGCTCATGCCTGTAGTCCCAGCTACTAGGGAGGCTGAGGCAGGAGAATTGCCTGAACCCAGGAGGCGGAGGTTGCGGTGAGCCAAGATCGCGCCATTGCACTCCAGCCTGGGTAACAAGAGCAAAACCCCGTCTCAAAAAAAAAAAAACAAAACACAAAACACTACAAATGTTTTAATGTTTTGTTTAAGAGACTGGTATCACTCTGTCACCCAGTCTGGAGTGCAGTTGCTCAATCATAGCTCACTACAGCCTTGTCCCCCTAGGCCCAAGCAATCCTGCCACTTGAGCCTCCTGAGTAGCTGTGACTACAGACCACCATACTCAGCTAATTTTACTTTATTTAATAAATTTTCTATAGAGATGTTGCCTCCCTATGTTGCCTAGGCTAGTTTCAAACTCCTGACCACAAGTGATCCTCCCACCTCAGCCTCTCAAAGTGCTGGAATTATAGGTATGAGCCACTGGGCCCGACCTAGTTATTTTTAATAGTAAGAAAATGTACATTTTGTTTTCTTAGTTAATTAATGAATATTTTTGTGTTTTTAAGATTCTAGTACTATATAGTAATATGTAACCATACATAAATAAACTTGAAAGCCTTTCTCTCAACACTATCCCATGATGTTGTATTCAGGTTTTTCTTTGTTCTCATAATGTTGCTGTCAATGAGCATATTTCTGTGTGAACCTTTATGCCCATAAATAATTCTTTTTGTGCGTGTCAAGAATCTTAAGAACAATCGATGGTCATTCACAGTGGCTCATGCCTGTAATTCTAGCACTTGAGAGGCCAGAGTGAGACCCTGTCTCAAAAAAAAAAAAACCACATTGAGATACCATCTCACACCAGTTAGAATGGTGATCATTAAAAAATCTGGAGACAACAGATGCTGGAGAGGATGTGGAAAAATAGGAATGCTTTTACATTGTTGGTGGGAGTGTAAATTAGTTCAACCATTGTGGAAGACAGTGTGCCAATTCCTCATGGGTCTAGAAATAGAAATACCATTTGGCCCAGCAATCCCATTACTGGGTATATATCCAAAGGATTATAAATCGTTCTGTTATAAAGACACATGTACCCGTATGTTCACTGCAGCACTGTTTACAATAGCAAAGACTTGGAACCAACCCAAATGCCCATCAGTGATAGATTGGATAAAGAAAATGTGGCACATAGGCACCATGGAATACTACGCAGCCATAGAAAAGAATGAGTTCATGTCCTTTGCAGGGACATGGATGAAGCTGGAAACTATCATTTTCAGCAAACTGACACAAGAACAGAAAACCAAACAATGCATGTTCTGACTTATAAGTGGGTATTGAACAATGAGAACATATGGACACAGGGAAGGGAACATCACACACTGGGGCCTGTTGGGGGGTTGGGGAGCTAGGGGTGGAATAGCAGGGGGTGGGGGGATTAGGGAGGGATAACTTTAGAAGAAATGCCTAATGTAGGTGACGGGGGGATGGAGGCAGCAAACCACCATGGCATATGTATACCTATGTAACAATCTGCATGATCTGGACATGTACCCCAGAACTTAAAGTATAATAATAAAATTTTTTTAAAAAAAGAACAATCAAGGTAATTCACTCTTAAGAGATTTCTAGAGACGGAATTGCTTACTTAAAGGATAGGTGAATTTAAAGTTTGAGACTTATTACCTATTTACATCTCAAAATACTTGGCTAGTTTAAGTAGTGCTGATTTTCTCACTAACACAGAATGTTTAAAAATTTTTGTGATTGTGATGGAATGTGCATATCCTTGATTATTAGATATTGAGTAATTACATATTAGAAATCTTTTAAATTTTTAAAAATTTTTATTAACGGGAAATAGATTCATTTGTAGTTATTTGATTACTAGGGAAGTTGAGGAGGGTTTTTATTACCTTCACTTTAATGTATCACAAATATCAAAAAGCCAAAATTTTGACAGTTTACTAAATTTAAATTGCATAAGGATCTTGAAAATTGCCACAGTTACAGAGTTTGATGTGTTTTAATCTGTCACAAATGGTTGACTGTCTTGTTGAGGTTTAGTCATGACAGCGGTGTAACATGAGTGAATAAATTGAACATAGCATGAAAGTATCCACTAAACACTATGTAGTACCAACAGCCTGGTAAATTGAGACTTAGCTTCAGTAGCATTAATTATTTAAAAATCGTTTATGCACATGAGTCACAAACTGTCAGAATAAATGTCAACTGACATTTCTTGCCTCAATCGTACTCTCTCTCTATATATATATTTATATATACATAAATATATATATTTAATCTTAAAATTATCAAGAGCATAAAAATTGGGGGTACAGTACAAAGAACTAACAAAGACATTCTCCTGCATAACAACAAAATACTCATCAAAATCAAGAAATTATGGCCGGGCACAGTGGCTCGCGCCTGTAATGCCAACACTTTGGGAGGCCAAGGCGGGCGGATCATGAGGTCAAGACATTGAGACCAGCCTGGCCAACATGGTCAAACCCTATTTCTAGTAAAAATGCAAAAATTAGCTGGGTGTGGTGGCGCATGCCTGTAATTCCAGCTACTCAGGAGGCTGAGGCACAAGAATTGCTTGAACCCAGGAGGTGGAGGTTTCAGTGAGCTGACATTGTGCCACTGCACTCTGGCCTGGTGACGGAGCAAGACTCCATCTCAAGAAAGAAAGGAAAGAAATTACCCAGCTGTGTGATGGCTTATGCTTGTAATCCCAGCACTTTGGGAGGCCAAGATGGGTCGATCATGATGTCAGGAGATCGAGACCATGCTGGCCAACATGGTGAAACCTCGTCTCTACTAAAAATACAAAAATTAGCTGGGCGTGGTGGCACAGTCCTATAATTCCAGCTACTCAGGAGGCTGAGGCAGGAGAATACCTTGAACAAGGGAGTTGGAGGTTGCAGTGAGCCCAGATCATGCCACTGTATACTCCAGCCTGGCGACAGAGCGAGACTCCATCTCAAAAAAAAAAAAGAAAGAAACGGAAAAGAAATTAGCCAGTGCCAGTAGTCCCAGCTACTCAGGAGGCTGAGCCAAAGAATCTTTTGAGGCTTGGAGTTCAAGGCTTCAGTACACTATGATGATGCCTGTGAATAGTCCTGCACTAAAGCCTGGACAGAAAAATGAGACCTTGTCTCTAAAAAAATAATAATTACCAAAAAAAATTTTTTCTTTTCTGCCCCCCAAACCACAGAATTTTTTTTTAAGTTTTTTAAATCAGGAAATTATCATTGGTACATTAATAACCACCTAATCCTTAAACCCCATTAGAATTTTGCCAGTAGTCTCAGTATTATCTTTTTTCCAATTTTTTTTTTTTTTTTTGCTGTGTTAAAATACACATAAAATTCACTGTCTTAAGCATTTTATATATACAGTTTGGTTGTATTAAGTACATTCATACTGTTGCATAGCCATTATGACCATTCATCTCATATAACTCTTTTCAGGTTATAAAACTGAAACTCTACACCCATTAAGTAATAACTCCCTAGTTCCACCCCGACTCTAGCCCCTGGCAACTACCATTCTCCTGTCTGTCTCTCTGATTTTTGTCTGCTTTTAAGTACCCTGTATAAGTGGAATCATATGTTACTCATCTTTTTGTGACTGGCTTATTTCATTTAGCATAATGTCCTCAAGGTTGATTAGTGTTGTAGCACATGACAGAACTTCCTTACTTTGTAAGGCTGAATAATATTCCATTGTGTGTACATGCCACATTTGCTTATCCATTCATTCACTGATGGACACTTGAGTTGCTTCTAAGTTTTGGCTGTTATGAATAATGTTGCTATAAACACTGGTGTGCAAATACCTCTTCAATACCCTGTTTTCAGTTGTTGTTGTTGTTGTTTTTATGAAGGAGAGAGATTTTTTTTCTTACAGTTCTGAAGGCTAGGAAGTCTTCCAGCCTCAGATGGAAGATGGAGGGGCGACATCTGGCCAGGGTCTTCATGTTTCATCCTCCCATGACAGAAAGAAGAGGCGGAGGAAAGAGAGAGAGAGAGAGAGAGGGAGAGAGAGAGGGAGAGAGAGAGAGATTGAAATTGAGAGAGAGGAGGGGGTGGGTGGTGGGGAAGAGAGATTTGGAGAAGAGGGCTGAACCCATCCTTTTATCAGGAACCTACTTCTGAGACAACTAATCCACTCCTATTAATGTAATGGCATTAATTCATTCCATGGGGGCTCTGCCCGTTACCTCTTAAAGGTCTGATCTCTCAACACTTGCTTTGGGGATTAAGTTTCCAATGCATGAGCTGTGTGGGACACATTCATACCATAGCAAACTCTATTCATA